AAGTCGCTTTACTGAAAGCAAAAAAATGCACGGTCAGCACAATTGCGACATTCGAATTTTTCAAACCTGATGACACCATCGAAAAAGCTTGTAACGTGGACATGACTTCCGGTCTTCTGCCAAAAGGTTCGCAAGGCTTAATGATTTAAACGTTAAAAATTTCGGTTAGGCTGGTTGCTAGATGGTTATGCAAAATTCCCTGTCTATAAAATATCTATTCTTTTGAATCATGTAGTCAATCTGCAGCATTTATTATGATTTCTTCTTGAGAAAAGTGTAAGAGTTGATTTCACTTAACTTTAGCTTCGCCATTAATTATTTCTATTGAATGCACCTAAAACTGTAAGTGACTAGAAATAACAGTATGACTGTAGTATGAAAAATCCATTAAACAACCGAATTTACTGATTGTTGGGGCTCTTGGTGGTTAGCAGAGCCAAAGAAGATGTCCTAAAATTCAAAGTTCAAAAATCCTCCATTTCATTGTCTTATCCAGGCATGTGTAGATGTAGAAAACTGGCCCCTTCAGGTTGTACCCGCCACACAAAAGACTTAAGACTATCAGTTTTGGTACATGTATGTTTTTGAGTTTCTTTTTTAGTTGTTCCCAAAAAATAAGTTGAGCAAAACAAAGATAAATATTTCATCCAGTGTCCTTAGATTCCCCTTAAAAGTACCAAATGATTCCACAGTTTAAAGATAATGAATTAAATATTTTTACCCAAGTACGGAATTCTTTTTTATTTTTCATGCACCTATTCTTTATACATTTTCAATATTCGTAGCTGCAAAGATTGGTTTTGAAGACTCAGTCAATTTTGTATGTGAGTCGGTCCAACTTTTCGTGACACCTGAAAGCAGAATGGAACATTCGACAATTTCGAAATACTTTGCTTTGTTAATTTTGAAATATGAAATAATTGCAAGATATCATTATGAAATATGAAATAATGCCATCCCCCCTTATAGGCCCTCAGTTAACAGTAACTTATTCTGTAACTTTTTAGAATGTATAAAAAGTCAATGCTGTTATCAAGTAGATAATTCTCACACAACATTTAAAGAGGTATCCAGTTATTTTGTTGTTTCATATTTCATACTGGGAACCAAAGTTATTTCATATTTCAAGACTTAAAAACCTAAATATTTATATTTTATTTCGGAGATCTCAATTATTTCATACTTTAAACACCCCTTATAGGGCCTCACCAGTTACAAATTCCGTGACGGTTTCCAGCCAAGATGTGAACTATGTAAAACCGTGGCTAGACGAAAAGGTGGTGTAGCTTGACCCTCAAGACTTAGGGGCTGGAAGGTCATCTTTTATATGATATCTTATCTTCCAAAAAATATTTTGCAAACCAAGCCATGAAAAACTTTTGGTCGTGAAGAACTTTTGGTGTCACACCCCCTGATAGCACTGTCAGATACGCCGCTGAGACGATTATTCTTGATTTTGTCCCAGCGTAATGGCATTTGAGAGCAGACAGAATGGCCAGGGATATTTTTATTTTAAGGAATTGATTTACACAATGAAGAATTATTGTTGCTCCAAAAACCTGTCATAAAATGTTCAATAAAATCGATAGTTAATCGATCAAATTTTCTGACAAAAGGTAAATAAGAAAACATTTTCTGACGATAGGAAAGGTAAAATAGGAAAAGTTCTTTATCATTATTTAAGACCTCTAAACAGCTTTTTAGATCGTGTAAATTGACAGGTTTGGTATCACGCGACCCAAACACATGCATATACTTTCATTCCATGCAAATTTGTGCATTGCACTTAATCGCTTGGACATGCCTCGGTGCCTTTAGGTAGCTTACAACGAACAATTTTTTTTCACAAGAATAATTTCATAAGAACACGAGCCTCAAATTTGGTCAAAGTAGAGGCCCCATAAGGAGGACGCTTTTAATTTATATTTCAAAATTGTCAAATGTTCCATTCATGCTCCCAAAATATAATTTTTTTAAGGTGTTAGGACGAGTTGGACCGAATCACATATAAAATGTAGTCTTCAAAACCAATCTTTGCAGGTTAAAATATTGAAAATGTATGAAGAATATGTTAAGGAATAGCTCAAGGATACCGCACTTTGATAAGAATAGGGAATTCGTTATCTTTGGAACTAAGGCGATCATTTGATACTTTTGAGAGGAATCTAAGGACACCGGATGGGATATCTAACTTTGCTTTGCTCAACTTTATCTTTAGGAACAACTGAACAAATTCGAGACATGCATAATAGTCTAAAAATCTTAAGTCTCTTGCGTTTAGGGTACAACCTGAAAGGGCCCACAGACAAGCCTGGGGATAGACACTGTGCTAGAAGGATTTTTCAATTTTAGGGCATCTTCTTTGGCTCTGCTAACCACCTAGAGCCTTAATAGCCAGTAAATTCAGTTCTTGTATCGTTTCTTCATACTATAGTCATACTGTTATTTCAAGTCATTTACAGTCTTAGATGCATTAGATAGCAAGAAATGATGCTAAAATAAGAGTCATGCGATGCTAAAACTAAATTCTTACACTGTTCTTAGGAAGAAATCGTTGTAAATACTAGAGATTGACTACATGCTTCTAAAGGGTAGATATTAAAGGTTTCTTTTTCAAGCGGTACCCATCGAGTTTAAAAAAAACAGTTGAAGTTGGCCAAAACTTTTTTACGGTTGCGTTCTCATGGTTTTCATATTATTTCCTCAAAGTTTGATCTAATATAGCAATTTTGTCTTGCGTCAAATAACATTATAACCATTTTAAGCATTGTTTATTGGTGCCTTACTGAATTCAAAGCTATGGTCAGAAGCAACATTTTATGAGAGGTTGGTTACGTGATTCTCTTTAAGGAATACATGCTTTGAAGAATGAACAATATCTTTATGAAGATTTCCTCTCATTTTAAAAAAACAGAAAAGATATTATCATCATCGAATAAATCCTGTAACTTAAATAGTTTACAAAACTGTCTACATTCAAAGGGTGTTCAAGTTCTTGCGGTTAAAAGTTGTCAAATCATTATGTCATAATCAAACCAAACATAACATAGTTAAGATAGAATATTTGTCTGTTGTGCCTAGGATGCTTTGTTCTCAATCGATGTTGTAAATATCCCAAATCCATTTTCCCCAAATTAGCTACATACAATGTCAAGATGAGTATCGCACTTCTCCACCTTAAGGTAGTACCCATCTCCAGTATAACTTGTCCCAAAGAACATGCCCAACCTCAAATAAAAGTTAGAGGAAAAGGGTGTACTTTTAAAAATTGTCTCTTATGTTTATAAAACAGAACAGACTTATCAGCAAATTAACATAACTCCTGAAAATGTCTTGCAAAACGGTTATTCAGTGGTTTCAGAAAAAATAAACAGTATGTAGTTGAAGAAAAGCTAAAAATGTTAAACTTTTAATGCATACTAGCCAGTTTCTGGCTTTCATTTACATAATGAAATATCAACAATGTAACTGAATTGTGTTCAGCTTATCTCTTTTAGTTTCAATTTTAAGAGTTGCTGAATGAAAACAATGTAGTGCAATGAGAATTGCTGATTATTAATAATCAGCGATTCTCATTGCACTACATATCACCGGGTGAGTAAAGGTTTATAACTTAATATTCATAACATATTATCAAATATACAAGAATCTGAGATTCAATTGGCAAAGAAAAATCTAAGCAAAATATTCTTGAAGCAAAGAAGCAAAATTTTCTTGAAGAATGTAAAACAACGCAGAAAAGATGCAGAGGCAAGGAAGAATAAAGTTAAGATCATAGGAAAGAAGTAATACTATAAATTTAAAGCAGTTTAAGCAGTGAATTACATAGGATCAAATTGCATGACTTATCCACCTCTTGCAAACAATAATGCTAATGCACAGATTTAATAACCTTGTCAAAAGAACCTTTTAGCTATTTAGATTCTTAAACAGTAACACACTATGTTTCACAAACTAGAACAATTTCTAGATTTGGCATTATCTGCTTTTCGAGCTGCAATGATTTAAAAATAAATTTATAGTGGAAATCTGAAAACTAAGGGATCTAGCTTGAATTTCAACACTTGTGATTTCTTTATAACCTAACTAGAGGATGAAGACAATACAAGCTATAGAAAACATCAACTTCAATATGACATTTAACTATTGTAGTAACTTCATTCACGATTTGAAAATTTTCAGGATTCATTCACCATCATATGTAAAATTTATTTTCAAGATACTTTCTCGTCACAAAATAGTATCTTTACTCGTCACTTTAGCAGGTTCTCAAATTAGTGAACCAAAGACACTAAGCATTAGATCGCTGTATTGGCATTTCAGCTAGCAATCTTTCTTTGAATTGCCTTTAAATCCGAATTTTTTAGCTTAAAGTTATTGCTTGGGCTGTCAATTTTAATTGATTTATTAACCCACCAACCAGATGCATTTGGTTTTTTATCTTTACGTTCTTGCTTCTTTTTTATGTATATTCCCATTGCTTTTTCCATTTCTATACGAGCCTTTTCTCGCTCTTTCCTTTTTTTAAGAACAGTTTGTAGTAGTGGGTACGGCATCTTCTGGCCTTTCGGTTTCCATGCTCCAAGCGACTGAGCCTTATGTTGCTCCATCTTTTTCCTGTCTTGCTTGCTAAAGCCAGTGATACCTAAATCTTTTACATCTTCGAACATTGACTTAAAATCAGCTTCTCCAGGTGCCTTTTCATTTCTTGGTTTCTTTCCAGCTATAGTTCCCGCTTTTGTTATTCTTTTGATTTCTTCCCTCTTCCTTTTCCCTTTAGATTTCTTAGATGGATCCTGGAACAAAACAACTTCTACAGTTCTACTTTTCTTTTTTGAACATACAGAGCTTTCGGTACTGACTTTGGCATCCATCCCTTGTTTTACCTTTCCAAACTATATTGCTGCAAATCCGTAGCACACTGATTCTTCGATTTTTTGAAAGCCATATTTAATCTCTTTCTGGGTTTGAATTCAGCCATGTGGAAATCCAAGCGAGACCATTTCAAGATTTCTACCTTTCATAAAAGTTTGTGACATCCTGGAAGATTGTGGTTTGAGTCTGACTCTCTGCAAATAAAAGCACGATGAGGACCGGTGCTGCTACAGAATTAAACGCCATTTTATGATAATATGCTGTATAAAAAGTTGGCACCCACTGTGTGCAGACATCTAGGAAAATCCACGAGGTAAGATTAAATTGCGCGCTATAAAAAAAATCAGTGGTTGTATTATTTTTTACAAGTTTGACCTAAGTATACCCCCCTTTCAGAAACTGTTGGGTTTCAGAAACTTTCAGAACCTAAGTAGACGCTCGAGATTTGTCTATAGAGAAATTGGCAGGAGGTGGTGTTGGGATAGGCAGATCCACTAAATTTTGACATCACTGAAACTTGAAAGAGGTTTGATAATTTCCAACAAAAAGGTGCCGCCCCTTTTCTGAAATTTCCTGGCGCAGCTGGCTACGTCATTCTTGAAGATTTAACAAAAACAAACTTTCTAGGCTTATCATCATATCTATTTGTAAGCATTTCTTAATTCTTAAATCACTTTTTTTGACAGGAAGCTTACGTCCTTTTCCAGGATGCATTTCATATAAACCTCATTCTGGACAGAAGGAAAATTTACTCTTCTGTTATTTAGAAGCACCAATCCTTGAGATCCATAGTCTCAATCAGATTCCAAAATAGCAGTTATTGTAAGCAATCCTGATAAATGAGAAAACTATAAACACAGATTAAAGACTTTCTCATCCAGAAATGCTTCATCCTCTTGTAATTTGGCACGTGGATCTAAAGGCATGTGGAGATCAAAGTATTGACAATGAAGGAAAATTTACAAGTTGCTGGAGTAATAAGAATCAGCTCTGTGATAAGAGAGGCCATATTTTCATGCATATTGAATTTTTATTTGTAAAAGCACCTTTTATTATGCTCATTCTATTTCAATATCAAAATTAGAATGACTTATGATAGGTTTTGGCAATATGTGCACCCCAGCTCTACACTTAATAGACTGCTGCAAAAATTATTAAAGACTTTTATGAAATGGTTAAAAAATTTGAAACCCTGATCTATTTGGTTTTGATTTGTCTGATTGAAATAAAAACTACTAACCAGGATAAAAAGTAGAAAGAAAACAAGCATTTAACAAGATATAACAACTGTAAGCAAGATATGGTTTCACAGTTTTTGTAACCTAAAGACTTTTGAATCTTCCATATCAAAATCTTAAAACTATGCTCACTTACTTGCTTAGTCATTTGTGACTATTTTACTCTTCAGTGATTTGTAAGTCAAATTTCATTCTATTCAAGAATATGGAGAAATGTTTGTTGTTCAGTTCAGAAGAATGGCCTCATTACTGAAAAACAAAAAGAGGAAAAACCAGTAAGTTTAATTTTGAGTTTTGTTTGAGTATCTAAATTACTGTGCACCATATGTGATATACAGTCCTATGCTAACTATACATTTTTGGCTTTAATTGAATGTAATTTATTCAGAATTTAAATTTTTGCATTAATTCCTTTAAATAAATTGTTTATCAATGAACCCATGGAGTTAATAAAAGTTAATAATTTGGAAGTTAATAAAAGAAATTCATATTAAAAACAAAAGATAGTTTTTCAATAAAAATTAGAGTTTTTTACGGTTTTTGAAATCTTCAGCAGTTGTAAAATTTAATAAAGGTGGTGATTTTTTTGTTTTAGAAAGTATTCGAAGTATCTGACATCCCTCAAGAAAATATAAGAAATTTTAGTGTTATTGCCCATGTAGACCATGGCAAGAGTACATTGGCTGATCGTCTCTTAGAACATACAGGTAATGAAAATTTAATTTATCTTATCTTTTTTGCAAAAATTTTTGAAGGCTCTAGAGTTGATTTGATAGGGTGGTATTTGGAATGCGATACCACCAAATTTAAATTACAATCCTGTTGGCAGCCTGAACTTGAAATCTTTAATGAAAATTGTCACTGTTTAGAAATGTTTAAAAGGTAATAGAAAAGGATTTATCTTTTCATTTTGAATATTGACTGTTGGAGCTGCATCAATAGCTCAAGCATGTGTTGCTTATATGATGTTGATAATGCAAAGAATAAACATCGCAATTGTCAGCAAGATTATATAAATTTTTGACAAGTATTTTTATGCATTTTTGACCCTAGATCCACCCATGCACAGCCTTACTTCTAATGTTCGATAAATGCCTTTTCTATGTTTTAGATTTATTTGTAATCCATAAACTTTTTTGTTGAATGTTTTTGTTTTCCTCTATCAGACTTCATGAACATTATGAATATTATCATTTCTTACTTAAAGGTGCGATTGCACAAAATTCTAAAAACAAGCAAGTTCTTGACAAACTGCAAGTTGAAAGGGAAAGAGGGATTACAGTAAAAGCACAGGTAAATATATCAATCTGTCAAGTTTCAGTTTTGAAAATGAATGAGTTTATTTGAGATGGTGGGGGAAATCTTTGGGCTGCTATGTGATCTTTAGCCTGGGTATCAGAGCCTGAGAAATCAGGAGAAGAATGGAGATTCATTTCCAATTTCTTAGGCTCTGGTACTCAGGGTATGTGGTTTCAAGGCCATGAGTAGGTCCGGAACTAACCCTGATAGGATAATATAAGAACTGATTTGAAATCTGCTAATCGCACCAAGAATTTATGAGCGACACAGTGAACGAGAAAATAGTTTGCACTGTTTGCAGAAAGTGGAGCATTTCCTGGGAGGTCTGCAAAACAACAGATTGCTGAATTTGTTTACAATTAGTAGAAATTGGAAGCTTTTCTGAGTGTGGTAAAAGAGCCAATTTCAAAATTCTGATTATTGACTCTATGATATTTTATTGGGAGTTATAGGCCCTAGACGCACTGATTTCTGACATAAAACTCATCATCTCTGTCAAAGTGGAAAATAGAGAATACTTTTTCAAGTTTGACAAAGATAATCCGATTTCCGCTTGGAAATTTTAGCGCGCTGCAGTTCGTTTGTGAAGTGATTGTTTGCTGTTAGGCTAATGTAATGTGTTTTAAAACAAAGAACGATTTGACTTTGGGTATTCTGTGGCACCAGAAAAATGCGTTAATTGCTAATCATTTCCGTTTTCCAGTGATCGTCCTGCTCTGGGGCAGGACGACGGAACCTTTAAAGGATTAGTGAATTTGGTTCAGTGGCAATTTGGGTGGGCGCAATGGATAATCAGCATTTGTTCACTAACAGGCTGAACTTCTTTTCTCTATAAACAGTAGAGATTAAGTGTGTCAGAAGTTCTTCCTGAAATCTTGTTCGGTGTGTCTAGGGCCATACTTATGTTTTTGAATTGCTTGAAAAACCTAAATGACTACCAGGCTTTTTCTTCATGATTTTCGATTTTTTTGAGAAAACTTTTTCTTCAGTTCACCGGCAAAATGCTAAATTTTCTAAATTCAACAACAAGAATTTTCTAGGCCCTGCATCACGCTCAAAATTGCTTACAAACAATGTCAAATCATTAGCTGCCACATCCTCTGCGAAAATAGCATCATTTTGTAGCAGCTGGAGTTATCCGTATAATTAAAAAATAATTTTTTCACTCCTAGGCCTTTTTTGTGTCATTTGAAAGACATGAAAAAAACAGGCACCTGCACATAGCTATCCACAAAGCTGTCATCTTGTTATTTAACAATTTTGCTACTTGTTGACCTGAAGTAATTAGACATGATTTAATCACAGTCTTATAAAGTGTTACAATCATTTTAGCATTAAATGGCATTGTTTTGTGGGCAAGGAGTGCTCAGGTTCATTTGACTAATTCTGTTCCTAATTGGATATTTTGGCAGCGGAATTGATGTTTATGCATTAATGTTTCAATGTTAAAGTTATAGAGCCTAAATCCATCGCTGTTATTCCTTAAAAGGAATTTTTGAACGAATGTTTGAGAAATTTAATTTCATTTACAAAAACCCAGAAATTTCATTTCACTTTTGATAATTTAGGTGCATAAAATCTATCTGCTTCGTAGTGGCGCATAAGTTTGGCACTGGCGCACAAGTTCAGCACTGGCGCATAAGTTCTGCGCTTGCGAACAAGTTCTGCGCTTGCGAACAAGTTTCGCACTGGCGCACAAGTTCCGCACTGGATAAAAAAGCATAAAGTAGGAGAGCTATGAGAAAAACTGTCAGAATATAATGCAGATATAATCTGCTTATCCCTTCAAGGACCTTTGAAAACGTTCTAGCATAGTGCTACTCAAGTTGCATTCTAGCTTGCGAATCTAGGGGAAACTCGTATATAATACAGATGTTCAATTTTTTCTTGCTGTTTATGGTGAAAAATACAAAAATATGACAATTTGTCTTAATGTATCCAAGTCCCTTTATAAATAGGTATCTGATGCATTTAAATGATCTGATGCAACACTTTTTAATAGACAGCTTCTATGGTGCATCACAAGAACAACGGAAAATTCTTGCTTAACCTAATCGATACTCCGGTAAGCATGATTTATTTGCTTAGTTTGTTTTTTATATCGAACCAACGTGGTATAAAGTGCCTGATCATCGCTTTGAGCCTGAAAATTGGGGTAGCAATTTGAAACCGTCCTACTATATACACCAAAAGTGATATAGCTCTGACCGGTAAAAAGTAACTTTTATAAGCCACGTGATGCACTAACGGATAATCATGCAGCGACAATTCAGTATATATCAAAGATTTACTGCCATATTCTATTTAATTTAGTACATATCACTGCCATATTCTAGCAGTTCTTAGAAGGAATTTGCTGGAACATTAAATACCAGCTGGAACAGGAAGGGAGATTGAGCTTCTCTTGCTAATGCCGATATGTAGCCAATTTCTACTTTTGCTTTTGTTTTTGAAACGTTTTTGCGCAAGAGCCCCCCCCCCCATTTGCTATTTTTTTCGCACTACACCCCTAACACTTAAGAAACCAAAGCGAAAAATGCACGTCGTTCAATGCCAGCCCTCGTATATTTATGTTTGTGAAAGCATTTAGATACTTTAGAACCCTTGGTTATAATCTTCTCTCTCGGTTAAGTTGTATGTCTGTTGATAAATTTAGAACAGTGAAAAATTAAGGAAAAACATGCATTGAGCAAGATAATTATTTCCTGTCGGATTAAGAAGGTGCCCAGTAGTTGACAGGTAGGTAAGAATCAACAGCCGATTGCAAATAAAGAGAGACTGTTCTTGCAAACAGTCGTACGTATGTATATACAAATTGGCACAAAGTAATTTACAGAGATCAAATGATATGAAACTAGGCATAATGTAATCGATATGATTACATTGTTTAAGAATTAAAGTTAGAAGCATCCTGATTTATTGTGGCAAGTATAGCATAAATAAGTTGACCTCGTTTCCATTATGGTCCAAAAGATAAGAATGGATAAAGTACAAAAGGAACCATGAATGTTCCAAAATATTGTAAAGTGCAAAATTGGTTTAGATCGAATCCTGAATCCGAGAGAGGGCGCGAGGCCTTAATTATACGCGTGTACGTCAGAATCAACTCATATGCTCCATGACAAAGGCATTGGCCCGATAGGTAAATGGGCATGATTCAAGGGTTATGCTTGGAAAACTCTTTTTTTTCGTCATACTTTTCTTCAATAAATTCGCAAATTGCTTTCTTGTACTCAAATACTTCAAATTTGTCAGTAGTTTAATGCATCATTTTCTTTATTCTTGCAAAGGGTTACTCCACCATCTTGCTAAAAATGTGACTGCGGCAATCTGATAATATGTATAGTAGTCTTGGTTCAACCCTGCCAGTTATCGTTTTTCATCGTCACTTCGTTTTTCCCATGCTTGAGAGACTGATGCTTTAAAGAAACTTTCTTTGTTTCTTTTGTTGTTTTCTTTCAATTGTCCATAAGGTGCTAGTATAGGACACAACTTAAATGGGCTGCCACTGTCGATTGGATGCCGACATTCAAAGGGGGTCGTTGAAGTTGAAATTTTTTGTGTCTTCCTGGTGATGCTTTCTCTGAAGGTTTGTTGTAAAGTACGGTTTTTGCTTAGGCGGTCTGTCTTCCTAACCCTGCTAGAAACTCGTCTCATTAAAGACACAACAGCCGATCTAATGTAACTGTTTCTCAGCGTGTGTACAATTGGATTAAGAAGAGAATGAAAATGTGCCAAAAAAATTGAATATAGAAACAGTGTTGCTTGGGTTGTGGTATGGCTGTTGCAAACATACAGTTCAGTCGAGGGTATCCATGTTCTTGTTTTGTTTTGCAAATGGAAAAGAACCCCAATAATCGTAAATGGTAGCCATAGAGCAGCAAATACAGTTATTGAATTGCATTTGTTTTTGTAGCTTTCCTCCACGAATTTGGCGTAAAACCTTCCCCTGATGGCAAAATTAACCTTCCAATGATGCGGATGGTGTGTAGATAGATGAACACAAACGCAAGAAGAATGACTAATATTATTGATAACACAAATAAGTAGAATATGACGGGATCTAAGCCCTTGACAAGCAACATAGTCATTGAAGCTATGCCACCTAGCCATATATTAATTAGAGACACCCAAAGACGACTTGGAGTGAAAATCGACTCGTATTTGAACGGGTAAACGATTTGGATGTACCTCTGAACGCATGATGATGTAAGGCTAGAAACTGAAGCTGCACAGGCGATCGACGTCAAGATAAATGTGCATCGATGAATGTTTGCAATAATGATGGAATCAGTGCTTTTTATATAAAGCACAGACGCAACAAACAATGGCTGGCATACCCCGGAGATAAGCAGATCTGCTGCAGTCATAGATTTCGAGAAAATATTCTGTGACGAATGTTGGTTTTCACTATTAGTGATCAATACGTAAAATAGCACGGTGTTAATGAGAAAAGAAGGCACAAGGCACGATATTTCTAGCGCTACGAGGACATACATATGGCCGATGCAATGTACTGCGGGATACGGCGTCCACAAATAAGTGGCATTCATATCTTTCTTGCTTTTGTGGATATCTATTTTATCAGGAAGTGATTTAATTTTATTATTGGTCAACGTTAAGAAAGATATTTCTTTCAACTCTCTTTTTCTCGACCAATATGCTCTTCTAATGTGTTCTTCCTACAAGCGCCAATCTGAGTTATGGGCTGAAACCTTCACTAGCGCGCAATCGTTCTTTCTTAAACAAATCTATTCGTTTTCGTACAAAACTGTATTGTGACTCTGTGTGAATTTCCTGTTTTGTCATCTTCCTTCTAATGGCCTATGTGAAATAATGTTGGGCCTGCTCTGTCAAGGATTGCATCTATTCATTACGCTGGATTTTTGATTCAGATAAGAGTTTCCAACTTATATGATGTCAAAAAGATGATACGAATTCCACTTAAGTCACAAATCAATGTATTGCGATTTAAAACCAACGATTCTTGAAAGCTTTCATGTTTTCGGCAATATGATGTCGAATTCTTCGGTTTGTCTTTGTTGCTGATTACAATGTTCTTCTGGCAGTTTACTCACTCTTATTGTAAAAGTTTGACATGCTTACTGTCTACCTTTGACGATTCCTCGCTTCTCCTCAAAATATTTATCAGAGAAGAAAGTGTTAATAATTGATCGGCTCAGTCTTCTTTTTCTCGCAAATCAATAATAGATGTTTGTCAATGTCAAAGAGGTATTATTGATCTTTGATTCAAAGGATCCGATTGGCTCTTTCTGTGCTTGATTGAAGCTATGAGTGATTTTAACTTGTCATTCTCTCGCATGTTTCAATTGACTGTATATTAAAACTAGATAGCTGTGTAAGCAGCTGCTTAGTCGGCTCTAGAGCTGTTTGAATCAAATTAGATATTTTCGAGGATGGCAGATTTGTGGTTTTTCGCGTTAATCATTGTCACATGTGATTATTCTAATTGATATTGCAACAATATCGACTTTTTCATTGCTACACGTGTGACTTTGACCATCTATAAAGGATTAGTATAAGATTCGTCTATTTCTCTGATAATGTGCATTTTCAAAATTGAAGCTCTTGGCAATCCGTATGATCGATTCTCTATTTGGCTACTATCTGTGTCTCTAGATACCCCTAGATATGAATATGATAAACAAAATACATTGTAATCAAGAAGTGATTCAACAATTTTGGAATTTTTAAGGAGTTCATTGCTAAAAAGAATAATTTTTCTACTAATCAAAGACTCCTTCAACTGCCATTGATTAAGGATCGCAAAAATAAAAGCATATTGACTTTTTCTTGTGAGAATGTTTTTAAAGGTAATACCATAATATTTTGTACCTGCTTAGATTTCATTACCCGTGATATGTTTAGCAAAAAAGGTTAAGACTTCGTGACCATTTGAGGTAGTATCAATATGATCTCTTTCAAACCAAAAATAGGGGTAATGGAAACCAGCTGTAACCTGTGAAGGAATTTTGCATTTTATGCACAGTTGCGAGCTCGGGGAGTTGAATTTATCATTGTTTAGGCTCATCACCATCACCGTGAATTGAATTTTGCAAATACCGTGTTTGGTTGTTTCATGATGTTGTTTCAAGTGGAAAAATTTTGTTATACTTGAATACTTAGTTACGTAATTCTTGTTGTCCATATGTTTTTGGGTAAGAGACTTTGAGTCTGCATAAAGGCTATACATACCGCTATTTTACGGTTCAAACTGTCTTTTTAACATCAAGTTGTCTTGTGTCGTTTAAAAAAGGGCTATCCTTCACAATTACACTTCTTTTCTTATTTAATTCAATTTTTTTAGGGTCATGTTGATTTTAACTATGAAGTGTCAAGATCTCTTGCTGCGTGCCAAGGAGTTGTTTTGGTGGTCGACGCTGCGCAGGTGAGTCGCCTCCATAGATACTGCTTCAATGGAACAGTCCAAAAGTTTTTATTCGCTTGCCTTTTGCTGATTATAGGTCGGCTCTCGTTCTCGTTAAAAATCACTTATCGAAACCTTAAGTTGGTTTCATGTGAAGATTTCAAATTCGCTTTTAGGCACTCTGCTAATTTTCTAACATCAGCAATTCTAGCATATTGACTATGAATCCAGTGACGTAGCCAATGTTAATATAATATGGAGGATAAGGGGCTCGGTCTCGGGCCCTTGAAAATTTTTAAGTATGTTTAAGTATCTCTCTAAGTATGTTTCACATTGATGCCATGCCTTTGCGGGAAATTCTATGAAAAAAAATACTAAAAATATGTTTTTGTTACGCCATCACTTCGGTAATCAATTTTTGGGAATTATTCTGAAATTCAGCACCTGAAAGAAAATGTTTCGAAGAAGAGGGACAAAGCGGGTTTCGATCATTTGCCAAAAACATTCCTCTTTTGAACACGTTTATTCTGCATCAATAAGAATGATGAAAGACAAACACCACGGTCAGTTGGTAGTTTAAAAATCGGATTTACTGACACATGCTTATTGACATCAACAACAAAATTTCACATATCTGCAGATTTTAAAAAGGAATGTTTGGTACACTAGGGCTTAGGCATTTCATTATAAGTCAGATTTTTCTGGCTTAAAAGTTAATTTTTTAGGTGATCTGTGTGCAAATATTCTTAAGAATACCTCTACTGGATAGAAAAGCTGATCAGAGAATGCATTCTCAACGGCAATTTGCAAAAAAAAATGCAAAAAGTTAAAACAGAAAGACCAAAAACATTTCTCTTAATTTCCTTCGATGTAATTAAAGTATATTTTTGTCATTTCAGCTAGGAATTATAGCTACCAGCATTTACAAATTGATAAATTGTATAATTTTAAAGTAACTTGTTGAAAATTAGTCAAATGACACTTGAATAGTGCTCAATGTGTCGAAGAAGCGAAAATTAAATGAAACAAATTGAATTAACAGCTGCAACAACACCTGATCGATGTTTGCTATACGCTATGTTCAGAATCGTGACCAAATGTTTTGATTAGCTTTGTGGAATAAACACTTTTGGTAGCGATACTTTTAGTTGTCTATGTATGTTTGCTTGAGGATGCTCGAGAGATTAGCAAGAAAAATATTTGTAGAAAGTGTTTATTTTGTAATATCGAAAGCCCAGTAGCTTAAGCTTTCTTCGACGTCATTTTCACCAAACTGAAATATCTTTTCTGTAAGAAGAATTTTCATTACAAATTGCTTTGTTTTCATCGCTGTTATGAAATTATATAACACGATATTATGTAACACCACCATTTAGGCATGGCTGAACACGCACAGTGATCTATTATTATTCATGTGTATAATTATCATAGGCGTGTTCAATAATTTTTTAAAGAAGATTCACCTTTTTCTTCGATGATATTCATTTCAAAGTCTGATATCATAGGTATTTTTATAGCAATTTATATTTCAGGATTGTCAAGAAGAACAAAAAGCTTTTTAAAATATTATGATTGTCAGCACCATCTATAAAGTTGACTAAATTTTAAAGGCAATAGACAGATACATTAGTGGCTTGTGCCATTTGTCAATCAATGTAAGCCAATCAATAGGTGTGTGAGTGGTATCGTGCTCACTGATTGGTCAATTGTTGATCGGCGGATGACTTCGGCAACTTTTAGTATTTGTCGATTTCCTTTAAGCCCAGTTGTTGTAATCCAAGAACTGAGAACACGCAAAAAATTAACTGGAGCACCCTTTTTTTCTGAAAATTCGAGCACCAACCCTAACCCTAGCCCTACAATGTGACCCCAGCCTTACTAGCGTCCCTGTGATAACAAAAGAGACATATTGTATTTGATATGTTTGATATAGTGAAACCCCTTGCAATAAACTCTTATGGTCCATCAATAGGTTGAGGATTTTATCTGGATTGTTTTTCACCAAAGCCCTTTCTAACATGCAGGGTGTTCAAGCGCAAACAGTGGCAAATTTTTTCTTGGCAATGAATGCAAATTTAACTGTTATTCCTGTACTGAACAAGGTGGGTGTCGCTTACCGTTGTTATTTTTTCCTTGTGTATTTGTTTTGGTATTTCACAATACCAAGTGAGGCCTGTTTTCTCGTTATTGACCAATATTCACATCACGTTTTGGGGTATAAGCCAAAAAATACAGCTGACGAAAGAAGGAAGAAGTAGAGTACAAAAGTAATCGGGTTTATGTTCATAATTATTCCTGCAGAATGAGGCTGCCCTATTGCGTGAAGAGCCAATCAACGTAATCTCCGTACATTAATTTTTCCAGAATATTATCCTTAATAGTTGAGTATTTTACTCAGTGTTTCCCCACAAACAGTCTGTTACTGAATTAAATTCACATTATCAACAATTATCAATAAAAGTTCTTAGGAGATCAAGTCTTGGGTATACTTTTGTCTGAAATAAACCTAGCGAGAAAGTCTTTATTTTCTGTTTTTCAAACTGTAGTTTGGGTGTCAAAGTGGATCTTTCGAGCTAATTGTGATGCAAACAAACTTGAAATTCAAAGCAATCTCGACATAAAAATTCTCTAAGCTTATTGTTATGCTGTTCTGCATGAAAATAATTTTTTTACTAACAGCAAACACCTCTAATTATTAAAGCTGATGAATATTTTATTTAAAAGCCAAGCCTGGTGCTTGTAATCTTCCATTTCTTTGAAATTATTTATTTCCGTGTGCTAAATTTAGGAAGGCGCCATTCATTTTCAAGCAATCGAAGCACAACAAAATTTTATTTCTATCATAATAAATTAAATTGCCGTAAGTTTTTGCAAACAGCTGATTCTAAAAAATATTATTTATATTAAAGTTTAATTATTTTTTAGGTGGATCTAAAGTCAGCTGCTCCAGGAAGAGTGTCTAAACAATTGGAAAATGTTTTCGGATTTGATAAAGAGGAAATTTTAAGAGTGAGTTTATGTTGTCTCAATGCTTGGAGAAACTCATAAATTCAGTATGGTTGAATAATGATGTATCAGGCAAAAACTGTAGCCGCCTCACTTTTTTGTTGAACTACGATTTGAAGGTTGTGGCATCAAAGATATTGGTGCAAAATCTACCATAAAAGTTTACCCGTTTGCTTAGAACCGCCGCCCCTCTAAAATGTGATCCAGTGTCCCCTTGATGATCTTTCCAACTTTGCGATAAATATGTCAAAAGCAACGCAATACATTGCAGAGGGTGGTATACAAAATCTCTTACCAGGCATTTGACTATGTTATTGGTGAAGAAATGCAATGCCATTGATAACAGTGAATGCATGCATATTTTACTTAAGCGAGGGGTTTGAACTAATGTTGATGAATTAGTGAAGACCCTGTGAAGATTGTTTCTTGCACAAAAGTTTATTCTGCTTTTCACGTCATGGACTAGTATTGTATCTGAGGGGTCTTTTCTTGCTGCGCTTCGTCTCCTCTGTTTATTAGGCAAAATTATATTTTGTAGTCAACTTGCATTGGATTTAGATTTAATATAAAATTCTTCCGAATGCAATTCTCGCAACTTATCTGCCACTATTACATTTGTTGTTGTTACGAAGCTTGAAGGAGCGAAACATATATATATCCCGAATCCAGGAATTGTTTAATCCGTTCGCAGCGCATGTAAAAAGTAAATTACCGCTGACATTAGGAACAGCCATGCTAGATAACAGATGATCGACTTTGGTGTTCGACACAAACGCATCAAGAGATGTAACTTTTGGGAACATTTTAAATTGTTGGTTTTCTTTTAGCCAAAATTTTTTTTTGTTTATCATCTTGAAATTGCATTGGCAAAAGATCTGAGCAAAATAGAAAGTTGCTCCTTTTTGTTCTTTTGTGTACTTTTCTGTTTTCTTTATATTCTATCAGCACGTGGTAACGTTTGTTGTAGGTCTCAGCCAAGACTGGCCTAGGCATAGAAGCATTAATTGAACGTATATGCTCAAAGATTCCAAGGTGTGTGAAGTTTAATACGGTTGTAGCTAAACCTGAAAATGACTCAAGATCCGAAGTTTGTTTCCATTTATACGTTTAATAGAAGTGATCTATTTAGGTAGATATGAGACTTCAAGAGATGGGTTCTTACAAACGAAGTGCGTGATCGAAATGTTAACGCATATATAGTAGAGATGACAGGCTTGCGAGCTTGTTAGTGAAAACATTTATTAATCTGATCTGCATGAGAAGGTGAAGACAGGAATATGTTTTATAATCGTATGTTTTGTGAGCTAGTCTGTGTTTTATAAAGGTTAAAACAATCATACGTAAGCCATTGTTACATTGTGTTTTGTAGACGGTCAATACAATCTTTGATAAAACATTTCTAGACTGTGATTTGTAGAGGGCTAGAGCAATCTTCACTAAAACATTGTCACACTGTATGTAAAAGCCACATTTATATAGCCAAGATATCAATGTTTTGAAGTGCCAGAATCGGTTGTGCCCTCCAGCCCTTCGAGTAACATAAGTTTTAATAAGGGTACGGCAGGGGACAGTCCTAAATAGTTAGCAGGATTGTGCTACTGGCAACGTCTAGAAGCCACGCCCGTGGCCAAACCTAATGTACATGCCTTTGTGTTGAAAAATGTGTTAATGAAGTAATTAAAATTATTTATCGACTAGATATGACTGCTAGGAAATTGCACATTCAAGGAAAATCTATAGCATAATAACGGGTTGCCAACACAGAACTTGTTCAACCCAACATGTGAAGGGGGTTAAGCCTCCCCCCTTCGAAAACTCTCTGAATTATAGAATAGTGGCTGAGCCGTCTCGAGCCTCCCCTCTACGGCACCTTTAAAGTAAGGGAACATGTCAATTACTTGCTTAGTTAGTCACGGATGATTTTTGTTGCTTTGCACAGTTCAGTGTATCCTATGCTGTATCCAAGCTCGAAACTCAGCACAAACTGACATGTTTCTTAGATCTTAAACATTATTGCATGATAACTTTCCATGCATTTGAATGTACGGTTTGTCGCTATGGACTTCTATCTGTGAAGCCAGTTCAACCAAATTAAAATTTTATGCGGAAGAAATAAATTTTTATGGTAGGTTTTCGTAATGAAGTTTAGAAGATCATTATTTTAGCTTGTTATTAAATGAATAATTTTCGTTTTTTGTTAATGTTATAGCCCTTCTGGTAAAAGAAAGGACCCCTTTAAAGCACTGCTGTTTGACTCTTGGTTTGATCAATACAGAGGGGTAATCTGCCTGGTTGCACTAATAGATGGATCTTTAAAGAAAGGTATGTCAAGACAACTTCATTTCATTAAAATGCCTTTAGCAGCGCAGCGAGTACATGGCAACCAGGGTGAATTACCGATGAAATACTGCAGATAACCGTGAATAGTTTTACGTACTTTTCATAGTTTTCAGGTAATGTTTCGAGGTTCATTCAAGAATTTCTACAAATACGTGCAAATTACATCAATTCATGAATGCAGAAAAGATGCAAACTCTCTACGTTGCCAAAGAGCTTTTCTTCTCATTGGTTCTTTCGCCCTTGTCGTTTCCTTTACTTGCATGTTAACTTTGCTTTCTTTTATTCAACCTTTTCCTTTTTCTCTTTTCTATATGAGTTAAGCATCCATCTGGCCTGGAAAGTCAGCACAGGCAGTAAAGGGGCCTTAAAACCCAAAAATTCAAGTTTACCTTCCAACCCCCTCTCTGCAGCAAGTATCTCTCTGCCTTCCCAATAACGTCGGCATTTGATGGTTTTGTCCTCAACTTGTCCTTAAAACCTCAATTGTTATCATATTCTATGGCTTAATTTTTCTTTCAGCAATTATTTTTGTGCATTGATAGATGTTCTGTAGAACCCCCCCCCCCCCCCCCTCAGTGCTCGTCTCTAGCGCCATGTCGATCACACTTTTCTCATTATCGCATTATTTTCTCAATTCTTGGTATCTGTTTGGTCGTAGAATCGTGGTGTTCATTCTTATGCCACCTTTTACTTTCTTTTTCGCTGTTTGAAGATAGATGTGTCCTAGCATTATTTATGCAATATTATTTTTCGTTATATTATGCCTCTGTAAACCTTTTGGCAATTGATTTCCTCAAAATGTTTTCACGATCTGGTCGTAGGTGATCGCATTTATTCATTAGCAACGAAGGAAACATACGATGTCATCGATTTAGGCGTTTTGAATCCGACAGAACATGCGACAAGTAACCTGTAAGTTTTGCTTGCCCTGTAATTATGCAGCTTTTTGATGGGAATAATTTAACCGAAAAATTTAATTGTCATGAAAAACGTTTCTATTAGTATCTACATTTGCCAACTTGTCAAACTGAACTTGGCAGTTCATTATGGAGTATCAATCGTCCCTTCGATTTTCAAGTTGCAGTCTTTTTAAGATCTGCAGGTCAAGTTGGATATGTGGTTACAGGAATGCGAAGGACTCAAGAAGCGTTAATTGGTGATACATTTTGTAGTCCGACTAAAGCAGTCCACCCGCTTCCCGGTTTTAGAAGGCCAAAACCAATGGTAAGGCAATGATTTTTGGAGACCGCGTTAGCTTTATTGGTGACATACAGTAACATACCAGAGTTCTATGAAACAATTTCATTTCAGAAGTGCCAGCCTTATTTTGCTAACTCGCTTTAGAACAATCTACTTACGGAACGTTCCTTTAATATTCTTAAAGCTGACGACGATTGGTACATTGTGACATCCCAGTGACCAAGAAGCAACTTACCCGACCCAACAAAACCTCCGCAAATGGCTTTGAAACGAGCCTCGTTATCTCAGAGTATCCTCAATTGGTTACAAATTTATAGAGAAAAATTATTTTTGGTACCCCCTATTTTTCCTATATTTTAACATTTTTGTTTGCATGTAGAATTGTTTTTAACGTGAACAGTATTGGAGACAATATCAACTAAAAACTGTTAGATCTATCCATTATTGGATTTCTCAGTTTGATAGTTTGATATCAGTTTTATAACTATTCTTTCTTTCTACATGACTCTCCTTAATGTTCGTGTTTTTACTTTTATCGTGTATACTGTCCTTTTACACATTGGTGACGAGACGTTATTATCACTGCAAGCTAGTCATTATCACATGATTTGCAGATCTGATACGTAATGCATCACTTCATAGGTGTTTGCAGGAATATATCCCACAGATCAAGCTTCCTATGTTGCACTTCGATTGGCAATTGACAAGTTGACCTTGAATGACTCTAGTGTAACTGTACACCCGGACAACAGGTAAATGCTAGCTCGCGTGATTTCTGCTCGATCAAAGACGTGTTATAAAGGTCCTTTTTGGTTGGTCTTGTCGGTTGAGTGCACGTGAGCATTTCTGTTGCAGTGCATTATTGTCGATGATTTATAGACATGGAACATAGAGAGCTTTCAATAATTGCTGATGCAGCGGAAATATTCTTGTCTTATTTCGCCCTTTTTTTTAATCTCCCCAAAAAGATTTTCAAAATTTTCCAAATCGTTGTTTTCCTATTTGCAAGCTCGATTATGCAATCTCCTCGTAAACTTCAATTCAACGTCTAACTTGCTTTTTCTTGAAAGAATTTTCGGTATGATACAAACCTTTCACAATAAGGTTCGAAAAAGACATTTTATAAAGATGTCCCAAACATTACTGGCACGTTTGTCATCTTAAGGCATAGTTTGCGCTCGCTAAATGGTTTGTTAGCCAAACATAAAGTACATACCTTTACTTGCATTTTGTCGAACAGATGACATATAGACTAGGATGGCCCTGAAATTAAGAATGTTGGTATTATATAGTTAAAAATATACAGACTATGCTTTAAAAATGACGAATGTTTTGAAGCAGCAGATAAAATTATATCATGTTAAACAATTACATACAAATATCTGAAACTTGTAGAACCCCAGTTAATCTCTATGGTAAGAAAAGTGTCCGTTCTCTGGTAATATCTGTTGTCTTAAGTTTACTTGTGGAAACAAAATAGAAGAAGTTTTTAACAAACGTATTTACCGTTTGTTTTGAGGTTTTTTGGAAGTTTTCCAAATTTTATCTGCGTCTCAGTGCCACTTTTTCCAACGGCAATAAAAGATGCAATATCAAATGTAAATTTACTAAACATATTTTCAATTAAATTAATGGGACGTATTTTATTTTTTGTAAACCTTGCAGAATTCATAGACCAACTTTATTTTTATGCAGTTAGACCTTAAAAATCTCAAACAATAATTTTATTCGAATGTCCACGAATGCGATACAAAAAGCAATTGCGAAGCAAATCGTTTGTGTTTTCAGGTAGTTTTAATATTTTTTCCTGTCCTGTTTAGTGCTGCCCTTGGTCAAGGATGGAGAATAGGGTTTCTTGGTGTTTTGCATATGGATGTCTTCAGGCAGAGGCTAGAACAGGTTGGTAGATTGGAATCCTCTTTGTGTCTTTTGCAATATTAATGTCTGGCAGTTGTACATCATTGTCACTGACAGCCTTATTGCTGGCCTTAGGCCAGTTTTAGGTCCTCGTTCAGTCTAGATGTACTGATGAGCCCTTATATGGGGTGAAAACCAGTCTGCAGCCGACATTTTGAGGCATATTCAGTGGTTTAGTTTAAATAAAGCTAAATATTTAGAAAAGGAAAATGACAAAAAATATATCTTATTTTTGTCTGATTCTTTATTTGCGAAGCTGTTAAGTTATTAATGTCCTAAAGCGGTTTTGAACAAATGAAAGCCATTTATATTATCTTCCATATAAAGTCGATTTTCCTTGTATCTTAGCAACAATTTTGTATCAGAAACGAATAGTTAATATGGCTGTTCACAATATAGAATGGATTTGTCTTGATCTGGGCCATTTTGAACGCTACTAGGTTGCTGGTATTCGACATCTGTCAGGACGAAAATCCTTGCGGAATCCAAAAACGATGGTTTTTGAGTTTCAGTATGCCAAATTGATGCATTTTTCTATGCTGCATATATATCGTAGCTATTGCTTAATCGAGTTTTAGTAGAATTTCAAAGATCCACGCAGTAGAAGAACGGGGCTAGTCCCTCTACCACTGCCTTTATGTTTTCTCTCAAATAACTTACCTATCTTTTAGGAGTATGGGATATCTGTCATTGTTACAACACCAAATGTACCTTATAAAGGTAAGCTTTAATATGCCGTAAATATTGAATTAATTTGCTGATTTCAGTTAAAGATTTTCATTACAGAGAACTACTTGAGCTTACTTGCAATAAAATGGTTTTCGCTTTGGATACATAAGAGTGATCTCAAATTGACATAAGGAGAGCACGGTCTTTGACATTCGTCGTCGTGTAGAGTTTCGTTGAATCTCTAAGGAGTTTGATCGTATCGTGTAGATTTTTGAACTCGTATCGATTTCGTATTTTCGACAAAATTTAGGGTATTTGCTTTATTCCTGCAACTTTCTAAGAGATTTCTAAGATATTCAAAATTGATTTACTTTTCTTATCTCCAAAGGTACCTTTCAATGCTTTAATGGTTTTTCAAATGGTAACAATTTCTTTGACTTTGATTTTTGAAACTCAAAATTTCTTGTTTTTTCAGCAATAACTAGAAAAAAGGAATTAAAAGAAATTGAAATATTAACTCCATCGCAGGTACAAATAATATTGTTTATCAGTCGCTATTCTTGATTCTTTTCTCTAAATCAGCCATCTTTTTCAGTTGATTGTTGTCAAAATATGAAGTTAAGTTTTAACTTGTGTTCTGCTGACTTTTTCTTGATATAAAATTTATTTTCTTGCAGTTTCCTGATATAACTATAGTTGAACAGTTCCTTGAGCCAATAGTTACAGGCACAATTATATTCCCAGAGGAGTACATGGGGAGAATCATCACTTTGTGTCAGGTATTGTTTCACATGTATTCCCAATCAAAAATTGATGTCACGACTCAATCCTGAATATATCTAAAAGTTTGAATTTTTCACCGGCTGGTATCGTGGTCACGATCGTATCATCTTTAAAACCTAAAGATTTTTGAATTATGGATACATCTTCCTAACAAAACATCTATCCTACAATTTGATAACTTGGCGATTCAAAGCTTGTTTTTCTGTCGTTCCATTTTCTAATCCACTCCTCGTCTCTCAAATAATTCTCTCAGATGCTTTACGATGTTCTCAGGATTTAGTTTTTGCAGTTTTTATATTACAACCTACAGATTTGTCTGAAGTCAAATAATTCGCCTTATTCCTTGTGAAGGGAGTCAGCACAAAACGCAATCGAATGATGCCTTGATATAGACAAATACCATTAAGAAAAGTATTATTGCTGGATAATCTAGCTGTATCATTGCCTTGAGACAAAGAGAATTTATCAATTTATCAAAAAATAATTTTGAACTGACGACGATGCCCAGAGTACTTTGTTTTTCTTAAGCTAATAAGTTTTATCTATTTGATAAATTTATGTTACGCGACGAACGGGAATCTGCTACAGTAAAGTTAGTTGGGTCAGTATTAAGTTATGATCATGTGAATGACGAATTATCAACTAAATTTGTAGAGCAAGCGTGGAGAACAGTTGGATATGAGTTATCTCGACGAAACACGAGTGATGCTAAAATATTCTTTGCCACTGAGCGAAGTTGTGATTGACTTTTATGATCAGCTAAAGTCAATATCATCAGGATATGCAAGGTAATTTTCAATGCAACATGCTCTTATTTGATTCCAAACTTTAACTGATATTTCAAAATGGTACGAAAAAGCGTATTCCTACGCCTCATTTCCACGTAATTTTTCATCCCCACGTGGTTATGAACTTCTGTTCACTTTTTGAGCATTTCCCACACTTTATACCACGCGGAATGTAGGAGACGACAATTATACTTTAAGTACCTTGTGTTATATTTCCGCTTTTCTGTGCCACTACCGAAGGGTCATTTAGTCAAACTGTTGTGTCTTTTATGGTAGATCGTTCGTATGTCAATAGGTTTTAAAACCAGAATTAATTAATGCTTACGCTTGAAAAATCAGTGAAAAGATATCCCGCTTCGGGCAATCAAACGAAATCCAGCTATATGCCAGATGTTTGGGCGAAATTGATAGCATGAAAAAGGCTCCTTTTGTTGCTTTAGATAAATCCCTCATATCCACCACTCGGAAGCATGTGGTTGTAGCGCAGTTCTTTTATATGGTTTACGTCATGTCTAGCGTAATGAGAAAAGTTTAGAGACAACCAAATTCAGTCGTGTCATCCTTCGAGAGTGAACAAATTCACAAAACAAATGCTGATTCTCAATCACTTTACAAGGTTTAAAGCATCTGCCATTTATCGGGATCTGTCTGAATATGTTTGATATTGCTTAAAACTTTATATACGTATAGTATGGTAAAGAATAGAGAAATATAATACCTTGCCAGCATAGTGGAAACATAATTTGTTTTGTTTACTTAGGCCGCTTAGTCCTCTCGTCGCCATTTTTCACACTAGAGTAGTTTTATGTCGGAGCTGCGTTACGATTTTAAACGGAAATAAAACTAACCAGCAATGCATGCTTTTTAATGCTGTCAAGAGTGCTTGGAATTGAAAAGCTCACGGGCGAATCGTCCCCAATGATTCTGTGCATTCTCCTTTGATTTCCCAAAGGTAACAACTTTGAACACTAAAAAGCTGTATAAAGTATATGCAAAAAGCAGTTTTACATGGGGTTCAAGTCAAGATCCAACTATTAATGAAGTGGCTTTAGAATATCGTTTGGGGTCAACGACATTGTTGAGTAATGCCTTGAAATAATTTTTATCGTTGTCATGGTATGTTTTTTATTGGTATGGTCAGCGAAATAAGCCACTAACTCCAAAAAGCAGTATTCGAATTGGCGGAAAACGTTTTCGGAACCCGTTTAAGAGCGAGCAAGAGTAGAACTTGTTTCTAGAATAAGGTTATTAATATACGAGAGCATTCAAATCTAGATTTTGTTTTAATTATTGCTATGTACCCAGTCTATGTTGAAAAACTGATTTTTAACTTGATGTTTAAAAACTGATGTTTTTATCTTTTCTAGTTTTGACTACGAAGAAACTGGCTATCAAGAAACGAAAATAACAAAGGTAAAAGAAAGAAAAACTCAAGGAAAGACTTCTTGTAACACTGTTTGTAAACACATAATTTTTTCAATGATTTGACAACACAGCCAAAAATTAAACCGATAATGGGAGAATGGAAATACTTGTAAGCATGGTTCACACGAGTAAAAATATGATATTCTCACTGAGTAAGATACAATAATTGATATTTTTGAATGATTTTTATCATTCAAAATTTATCATTGTAGGAATTTTTGTTAATCCCCTCAGAATGCAGCTTTGATATAAAACATAGCTAACGGTTTCAGTTACGAAAATTCGATAGTTTCCTGTTCATGTGTGCCTTCTTCTGTACTTTGTACCATAGAGAAATGAAATAGTTTTGTAAAGCCTTGTTACAGTGACAAGATATCTGTTTTAGTTGGATATTCTACTGAATGGCAAGCCAGTTGATGCACTAAGCTGCATAACACATGAATCACAAACCAAGACGGTAGGAAAAGCTTTGTGTGCGAAGTTAAAAGAGCTAATACCAAGGTCAGTAAGCAACTTTAAGTTATTGATTATTAACTGAAGAATTAGCTTTACAATGTAGAAGAAAAATATTCTGCGATTTGCGGGAACTATTTTAGTAGAATACAGCCCTAGGTACGCAGCACGTGTTACCAATGAGGCAAAGCTTGGAAATGAAAGCATGCCAGAAAATTTGCAAACCATTAGGAGGTCATTCCTCTTCAGTACTGTATACTCGATATTGCATCTTTCTATTGCCTGCAACGATGATCAGCACTTCTTGTTGAAGTTTGGATTGCGATTTCTACCCGTACTGGCGCTAAACCATAACTCCTTCGCTTCTGGCCTAGGTAAAACAAATTTTCCTTGGACGCTGGGGGCTGGGAACTTTTCCACCCCTGCACTATTCATGCTACTTTCTTTTTTCTCAGTATAACCTTTATCCATGTTATATCTAGGCAGCTCTATGAAGTCGTGATACAAGGTGCGGTGAGAGGGAAGATTGTGGCCAGGGAATCGTAAGTTTATATAAAATATGTTACATTTTTGTTAATAAGTGACTCTCATAAAAAATTGAGGCAGCTTTCACAAGGGTTAATTTGTTTTATTGCTTGCCAAATTTCAGTTAACGAGATCTTCTTTACTTTTACATGTATTGAAGGGGAAGTTGAAAATGCTAGTACTCTACAAAGGACTTTTCATTAAGGAAAAAACAGCAAACATAGTACCCTTTGTGATAATAAGAATGCTTTTATGCAACCATTTGATGTTGTATTTGCTAGAATGTACAAGTAGAGGCTACATTGTTGACAGGCGTTCGAATGTATTTGCAACTCATTTGAAATGAAATAAAAAGGTGAATACATTCGGTATTAAACATAAATATAAATAACTGAGAAAGGATAAAATGATCTTCCTTGGTCTAAATTATCTGCTTTTTTAAGTTTCTTGTTAAAAGTTTCTCTATTTTCAACTTGCAGGGTGCGACCACTACGAAAAGATGTAACAGCTAAATGTGTGAGTAAAGAAACTACCTTATCTAAAATGGAATATCATGAAATTGCTTTTTGAGATGGGTTAAACGGTGTTAAAGATTCTCGTAGAAACTCTGCTTTGCATAGAAACGTACAAAAAGTAGTTGGAACGGCAGAATATTTAAGTTCAAAAGTTGACAACCCAAGGATTGTACTCCTCTACTTAGTTCTCGATGCTGCTGTTACAATGTTGCTTCCTTCATTAAAAGTGTGTATCTTCCCAATGCCAGTTAGATTCTCACCGGCAGCCACACAGTTTTGATATCTAGCGACATTGTAAAGGGGAGAGCAAACAAGTTTGTCAAACTGTGATGATTTTGTGTAGGTATTCCAATGGCCACGTCTGACTTCAAGACCAATGCACTGCGCATGCCCCCAATGTGATGTAATTAAAGAATTGTGGGATTGTATATAGAGAGACTTATAAGAAACCTCTTTTCTGTAGAAATTTAATATCGTGCAAATATATAAAAATAACGTAAATCACAACTCCTCAAGTAAATCAAATTAAAAAAGTGTTTTTCCCGAGTATAGCTTAGCTTTGACCGTATGTCTATCCCGTAACATAATCGCACTCAACATTTCAGTATGGCGGAGATATAACTCGAAAAAGAAAACTCTTGGACAAGCAAAAAGAGGGGAAAAAGAAACTGAAGAAAATAGGAAATGTAGAACTGCCTCACGATGCATTTTTGTCTTTGCTTAAAAGGTAGCACTAATTAATTCTTAAATTAAAATAATGTTATTTGTGTAAGTATGGAATTAAAGATGTTTAAGTCATTTCAAGCTTGTTCTAACATTTTCTGCCAGATCACCCTCTGCTAGAAATACTTCAAGGAACCCCCCAGTTAACGGGTTCGTTTGTATCCGCCAAATCTCTGTATCTACGCTTCTACCAACCCTCAAATTAGGTATAAACAGAACTTCAATATCGAGCTCTATTCACTCTCGTTCTTGCATTCGTAGCCGTAATTTGAAAGGGGAAGTTTCAGTAACAATAATGTTGTATTGCCTTGCAATTTTCTGATTTGTGAAAGGCGCAGCTTTGGTCACCAAAAAGACAATTAAAACAGATATCAGTCGTCGTATTAGCCGTGTGGATGAAAATTTTCGAAAACAATCTTTTTACATTAAGTAACTTTTATAGCCTCTGAATCTAGCAAAACGTAAAACGTTCAGTTTTATATATATTGATGCAATGTCCAAAGATAAATACACAAAATTTCATTATGAACTCAAAACTTTAAGAACGTCTAAATCATTAATGACAAAAAACAGACCAGGTGGTCGTGCTACGTACAGCGTCCGATAAATAACCAAAGCGCTTCACAGATGTATCTTGCCTAAGCAGCTGTTATTAACGGCAATTTGCAAGTAATGATTACCTCCTTCAAGTCTAGTTCAACTGGAATGCTGCAAAAATCCAATGGAGTTTTTTTATTTCAATGCGTACCCATCAGATTGGTGACTCAACACCTATCGAAGGAAACCAATTTCTTTCAACATTGCACCCAGCTTAATACCAAAGTTTTGTCTTGACCCATCATCCAAGCCTAAACGCAGCCCATATCCAATCACAAACCCCTCGCACTTTATTACTGGGGAAACGAATTTCTACCCTTCTTTGTTATTCTTCCTGTCCTACACCTATATTTGTCATCTGTTCTATACATTGTATATCGTCTTATTTTCAAAGCACGAGCTTTACTCCGGCTAAAAGCAAACATTTTGGATATAAGATCATAAATTGATAAAATAATACGATGTTTAATGTACATATTATTTCAGGTAAGAAAATTCACGCGTTGGGTAACGGCATCCATTCCACGTCTTTTGATAAGCTCGTTGACATCTTTTTCTTTTCCGACAATGAGGATTTGGTCATCATCAGGGTTCCATGGCTGTGAACCTTGAAAATTATAAAATACCACGAAGTGCAAAAAGCCGTAAAAAGCTTGAAAAGTACAAAGCTTCATCTGTTCTAGAGAGCTACAAAGCCATGCAATGCACTGATCTGAGTACATAACGTTTAATAAAAAACATAAAATAGCCTTGTTTTTCTAAGCTGTGACCTGCTGCATGTTTTCAATTTTTACCAACACTACCCTTGATCTTTAAAAGTGCTTCTATTTATGGGACTCACAAAGACACTCTAAACCAAGTCAAGCGAACGCTTTTAAAATTCGCCAGATAAGCACACCGATAACAAGCATTATTTATAAAATGATATTAAATACAAAATTTGTCTTTGATGTTGGTGCGAAGACAAAGGTATGTGGTTTTTCAAACGAACGCTATTTGAATTTCAAGCGTTCTGAATACGGTATTTGGCTAAGATGTTGATCTTTTTGTGGGCGGCAAAGATGGCTGGATTTCATCAGTTCCGTTGATCTTGCTCTGTGATTTTTGCGATAATTAAAATTTTGAGCAAAAAACGTTTTCCTGTTTGTTGATGACAACTTACTCTTTCTTCGAAATGAATGACTAAGCATTTACATTTTTCTCTATGCCTCTTTTCGTCCATCAGTTTAATATCTTTCTAAGGAAATGCATCTTTCAAAACCCACTTTAACTTCACTGTTCTTGATGGTTAGAGCGAATATACAACAAGCGACTGGCATAGGCGTAGCAGGGAGGTAAATGTGATCAAGATTTATATTTTCTAAAATAGGGTTTTTACGCGACGAGACCATAAAAATATATTTCAAAATTTTTTAAATCTGGACCAAAAAACCTGAGAAAAAACTATGAAATGCCACTAAATTTTCGAAATAAGTTAAATATGATACAAATTGGCTGAGATATGACCAAATGCGCACAGGCTCTTTCCCCATGAACACATTGTAAGTTCTTGGTGTGGGTTCTTAACTTTAGTGGTGTGGGTTCTTAACCTTATGTCTGCAAAATTCGAATCTGCTATTGCTCACATTTTCCCAACTTTTAACAGATTTTGCGAGATCAGAGATGGCAAGTTGCATTGCCAAAATTCCATCGAGTCTCTGCAAAGAAGCGTTTTTGCTTTGCCAATAAAAAGTTTTGCGCTAGCATGATAAATGAATCTTATGCTGTTCTCCTCGTATTGAATCTCTGCTTTGAACTTGACAATCTAATGATAAACTCTCTATACTAAACTATAAAATTGAAGCTGGCTGGCTTCGTAGCTCTCAACGTAGAAAATAGAAAATTCACATCAGCTCCCAAACCTTTTGAAAGAATTTCTGCGACGAATACATCCAGCTGTCATAGAAGACGACGATCCAATGACAGTTTCACCAGACGAACAATAAAAACCTTTTCGCAATCATCAAGGCTTTGTAGCTCCTTGGTTTATTTCAAAAGAATATAGAGATAAAGAATTTATAGACAAACGGTGAAAATTTTAAGTTTATCAATATGACAGAGAAACGTATTGAGTCCAATGTTACAGAGTGGGGCGAAAGGTTCCTGCAGCATTAATTCAAAAACCTGAGTAAGAAATCATAAATAATCAAATCATACCATCAATCATTGTTTGATTCTTTAATATATGTTCTGCCTCTTCTATTAGTCCGCTGCCCCAATAAATGGCTTGGAACACGTCTCTGTATGTCTTTCCAAGACTAACCATAAGTTCCTGAAATACCGACATGGAAACAATTCTCAAAATAATTCAATTAATACCTTGAAGAAATTCTGTCATTAATATAGTGAAAAAAGGACACTCGGAAGGTATACGAAGACAGGCGAAGACACTCGAAGATATACGAAGCCAACTTACCGACACTTCGTCTTCAAAAATCATCATCCTGAATCTTTTCTCTCCTTCCTCAGTCTTAAAATATTCGAGTAGCTCTTCACTTTCCTCGTGGACAGTTTTGTCTGACACAAAAAGAAAGAGATTACAAAAAAAATTCCAGTTTGTTTTTAACAAATTAACAGAGTAAGAAAAATTCAAACTCAAAATAAAAGACGTGTTCATTCTCATGTCTCGACATATAAAACATATCTTCGTATAGAAAACAGAAAACAACTCACTTTCAACCGCTTTGTTTACATGTGTTTCCTCTTTCTCTGGCATTTTTCTTTTTCTTCGTCTAGGACTTGGAGCCGGGATTTCTATAAGAAAGAGATAAAAATATGACAATACAAATATAAAGATTACTATGGAGAAACATTTTCGTTGTCGCAGAAAATACATAGATTAACTTGGTCTTTGTTTGGAAAATTTTCGCTAATCAACAATCAAAATTTATCATAACGTAATACAATATAGCATCCTATACATACTATTATAAAGAATATATACTTTATCATAATTTATCATAATTCAATATAATATAATATAATATAATATAACGTAATTGTTTAATTTCTAGTTTGAATTACAAAACTTTTCAACACGCTACTTTACCACTCAACTAACTTTGGAGGTCAATAGAATACAACCACAAAGTTAGGAAATACTTCAAATATATTTCGAAAAAAATTGGGTTTACTGTTAATAAAACTGCTTTGTCTAATATCTTTATACTCTCTTTCAACAAGATGGAACTTTACTGCCAAGATCTAACTTTCATCTTGTTTCTCTCACTTTACCTTGGCAGAAAGACCTATAATTCAAAGAAAATTATCAAAATTGCCAGTCTTGTTAATTTTTTAGTTTTAAGATTTTACGATGTAACTAACCTTCGTTATTATTGCCATCGTTGTCACTATCTTCGTGTATTTCCTCATTTCTAACTTCAAGCCTTTGACTGCGTCTTGGACTCTGAGCAGAAGCATCTACTTCTACAAAAGGTGGATCACTTTAGTCGAAAAGTAAATGGAAATGGAGAAAAAGAAGGTTTCATCAACAATCAACTTCAATTAACATTTCATTTCAATAAGGTAGATCAGTGTTTAGAAACACAGTGCGTATCTAGCATTTGTAGGTCTACAGCAAAGAATAGCAACAACAAAACCTACTCTGTATGATAAATAGTGATAAACAATGAATTACGTTGATAAACAATTACAACATATAAAACATAACTAAAGGAATATCTACATTTGAGTAGTAATAGATTAATCAGTGGCGGACACTTTGTCAAATACTGGGGGAGGAGCCTATTGTTTTGATAAGCTGACGTCACCTTTGTCCAATTTTTTTAGAACAAACGACTGTTGTCTTAAAAAATATTGGAGGCAACCACCCCCTTTGGGCCCCAGGTGCCCGCAACTTAAAAATAAATTACAATCTCTTCCTAGTATCAAATTAAAGACTCTATATGTAAAAATTTTCGAACATTCATAAATCTACAATACTGATTAATTATTATTTTCTTTAGCTTTTTACCACAAACTGTGGAGTTAGAAACTTAGTGACAAAGATAACAAGCAGCTTGCTGCGCCTACAAAAGACTTTCTGTCGTTGTTAAATAATATTAAATAAAATCAAATTGCTTGATTAAAAAAATAAATAGAAAAATAAAAAAACTCATCACATGAAACTGAAAGAGCCTGCAAAAATAAAAAAATGCAAAGATGAATTTTAATGAATTTCTTCGCAGATGGTAGCATGATTATCCCAGAGCCGTGAATGCAAAACTGTAATCTTTGAAGGAAAATCTCATTTGATTGGTATGTTCACATGATTAGATAATTATGTGTTCGATCCACGAAATAGTCATGTCAGTTTACATGTCAATTGAATTAAGTTGGTTTTCGAAACATTATATGATTAATTTTATGAGAACATCTCTCCTATGTACAACATTTTAAATAAAGTAGGAAAGAAACAAACTGGCTGCTTCTTATTGAAGCAATTTCTATTGGGACCTGCAGGATTTTTAGACATCTTAAAAGTTCGACAACACTTAGAAGGACTTCGGCGACAGCAGGTAAATGTTAAAACACTGATTAATTAGAATTTTTAGCATGAATGGCTGTCAACTCACCATGAACCTGAACACGATTTTCTAATCCCTGATATCTTCTGGCCTTTCGTCTGGGGCTTCGTTTGAGACGTTTTGTGTCAGCATCTGTGTCATAAGGTTGAGAGAAAGTAACAAGACATAGTTGAACCTAAACTAGGCTTTAATCAACGGATAACCACTAGTAACTCAAAAACAACTAAGCTTCAATGCGCTAATAAGTTTGAACTAAATAGCGAAGTGTTCTTTGTTCAATTTCAACACAATCTGTTCAAATACTTCTAAGGAAGGTGTCAACTAAACACAACGGGTGAAGCAGAATATCAATAGGCTAGTTTCACCACAATCTGCTCGTTAAATTAGTTTAAATGAGATATCTACAACTGATTCATTAAACGTTTGCTACTATTATTTTCCCATGCTTTGAAAGGGTTTTCTTTAAGACTTTATGTGGTCTAACTCACCTTCATTATCTGTGCATTCGTCATCACTGTCTTCAACTGGATCGTCAAGGCTGGTTTCTAGCACTCGACTGGGTCTGGGATTTTGTGCTGGAACATCTATTTCTAGGTAGGTTAGAATAACAACATTAGAATGATTGAAAATGTCAAATACGAAAAAGAATTGAAATGTATCATCATCTTACCAACTTTTTGATTAAATTAAATTGTAATAAAACTAGGGATATTAGTAAAAACAACAACTTTGAAAATCTGCTTTGAACATTGGAAATCGAGTCTGCAGATTGGAGCAATTTATATTTGTTGAGCCTACACTCTGCTTTCTAGAATATACTATCACTGTGGTGGCCAAATAATTGCTCCAGAAGTAGCAGGAATTGTGTACCACAAAATAACAACTTGAAGTTGGAAAGGACATTTAACAGGAAAAGCTTTTGCAAAATTATATACTCTTGACTTCAGATGAATATTTCGATTGCTTGTACCATAACAACTTCCTAGGTACATTTGGTATAGCAGTTCATGTCAAACAGATTTAAATTTCTCTTTTGTGCACTATTTGGCGATACCTTGCAAGCCATTTAGCTGCAGGCACTTTGCATTAAAGCAACAGATCAGTGACTGGCTGTCAATAAGCTAAATAGCCAACCTTCAATTTCATCTTCTTCATCCAATACTCTTCTGATTCTTTTCCTTGGGCTGCGCCTGGGATTTTGAGCTCCTAATGAACAAATATAACTGATACAATAAAAGCATCAAATGAAAACGGTTCGACCAATCAGAGCAGCTATCACAGTAAAAATTGTTGCTTATTGAAAACTAAGAAGACCAGTGGTCTGAAATGAAATATTGTTTTGGCGTTTATGAATCAGCCTTCAAGAAAACAAAATCCTATCACGTATAGAGAGAATTAGCTTTCTTGCCAGCACCCTTCAAACTTTTCAGGTTTTAGAGACCGCTGACTGACTAGTCGAATCTTAGGAGTGCACATCCAACTTCTTCTCTATTGGCTAATAAAATCACTGTACTATTTCTAATAAAATCATAAACTGTTTTATCAAATGGCATTGATATAAACGGCACTGCGTTTGAACAGAGCACATTGGCATTTTTCACTGCTGTCTTTTAACGCATATTTTAATATTTTTCAAGACTCAAAACCCACCTTCAACAAGAACGCATTCGTCAGTTTTTCCTCCCTCCTTTTTGCTTTTTGTAACTTGATTTAAACTGCGACTTTTTGTGGATTTGTCTATTGATAATAAGCAATTTAACACTTAACATTACACCGAGAAGCCAAAGACTTAAAAAATTTTAAACTCTAGACATAAAAACAGAAACACAGAAAAACAGAAACAAGAACAATAGTCGGTTTACGGTTCAGTTTGCCTTGATTTTCTCCATCAAGACACTTCAGACGAAGTAATTCAGTCACTTTTTATTAATTCTAGGAAATTTTTTATTCGATCAGTAACTATAAAAAATTTCATGACTAGCCATCAAAATAGGTTATCAAAAACAACTATAAATGCCTTCGCCTATGCTTTGCATTACTTCTAATGCACTTATTCTATTCAGCAAAAACAAAAATTTATAAAAGGAAGGAAACCTTACAAAAAGGAGACATTGCTAATTTTAATTAATATCAATACCAAAGCTAAAACTAGATATAATTTAGGGCCCTTTCAAACAGATAGTAACGGATTTTACATGAATAACACACAAACAAAAGTATCATAAGCACTTAATGAAATCTGTGGTATGTAAAAAGAGTGGTTTTGCCTTGATGACGTAAGTTTTAAACGTAAACCTTACCATGCTTTTTTTTAGCTGCTGCATTCGAAGTCAGTACTGTCACGGCCTTGCCTAAAAATAATATAGGAACATTCAACTAAATACTATACATTTGGCAGGTCTAAAACATGTTTGATGTGTTGCTTATAATCTTTGAGCACCCTGCTTCGTTGCAAATAAAATCATTGAATCCATAGCTATTCATATCAAGACATCAATCCTTACCATAAGTATTTGATGAAATCAACTGTCGAAATTGGAATCTAGCATTTTCACCCTCAAGTAACTGAAAACATTTGCTTCTCATGCTCTGCCACGGGTGACAAGTTATCTGTAAAAACAAAAGTGATCAGGCAATTTTTTTAAACTTTTTTATGGCACTAGAACAATAATTAATAGACAAAATAATAATAAACTAACCAGCAAAATAATAAACTTCAAATCACAATAAAAACAAACTTTTGCATTAAAGGGTCTGCACAAGGAGAAGAATGCCTATTTGCAGCAAGCAAAACAAAATAAATATTTATCAAATAATTATGCTGATGGCAATGCAGTATTAGGTAAAAATGGAATATTACAAATGATCACTACAGAGAAAGGTTGAGACAAGTATGACTGGCAATTATGTTACTTAGATACAAGTATCAGAGTCATTTATTTGGCTATATCTACTGATATTAATTATAATACTTTTGACTATTCATCATCCCTAGACACACTTGTGATAAAGCAATGATGAAGGAGACTGTGTATATCATTAGATAAGGTCTCTCTGCTCATCTAAATTCTGCTTTAAGAGGAATGAAAAGTAACAGTCACAGAAAAAGCTCAGACCAGGTATAAAAAACTCTCAAAGAGAAAATACCACATATTAAATGTCACATTAGCCAAATCTCACACGTTTTGTGAGTTTTCTTTTGCTGATATTTTTTCTGAATTTTCACAACAATAAATTCACAAAATTTTTAATGTGATTCTCTGTCTTTTAGAGATGATCCTTACCTTCTTTTTCTCCATATCTTTATACAATGCATTGCCCCTGACGCTGTGTTGTCCTGTTTCTTTGCCATGCTTTTTAATATAATCTAGCATTGCCTTTTCTTCCTCTAGTGAATACCACTTTTTCCTACGAAAATCAAACCTGAATATACATAAACATTCAAACTTTTTTATATGCAACATCTATTTACAGGATCAAAATTTTGGTAAATCAAGATACCATCAAATTATAAATTTGAAATGTTATATAAAAAAAAGAAAAGTTGAAATATTGCAAACTTACTTGGATCCCATGATGCATTAACCCCTTCTTACTTTGCTAAAAATTTGCAGATGGTTTATTCATGTCTTTTCTCTGCTCTCCTTGAAAAAGAAAATAGACATCAAAATAACGTACTGTTGACAACAGTGTCATAATTAGATTTATATGAAGGGGAACAACTTTCCTTTCTTTTTGTAGTAAGTTTGGGCTGTTGGTCCTGTGGCAATAATTTTTTGAGGACACAAATCTACAAGCTAAAATGCACATTTATCAAAGAATGGCGAAAAGGAGGCAAAATTGTTCCTTTTGAGCTTTTTGCCAAAATAATTTGAATGTATTATCAAAGGGTGCATTTGCAACCATGCACTCTTTGGTCACAACACAAGAAAATGCTGGGATGACTTTTAGTTGCATATTAAGGACCGTCATTTGTTTCTTTATTACAATTGTATTTTTTGTAGAGTGTTTAAGGATTTCACATGCCATTCACCCCTAATTTACATGGCCTTTAACTAAATTTTAATGACATTATGTTATTCTACAGCATTTAAATCCTCAGTCTAACATTTCATATGGCTTTTCAAATTCTCTAAAAAAGCAGTGAGAATATGATATTATCATATCCTCACTGCTTTTTCATTCTGCGTGGCATTACTTATTATATGGCTTTATACTCCGAATGGTGTTTCATTTTGTATGGCATTTCAAATATCATATGGCATTGCAAATTTCACATGACTCATTTCCTTGATTCTTCTGCCAACGCGCAATACATCACATCATGCCGAAATGCATCATGTCCTATGAAATGTAAAACGCCATATGAAATTTGAAATGCCATACAAAATGAAACACCACATGGAGTATAAAGCCATATAATAAGAAATGCATCGCAGAATAACCAGTGGGAATATGATTTTTTATAGAGATTTATTTGAAATAGAATTTAGTTAAAGACCATGTGAAATGTGGTAGAATGGCATGTGAAATTATTAAACACTCCACAAAAAGTACAATTGCAATATAGACACAAACAATGCTCCATAGCATATATGCTAAGCTAATATATTCTTTGAATAAATAGCCACAGCATTTGATTATTTGGTGCAATTTTTATCTCATAAAGGAAGACCTTTATTGCAGAACTGGCTTTGCATAAAGAAATATTGGGATGATTGTTTTTATGATTAAAACTATTTTTATTTTCAGACTTTTATTTAATTAAATTTGTTGGTGGACTGCCATGTCTTAAAACATAACTTCAGAAATAACGCAAATGGAAGTTATAGGGATACACAAATGAGAGGAGGATGTGGCATTCCTCCACTTAACTGTTTTTACAGAAAAGAAATCAACTACAATGACTTCTCATTAAGAAATGCAGAATAGAGAAAACAACAGCATTTTGGGTCATCAGACACGCTACAAAAAGATATTTTTTCAAGCTAAAAAAACTTATTTTGCTTCCTAGTTGCATGAAAATGAAGAATGAGACTGTCAACTCGTTCTTGGGCCTTATGTAATTCTTCTAATATAAAGCCACAATGTAAAATGCAAATTTTTTAAATGAGATTCTCAAAAGAAAACTCTGCATTTAGATTTTGGCTATTCAAACAGATTTGCAGCAGTGCTGTCATATTTGATTGATCTTATGCAACATATCTGTATACCTCTTTCACCAGTAAAACACACTTGTTACAAAATTATTAGGACGATAGTCTACAAATGTAGCATAGGTACTATGGTGGAAGAACAAGAAAGAAGATCAGAGAACCATAACAATATCGAAGGCTGACATTTTCAATTGCAATTTTGATCCAATTGTAAAAATAAACATTAACTAAATAAATCATAGCAATATAAACTGTTTCTGCCAGCAAAAAAAGTTTTTAAATTTGCTGTCAGATAGCCTCTTGACTTCAAAACCATCACTATTGGTCATAGAATGGATAGGTACAATTCTGCAAGAAACCCCTTGAAATATGCGACCAAATCTTGAAAACTCTTTCCAAAAGCTCAGTTTTTTTTGTTTCTCGAAAACTGGATGATTGTGATTCATGGCATTTTTCTTGAATAACCAGGTTTTTCAAAAACATTAAGGTCAAGACAAAGGCAAGACCATGATGCTGTCACGGTGGAATTAATTTCTTGTTGCAAAGGCAGAATGACAAGGTCGTTCTCCTGCTAGAAGGTATTATGGTCTTTTGGCATCACCATAAATGTTTAGTGCACTAGCTTGAAGGTTCTTTGCTATGGATGTAGTATTCAGTGTTGGGGTCCTGGCAAATAGCCAATCACGATACACTTGAATTGTTTTTCAACTCAAATCTTTATTCATCTGAAATATAACAGTTTCCTTACAATTAAATATTACAGTTATCCTGCCATATTAGAATGCTTTATTCATTGTCCTAATACTTTGATCGCGTAAATGGCCTAAATCGTATCATCAGCTTAAGAAAACAACAGTCCTTCCAGCTTACTGCCCTACTAAGCATGCCGGTATACATGTTTCTGACCTCAACAAACATCAATAACCATCACCACTAAAAACTTACCTTCTTCACAAACATCAAGATTTGAATTCAAGTCGACGCCATTGTGCATTCTTTTTGCCGCCTTCCTTCGATAGTGCGCCTACGTAGCGACAAAACGTATGCGCGGCAGGGTTGCCAAGTGCTGGCAAGTCCTAATCCCGGAACTTCAATCCCAAATCAGTCCCAAATTTTAAATTCCTCAGCAGAGGTAAATTCGGTTGCTTAATTTGACATAAATAGTCGAGTTAGTTGCCATAAGAATTGAGTTGCATAAAAATACACAGGATATAAGTCATATACAGTATAAAAGCATACAAATCATTTTTAAATTTGAATAGAAACTAAAACTGCGAAGTCACTGTCTTCCTCGTTACTGTCTTTTGTGTTATTATTTTTGGCTCACTACATTGTCTTTAGCAGTGCGAAAGGAGTTACATAATAGTCAATTTGAGCAATCCATTGACAAATTCTAACAAATTATCCATTTTTGTCCGATAATCCCAAAAAAATCCCAATTTTCACTTTGAATCCTAGATTACAATTTCTGGTCCCAACAGCTTTTTCATAGTCCCAGTTTCGTGAAATCTGGGATTGAATAATCCCAAATGGCAACCTTGATGTGCGCAAACACATTATACAAGCCAAAATGCACTAAAGGGTATCTACTTGAATGAGGGGCAATATTTTTCACCAATTTTCAGCAAGGAAAACATTTGCTTATTCGTGGAGTTGCATGCAACCCATTGGCTGACTAATCGCTTGACTTCCTAGCATCCAGTGCACTGAAATTACTCGCATTTGCTTGGCTGTTTTATGATGTTGAAGGCTCATAACTTTCGATAAACTATGAAGTAGAGGAAGGTACAACATCTATATACGAAAAATTTAACATCTGTTGCTTGGCCTGATAAATTAGGATGAACAGAGACACTGATCTAGATTTTCCTGTGCAATTTCCTTGCCTTCTCTGTTAGATGCACCCAAAAGTAATCAACACTGCTAAAAGTACATTAATCTAAGTTTGGAAAATCAGCTTCACAATGTCACACTGCTTGACATGACAGGGGAAATTATTTCATATATTATATATTATTTTCTAACATGTCCATTTGATGACAACAAGTGAGAATACTTTTTTGGCATTTATTATGAAAAATTAATCCCACCTTCCAGATAGTTATGCCATCAAGAAAAAACATGTCTTGAGGATAGGATGACAAAGAGACGAGCAAGGGACACATTATTTTCCGCTCAATATTTTGTGACAAATCAGATCACTTTGACAAATAGAGGAGATCAAAAAATAATATTTGAATAACATTAAGGACAAAGCAGAACAACTCAATGCTCTATAGACTACCTACAACAATTATCTAACCGATTAATGACAAACAACCAAATATGATCAGCAGCATAGCCAGGGTGGTAAGATTGGGGACAACAGAAAACATCATTTTTCGAAACATCCTTTTCCCTTCTTGCCTCCCTCTCACTATACTACTGAATATGATGTACCAAAGCCTCTGACATTGAGACATGTTTTCGCTAATGAAAGTTTTACACAAATTGGTAAAATTGGATCAGGGCTACTTTTTAACAGAAGAATATGTTCAGACAACGTCTTTCAATAAATGATTTACAAAGTAAATAAAGGTAACAGGTATGATGGTTTGTGGCAACGGAAGACTGAATTTATTTCGTTACTGTTACAAATTATATAAACTACGAAACAAAATATCATTTCTATTCCTACTGGCTACAGACAACTCCTAATGGCTGCCTACCATGCACTTTATATGGGACTATGCTGTTTGGTAAACTAGTTACAACAGATAACTATACCACTTAAATGGAATATGTTGTTTTGCGTACCAGCAATTATGCTTATCAAAAATTGAAGTTAATTATATCCTAGAAGACTGTAAGGAGTGCAAAAACACCATAAAGCAATGCACATGGGTATGCAACTAACAGTTGTTGAGAGTCCATTGCAAGAACGGTGACAAAAAGCTTTGATGCTGACCAACTGCACCATAAAATTACAATTGTAGTCAGAATTGTTCCAATACTACCCCTGAAAATGAATAAATTTATCATTATATAAATCAGATAACACCCATGCAACAATTCTATGCAAAATTTCAATTAAGTAGCATTTTTTAAAATCCATTCTAGATATAAATCTTCACTTTTCCAGTTGTCCTAATCACTGTTTATACAAGAAAAGTAAGTTTGGCATTCAATTAAGGGCTTTACCATAAAAAGGAACCAAGGGTGTAAAAACTACACCCAAAATTGTATTGTATTTAAACCGGACCTGGCTGTTTCTATTTTTGTAGCTGAGCTGTGAATCGCTCCCCTCATTTGCTGAGGCAAGCTAAACAAGTTAAACATAGAATGTACTTCAAAAGCAAACAACAGATGGCTTAAGCCCTTTTAGTATCTGTCAATTGACTTTAAAAAGTCTTGAAGTCAAAGAGTATATGCTGTTTTATTTCTTTAATTTGTATATGCTTTAACCATGGCTTTAAACACGGCACCCCTTTGCTTAACAGATTTGAAAAAAGGACTCTTTCAGTTTTGTGTAAAGCTTGCACAACACAAAAATAACAATTATCTCACCAAATAATCTTTTTGTTGTACAAACATAGATATGTTCTGACATTTTATACGGGAAGGGAGGGGGAGGTTGGGGAGTTTTAAATTAAGAGATTTATTTGAACAGGATCTTTATTAGAACCAAATTTATTCAAAATTGTGTCACACAGAAATAGGTATTTGAGATGCGATCTTAGTAACAATGAGTGAATAAGTCGCTCAAAGAACAAAAAATATAATTATACTTACTGTAAAGTAAACAGCACAGACATGCCTGACAACATGACCATTGGTAGGAGACAATATCCAAGAACGCTGACAACACAACTGAGTGTCACCCCAGTCATGCTCATTAGATTGAGCACAGCATACATTGAAACACATCCAAGAACTCCAACACCATAAATATAGCCAAACCCATGCACTTTGCCTGACTACAACAAAAAGCAAATATCAAGGACCAAACATTGACTTTTCACAGAAGTTTATTACTTTTCAAAGATTCTCACAAGTAGACAAGTTACAATTTGAATTCTATTTGAATAATCTTCTTACACTGTTTCAGTAAAATGCAAACTTTCCAAGGATATTATCCCATTCTAAAGTATATGCACCTGTAAACATAGGTTTGTGCCTAAAAGCATTCTTAGACTAAAAAAACCAATTATTACCTAACCTAAAAACAAATTGCATTTCGTCTCAACATTTTTGTCCCAGATTGTAGCTAAAAAAGGTACATGTGCCTACAACATGCCTTTTCCTGAAGAAATTTTTGCAATGGTGACAGGTTGCCTTTGTGTCTGAGCTTACAAGGGTAATTATCTGTCCAGCAACATCTGTACAAGAAGAAGTCCTCCAAGGCCAGGGGATTGAGGGTCTAAGGGTATCAACTGCTCACAGTTGCTTCAAATTTGGATTCTCAATGTGTGATTACCACAAACCTCCTAACAAACCATGTTGTGTAACATTAACAACAAAATAGATTATATGTGGCACAAACACTTACAAACCTCACTATTACAAGGTAGTTTGTATGTGGCACACTTACATTGAAAACAACTATTACAAGTGCAAAGAAAAAAAACAGTTGTATACAGCATAAATATAAGCATGATGATGGTGGTGATGTTGATAATGCTTATGAGGATGACAAAAGTTCGATGATGTTGATGATGGCAAAATTGATTGTAATGATGGTGGTATAAATGGAGATAGAATACTAGATGGAAAGAAGCTCTGGGTTAGGCCAAGGTTTGTTTCTACGGCAGAATATAAAGTAGGTGCATCAAATCATGACCTTTGATAAACCAAGATAGATGTAGTGACGATGGGAATTTTCAACACCAAGATCGTCCAGTATATCTGTAAAAGTAGAACTTGATTGCCCAAAGATGCCAAGAGAACTAATTAAGAGGTCAACAAATTTAATGGATTTTACGAACTGCTAAGAGTTTTTAAAAGAGATTTGTACTCATCTCTTTTGTGAGAACTATTAACATTAAGATTTTTCTCAAAGCCAACTGTAAGTTCAATGATGTAAATGATTTTCCTTGAAGCAATCAGTAGCATGTCAGGCCGCAAAGAATCACCTGTTATAATAGATGGGGTAAGATGAGATGGAAGATCAGGACTGAAGGAATTTGCAAGATGGAAGCTGAAAGTTAAGACCAAAGCTGCTTTTAAGGAGAATGACACCACTGATTGTAGAACTGATTGGAAGATCAAGCCATTGCCTGACATATTTTGTAACAAGATTGTCAAGGTTTTCAACAATCCATATTTTTGGTAAGTCAGTTATAGTCAGATGCCATGATAATTTAGAAAGAAAATATCTTTGGTAGAGATAAGTTTGTTCTTTGGAAGAATAGGCAATGCACCAACTTTGTAGAGTAAGTCTTTTAGAAAAGTTTCAATAAAAGTTTTTTGCACTTGATTTTTCATCTCAAAGTCAAAAGAACAACTGAGATACTTAAAAGACTCATTTTGAGAAACAGCTGGTACAGGTTTGGCTGATATTGGTGAGAGGCAGTTGCAGACTTTTTGATGCCGATGGTAATACATTTATCCGCCCTTATGATCATGTTTGCCCAGTGGTACCATCTTGAGAAGCAGTTTAGCTGTAGCTGGTTCTCACACTCCCAACTTGTAACAACTGCAGCATCATCAGCATATTGGAACCAGTGGACTGGGTTAAAGCTGTTTTCATTATCATGTGGAGAAAAACCAAGCTGTCTAAATTTCTGTGCCTTGACATACTGGATAAAGGTATTAAAGCCAAGGTTGAAAAGAAGAGGGCTTAAGCAGTCACCTTGAAGAACTCCACAGCGAATAGGTATCAATGGAGTATAGTATTCACGTGTGATCTTGGAAGTTTTGAAGTGCCATAGCACCTATTGCCAAATGCCATTCCTCAGAGTCTAGCAAAGTATATTTTTCAACTTACCAAAAGTAATAATGCTCCAAAGGCAATGCAGAAGACAAATGGGCCAGCAAGGTCTGTATCATCCATGATGTTTGGGTCGGTTTGTTGAAATGGATGCAGAACAGACATAGTCTGAAAGGGAAATTTTCTAAAAATGAATTTAAAAAGACAAAAATGTAGGGTTTTTCTGAATTTCCCAACATGTTTTATGATCTAACAATTCCTCATTCTACCAAATGATATTTACACCAACAACAAACTATGACTACATTGTACAATAACCTATGGGGAGAAAAATATTTGTTTTCTTTGTTTTATACATAAAATAAAATAAGATTTGACAAGACATTTAAGACAAAACATACCTTCTGGCTAATGTGTTCAAAATTTATTCCGAGCTCTATAAAAGAAAAGTAAATTTAATTAACAAAAATATTATGTCTCAACAACCCATAAGAACATACAACTGTCACAACCTAAAACTTTTAATGTCTTCTGTTCTCAGTTCAAAACAATTCAAAAAAGTTGAAATACTGAAATAACAATTTGAATCCTTTTGTGAAGTTCTGTAACTTAGAAACATAATGCTTTAAAACACAATTGGAACATGAAGGAGCCTAGGCCTTTCAGTGTGAACTGTGAATTGCAACTTAAGAAGCCTGTTATATATACACATTAAAATTGAGTACTGATTTTTTGTATAAAGACTTGAGCACACAATTTAAAATTCAAATATTGGTTTCATAAAATCTTTCTAGGGCTGATTTGCTTGACTTTGTGTGGAAATATGTCTTCAGGTCTTATCTGTATATCAGTCTTGAATACTTTCTTTCAAAACTGCGAATAACAAAACAAATTCAAAAGCTATTAAGCTATTAAGCTATAATCTGGAAGCTGAAAAGTTTTAGCATTCATATTTTCATACAAATTATCATGTTTTTTTTGGGTGTCTATCTCACTACTTTTGGCAATTTCTCTATGTGCAGAAATATTGACTTTCTCTAATTGTAACATTTGAGACTAGCAGTTCATATCATAAAAAATTTTGAAAATTAGCTTTACAACAAAGTCCCTAAAAAGTTGTAAAATTTATTGTAAAATATCAAGTCTAATCTTATCCATTAATCCTTTGTTTTAATTTACTAAGCATGTACAAATTGGTGCACGTGGATCCGAAGAAACGGAAGGTATGCCAAATACACCATTAACATATTATGGGTATATATCTTTTAAAGGCTAATTGGTTTCACATAGACAATAATCTCTTTACAAAAATCATTATAAAGCATTTTTGCACAGACAGTACTAAGTTGAAGCAGCTTATGTTACCATGACAAAAATTATCTCAAAGAGGCTTAGAGAGCATCAAACATTTGATATCAACTATCGATAATTCAAAATTGTAAAGGTTCAGCAAATAGCAATACCTTCAAGTAAGGGAGGCTCATCCTCAAAATTTGTATAATCCGAAGGACCCTGCTTCATTTGGTCATTTAAACTATAGTTATTCTGTTGGGGAGTCATCATAGTTGGTCCCTGATTGCCATAACCTGGAGCAGAATTATAAGACTGGTCATATCCACCATAATAATCTCCATAATTTCCCCCTTGATCTGGTGGCGCATAACCGTAGCTTGAAGAATCGTCCTGTCCAGCATATGAATAACCAGAGTCAAAAAAGTCAATTTGCTGGCTTTCAGACATCTTTTATCGTGCTCGTATAATGTACAAACTTTTCACTGAAATCGATTATTTACTGACACCCTTCCAATACTTTGATTTGCATGTTCCTCCACTATTTTAGGCCCAAGTAGTTGGTCCTGAGGCGATAAATATCTGTACCTTAAAACAGCAGAACTTCGGTGATCAACGAAGTTAAAGTATTAAATGCTTTACAAGTAGTGCTCCTTAAAATGTTTTTAGATTTTTCTTCACAAAAAGAAAACCTTTAAACTAAGCAGCAATACCTCCCTGCGGCAGCATCCAGGCCACGTACACCAACGTAGGGTATACCACAGGGGAACAAAGTATTGCTCGAAGCGAGAAACTGCCATGTCAATCGTCAAGGCTTGAAAAAAATTAGAAATTAAGAAGGCTAATAAATGAAAAATATAAAAAATAAGCCAGACTGTGTAGATCTCAAAAATCTTTCTAGCAGGTATGTAGCCCCAAGAGCCCCCCGCTAATGCTAAACAGTAGCCCTTTCTTTTTTGCTATTTTTTCCAGACATTTTTTGTTATTCTTTTCGAAACATTTCTTTTCGCAAGGGCCACCTTCTTCTTTTGATATCATTACTATCCTGCTGTCTAATAAAAGTTGTCCTCGACTTTTCTGATTTTACCAAATGTTCAGCCGTATTTTGTACACGACAAGCCTCAACGAATGACGTCTACACAAGTGAAAAAACTTCCAATATTGTATCAGATCTGTTGGCAGGGGCGTCGTGGCCGAAGGGCAGAGGACCGTAGCCCCCTCTGCTTTCAAAATTTGACAGATTTTCAGAAAAATCATTGTTATGTCGGAAGACTCTCAAACTTGAGCTGTGGGTAAAAAGGAGCAGTGAAACGAAACTTTTAGCGAGATAAATTTCTTAGACTAGATTACTTATCGTATTATCGAGAAGCAAACCACTTTTGTAAAGAAAACACTAGGTTTCTACAAAAGCAAAATGATTGCCAAGGATTTACCGATTTCTACCATAGAGGAAGGTCATAAATTATATCTTTATAGACTGAGACAGTGCCAATTTTGTGCCTATCACCAGACTTGAAAATTTTGTCCCATATTTTAATTTTTATGCATTTATGTTGCATGAGGTAAAACAAGGAAGAAGTCGATCAATACCATCGCTTTCCGCAAGTGGATATTCATTTTGAGAATAAAATTTTATTATCAAAATTTGCTTCAAAGAATGCAATTTCCGGCAAACTTGAAGCATTTAGAATATAATAAATTTTGCTCTTGGAGGCAATCATGGTAGTAACTTTATTATATTTTTGTCCTTATCTCCCAATCTATAGGGTTGCGAGATGAATTGGACTTTCACAGTAAGTATGAAAAAACAGAGACAATATGAAAAATTTATTTTCAATATTTTCCAGCTAAGGCAAAAGTTATGTGTTCTTCTCCCCCCCCCCTCCCCCTTACACTCATATGAAGTGCTTTCTGATTAACAAAAATCAAAGAAATTATGTCAGAAAATTTATCTTTCTGGCCCCCTCTAGAATTCATTCGCCACTACGCCCCTATCTGCTTTGAGGCTAAGAAAAATTTTAGGCTAAAATGGAAATGAATGTAATATATGGTTTTGTAAGTAACTTCTCTAAAATGTATCCTTAGCTTTACCTTGGTTGCTATGTCTTTACCATAGAAGACATAAATAAAATTTAATATGGGAATTAGATCAAGGAATCGGCCATTGTTTAAGTGTTACAACGAGTAACAGCTTGGCTTAGCAAATTGATCGAGAAACTTAGTCTAGAATAACTTGGTACTAGCACAAATTGACGGAGTTTCGTTTTTTCCATTGCCTAAACTTGGCACACAAGGTCTATTTGTGTACGAAAACTTTCTCAGAAACATTGCAAAAAGAGAGAAATCAGCTGTTGAAGGTAAAGAAACAGCTGGAAAGAACTTTTTGAGGATATTATGAGAAGTAAATTATGGGCAGATTTGTTCTTAAAAAGTATCATCAAGAAAACTCCAGAGTTTTATCATTTGGATAACCCATTCCTACTAAGAAAGAAAAAATATCGACGCAATTATAAATTCTATTTAAACTCATTTTGACAAGCCCAGTTTGAAGGTTTTTCAAATTTTTGTTAAAGCACTTCCGAAAAAGTTAAGATCAGATGTCACAAAGTTATATCTTAACTGTACAAAATTGCTAAACTTTTTTATTTTTAGTTGATAGTTCTTCTGTTGATATTTCAACGTTAATGTTTTTATTAACTTGTTTCATTTATATTTCTCCCCCGTCTTATTTCGGGTACTTTTAAAATCTAAAAAAGGTTTCATTACGAGCTATATGATAGTGGTTATTCTAAAACTTTGCAAAACTTTTCTATTTCAAGTCAACATCACAATAGACGCGACTATGCGACACCTTAAGTCAAAATTCATTTTAGATACAGTTTCTGGCCATCCCTAAGACACCATAATTCTAAAAATTTTTTGCCTCCAACCATGGTGGCGGCCTTTCCTAAGCCCTTTCAAGACTTTTGATATCTTGGCCCCTCCACTTTCAAACACGTTTCGCCGGCCCTGCCCTGCATGTAAAATTACAGAATTGTTATATTTACATATTTTCAAAGTACATAGAACTTCATAGGACATCACCATCAGCTGTCTTGGCCACTATAGGCCCATAACCTTCAAAATCTCCTTGATTTCTTTCTATTTTGTGCTAATCTTAACCTTAATGATATATGCGATGCTCTGCTAGCCAGTGCACCAAACCTCTAACTTGAACTGGGACACAGGCTATGCTCTGCAGACATGGCCGCCGAGAGATTTTGGGGCCCGGGGGAAAAACCGAATTTTTTTCGGCCACATCTTGCGTTTGCTACATTTCATTAATTTCATTCTTAAAATGGAACTTCTTACTCTGTGAGGCCCCTTAGACCTCGAGGCGCTGGGGGCAGTTAGCTCCCCTTCCTCTCACTTGCCTCGGTGACCCTGTCTGCAGATGATCCTTTTGTCCCTTTTTAGTTCTTTCACGTCCTCTTTTTGCTTAAATTCCTATTCACACAGTAATCTTCTTTCTCCACTTTCTTTTCAAAACTTCTTTCTTCTCTACTTTCTTTCGTTTCCCTTATTTTTCTGACTTTTCTACAACGTCAGTATCTTTGGAATGTGATCTCAATTAGTCCACTTGTTTAGGCATGTAATGTTAAGCATTGCTCTTCCCATGTTTCTCTCTGTCACTGCCAGTTTATGTTAGTGTACATGTTAAAACACCGTATGTTTTTGCTGGTACTATGGCTCTACCAATTATTTTTTCTTACACAAAGCAATGAATTTTGCTCATGAAATCACAATTTTTGCCAAAATCCTTGCCATCCTTCTGTTATTTTTTTGTCACTTTTTTTATTTGGTTCGTTTTTTGACATTATTAAAGAGCTGAACACATTCACTTTCTTCTTCTATGACCCTGCTCTCTACTTTGTGACCAATGAATATTGTCCTTCATACGTTACTGCATACAATCATGAACAAAAGGATCTCCCAACTACGCATGCCCATATCTTCATATGGCTTTAATCACTTTCAAACACACTCAAACCATAGGTGAGACAAGGACTGAAAGTTTAGTCAGTTTAGTTGTTCCAAATTAGCTTGCTAAATTGTTTAATATCCAGGATAAAATTAATATTTAAGAAGTATTACGCCACTGTTTGTTTTGGAATGTAGCATACCGCTGCAGCCAAAACATTTTGGGAAGCATAACGGCGTTACTCCTCTACTACACCACTGATATCAAATGTACAGAAAACCAACTGTGCGCGCCTGTTTAAGACCAAGCTTAGGAAGTGGTTAGAAGCACCGGCCTCCAAGTTCAACAGTCAGCTAAATTTGAGTAAATCCATTGGAAGACCGAAGAACGTAACTTGGGCTCTTCGTGAATGGCCATGGATAGGCATGTCACCTGTGATAAGATATAAATAAACAGAAAAAAAATCGACTTTTTAGGCCAAATTTTCCAATACTGGCCTGCTTCGAATTGGATTTGCCAGGAAGATTTGTTTATGGCCTACAATTCAAAATTTGTCTTTCTGGCCTTTTTCAGCAGAAGTTTTGATGACATTCTTTTGCATTATATAAACTACACTCTTTTTTTATAAGAACCAGTAAATTTAATTTCAGGCTGACTGTTCTTAATTTTTTCGAAAATCTGAGGCTGGATTGTTCTTAATTTGTTCTTAAATTAAGAGGGTGTAAGCAGTGCTATTGCTAGCTTTTTCGCTCTAAGGAGGTGTTCAGGCCTCATTTGCCAACAAAGTGAGTGAGACAGCCTTAATTTGCTGACAAATTTGAATATTCACCGAAAAAGCACCCACATCGCTAAAAATCCTCGATTTTGAGAAAAACGTTGTTCAAAATTGCATTTTGCAGAAGCTCAGCCTCAGCTTGTTCTTAATTTGTTCCTAACTTTTGACCAGTTTTGAGGCTCGTGTTCTTATAAAATTGTTCTTATAAAAAAAGAGTGTAAGCACCTTAATAAAAGGAATAATTTTAACTTGAAAGAGCAATACTGCATACAAACCCAAAAATTAATCATTATCATCGACCTGACAATTAGCGAAGGAATTTTTTGAAAAATAAAGTTTCTCAGTATCTTTTTTGAGTTTTGAAAATTATTTAGAAGGCACTCATGGAAACAAGTACTTCGCTTGCAGTGCATTTTTAGAAACTTTTAATTTTGTTGTTTTATACACATTTTGGCCTGAGTTTGTCACCCGTTCTTTTGTATATCCCGTCTGACAAAATCTTAATTTGAATCTTTTTTGGATGGCTTTTTTCAAGATTTTATCACTAAGAAATCATAAACTGATGTTATTAGCACTTTCAACGTTGAATATGCAGCATACTTATTCTGTTTTCAAAACAAGAATACATCTAATCCAGGGAAATAACCAGGAAAGGTGATGTTCCAAGTTTTGTTTTGACTCGCCCTTCAAGTTACGAAAAGAGTAAATTTTACCCCCCAAATAGAAAAGTGTTGCCATCCCTGGTCTAACTGTGAGGAAAAGGGTGAAAGGACGACGGTCAATATGTAAATCAAAACGAGGTTCTATCTGCCCTTTGACCACTTTAGCTCGGTCACACTCACTGATCTCACTATACTTGTAAAAGTATCCTTTTTGCTAATCCGTATTGCTGAGCTCGGTGTTGCGTTGAGACGTTTGCAAGGAACAGAAGAACATCGGCAGAAATTTGAGACGGTAATGAATGCAATTATGTTGGAAAATTGATAAAAGTTAGGCTGCTGATAAAGTCTAACTAGTATTGAACTGACTGATGAGTATGAAGTATATCAGGAAGATTTCGGGCATGTGACAACAGCCCAGACAGACAATTGTTCTTTTTAGACAACATCCGTCTGAGTTTGCCATTGTGCAGATTCCTCCTAGAATTGAAAATTGAAGATGTTAGATGACGTGAATCTAACAAACTAAGCAAAGATGCTAACAATGCTTTCCATTCTTAAACTCGGGCATGATGTTTTTATACTAGGAAACGTTTTTCTCTATTGTCTCGGACAGCTATACTTTGCTTTGCTGCTGCGAAGCTCTAGGACTCAATTTCAAGAAGCACCAGAGAGTCAAAAGCTGTTTGAAATCTTCTCCAAAAACTATATAATATTTTTGCTGCAAACAATGAACCTCTCGAATTGTCTTTATACTTGAACTTATGATCCCCTCCACATCCAGAAATATGAAATATCAAATATGCTTCCTCCTGGATAAGTCCACCTATGCAGAGAGCTCCTCCTTTCACAACTCCCCACCATGCAAAGATTTAGTATTATTTTTGTCCCCCCATTATTGTCATTGTTTGTTTATAACTTTCCTTTGCTTGTTAGTAATTTTTTATTTTGAGAACTTTGAAATGAAATAATTGAAATGAAACTGATTCACCATATGTGTTGAATATCACTGTAGAAAGTTTTCAAATAGATTTCTGTACCTTTCAGGAAAATAAAATCAGAAACATGAAGTTGGCTTTGATTGTGATTGATATGCAAAACTTTTTCAAGGACCTGGCAGAACCAATTTTGAAAAACATAACTGCATTGGTAAATCAATGTCACAAAAAAGCAGTCCCTGTTATTTTCACTCAGCATCATGACCCAGATCCAAGGTCAGTGCAATCAATCTTCGTGCAAAACCAGATTGTACATGGCTCTGAGAGCTGGCAGCTATATGAACCAGTGATGGATCTAGCTAATAAAGAGACAGATTTCTTTATCGAGGAAAAATGCAGATATGATGCATTTTGGAACACAAGGTTGAAAGATATACTGCTTAAGGAATGTGTGGACACTGTCATCATAACTGGTGTGATGACAAACTTGTGCTGTGAGACAACTGCAAGAACAGCAGTGTGTAATGATTTTAATATTTTGTTTGTGAGTGATGGCAATGCAACCAGACAGAAAGAATGGCATGATGCTACCTTAGAAAATATTGGAGGCTTCTTTGGAAAGGTGGTTACAACAGAGGATGTTTTAAAACTTATTTGATGTCACATGAATGCTGGTGTATCTCATTTGCATAGGAGAGTTTTCATTTGACTTTGATGCAAAATTCCATACAATTGATTTTTATGTGTGTAACTACCTCTTTCATTTTAGAGGGGGTGCCAAATTTTTAGCAATTTTAGCACTGTCTGAAGAACTCTTATGATTATGAATTTATAACCTTTGATTTACATGGCTGTATTTTTGACAAGGATTCCGGTTTTTAATGCTTAGAACAAATCATCTTTCTGGTTGAATTTTGTAGAAAACCTTTTTACTGGCACTAGGCCCAAAGCTTTTGGGAGCCAGAAGGGGAGCCTCTACGCTTTCTTTTGGGAAGCCCTACTCTTAAGAAAAAATAAGAATAGTTAAGAAACAAGAAGGAAAGGAATCAATGCATTTCAGTTAGCAATTATGAATTTTAAGAATTTTCACATGAAAATATATGACTACAACCTGCGTTTTTTACGTGGTTTTCCTTAAAAACCAGAACATTGGGTGGATTGTTAATTTTTGGCAATTACATCTGGCAGAAAAAGTTGGCATCTTTGGCCATTCTTTTGATATTAAGACAAATAGTGAGAGTCTGTTTTTTTGATATAAAATTTTTCATATGATTTCTCTATGTAGTGTAGATTTTATGATAGTATACAATTCCATGAAAAACTTTACACCGTCAGTCTTTAGAATTTTAGAAACGTCGTAAAAATTGATATCACGTGCATTTGCTTTATGAAAACTTACAGGTAGCTTAGACTTTTTGTCTTTGATGCTAATCTAAAGTAAAAAATCTTGTATAACAGAAATTGGAAGTATTTTTCAAAATGAAGCTATACAATTCAATTGATATTTTGAGCAAACCGCTGAAGGAAGATCATTGTTTGTATGTTGATTAACAATGTTACTCGTTCTGGTTGCAGGTGTTTGAGTTTTGGTAGAAGGTGCGATTTTGATGGTTTTTTGTCACCCCAACCCCCTCCCCCCAGGGGTCATGTACCAGGCTTTTGAATCCAGGGACAGAAATTGAGCTTTTTGAGGGCGGTGGAAACACAGTTAATTTATTAAGCTTCTTGTTTTTTATCTACTCATTTCTAATCAATCTCTATATGTTTTTATTGATATGGGACTTGTCAGCTGGACTATAATTCATCCTAAAAGTCCGGTAACTTGTTAAGCAAATTTCAGTTTGCGCGACTATGAAAAAGATATTGAGAACTTAACCTTTAAAATGATTTAATCTTGCTTACATTTTTAGTAATTAAAAAGCCTAACAAGAGATATATTGCAATTCATACACTTTGGTGATTGTGAACGAGCAAATCTCAGAAACCTTTCGTGCTTGAAGCAAGGCATATAGCCTGCGCCGCAGACCCAATCCTCCAAAGAGAATATTCTCTTTGGAGGATTGGGTCTGCGGCGCAGGCTACAAGGCATAAGGATGCAAAATGAAAACTGTTTTAGACCATTTCAGCCGTAATAAAAATGTGCGGAGATTAAGCTGTCCGTCAACTGTTTGCCTGAAATGTAACAAGGCCGCCGAGAGGTTTCAGAGACTCTGGTGCAAAACATAATAACGAGGCCACTTGCAATCTAAGCATCAGAAAATATTTGCGACCACGCCCTCCAGACTAGCTTAAAATACACTTCAAAGTATCTATTGGAGTTATTTTTTGCAATCATTGAAAAGTTGTGCTATTTTTTGTCATACTTTAGTAACGTTCCGTTAATTAAATTTTTTTACAATTGAATTCATTACTATAAGAGGCTCCCCAGGCCTCAAGGCCCTGGGAAAATTTGCCTCCTTGCCCCCTCTAGGCGGCCCTGTATGTTAACAGAAAGTCAATAGCTCCACTTATTGTCTTTTACCGTAAATACTCCCCAATTATCCTATGAAAACAAAAATTGCATGCGGATTTGACAATCTATTTATTATGCTCAACTTTAAAATGGCTAGACGGTGAATCAGAGAAATTTTAATTAATATGGTAGCTACACGCTGATAGATAAGGATGTAGCATTATGAGAAACAACTGAGGGCATTTTGAAAGCTATTTTATGCCGTTCATTTCAGATTATATGGTCAAAGAAAGAAAATTATACAAATAGATTTTTGATTTTGTCATGCTTTGGAACTTTATAAGAAGAAACCTGACAATGGGCACACCCCTAGCTCCACATACATATTACCTAACCTCTCTCTCAAGTTCTGAAATGACCTGGGTTGTTCAATGTAATAGAGCAAGTACAAAGGGTGAAAGTTGGCTGTAATAAACTTTACGCAAATAAAGAAGAGTTCCGAATTTTTACACATGAATTAGCAGTATAGCAGGTTCGTCACTAGCTATTATGCCCAAGGCTGTTATATTTTTAGGAAAATATAGTTTTTGCTGAGGGTCGGTATCTTAATTTTGTGCATGTTTTTTTGTTTCAAAGTTGAGTTTTTTCGACTTCGTACCATAAATTGTTTCTAAGACCATAATTAACAGTTTTGCACAAAATTTTAAGTAACTCAGTTGACTAACTGGTAGAAGCTCTTTTTGTTAGCATGAGAATGAATTTTCAAAGAAAACATTGCCTTTTTGTCTTATTTTTCATACAGATTATGTTTCATTTTTCGTTTTAACTGAAATGTGAATTCTAACATTGCATGAATTTCCCTTCAGAAAAGATTTCCAACTGCACATTTTGTTTAGAGCTGTACTTCAAAAAGGCGTATCTGGTTAAATGTGATATTCTCTGAAAACTGCATTAAAAACAATAGATCTTATTCAATACATGTCGTATGTGGTTTCATTTAGCCAAATGACGGGGAAATAAACACTATACCTAGGCTAGTCCTCGGAGAGGGGGGGGGGGTTCCTTAATAGGTTTTGAGATACGGGGACTTACCGGAATTATGGGTATCAGTTTTTGAAAAGTGTGCGGAAGTATGAGTACCATTTTGGGAATATATTTCAATATTATTAGGAGGGAAATTTAAAATTAACAAAATGAATGCCCAGTTGGAAATGAAAACATGAAATATGTGTAATATTGAGGTTTTAGGAATTATGGGTAATTTTCATCATGTTTGGAAAATTATGGGTCACATGTTTCCAGACATGTGCAGAATTATGGGTCCCACTTTTGAACTAAAGCTAGATGTCTTTTTGGCTTATTTTAAAAAATAGATTTACTTCTCAGACAAACTGTAATCCTTGCCAAAAGCTTTGGAACGCTAACCTCAATCAGAAGCTCTTTATATATATATATTTGTTCACAATTGCAAACAATCGGATAAAAGGAGTTTTTCACAGAACACCCAAGATTTCCTTTCATCATATCCTCGAAAACTTAACAGCTCAATGAGTCAAATTTTGTTAGACTTGGCTTGGAAATACGTTTTTAGCTGCTTCTTTACAGTTGATAAACAAGGATGATAATTGACATTTTCTAAAATAGGGCAATCATTCCTTTCATAACCTCGTGCTCTCTTTTGCACTTTTTCTTGACAAAACAAAACGCGATATTACTCCAATGAAAAGCACAAACCCCAATAAAACCGTTACCCCTGAATCATTATGATGTATGCATTGCATACATTATGCATCTAAATATTTGGAATAATCATATATACATTAGAACATATATTTACTCATCCATATTCCAATTTGCAAACAACAATGTCTTATTGCTTCCAATAACCGAATTAATGAAAGAACCAACACCTGCAAGCAATTTTAACTACCAATTTCTCTCTCTTTGTGGTTGTTTGTGTCCTGCTGTGCCAAATAAGACACCATAAATTAGCTTTTTGCTAAATAATGATACCAAAAGAATAAACTTTGATAAACCAGAAATAATATTAAATCGAAGTATTTACAATAATATGTTTTAATGAATTATTCATAGCTTGGTTTGTTTCTTTTAATTCAGTCTTCCCTAAACTTCAACAAGTGACTTTGTCCTCAAATAGTTTAATCCAAGAGTGATTCCAAATTCGTCAAATGTTGAAAATGGCTGCTAACCTCCTCCGTTTCTTAGGACCTACTCACATTCATGGTAAAATCGATAGCGATAATTTAAAACATTGTCAAAATAAACACAGCAACGAAATTGCAGCTACCCGGCTGATGATCTCAAAGACAATTCAAAGGAAAAAAACTCAAAAGATTTTCATCAACTTCTTCAAATAACATGTAAATTCAAATAATACTAACACAAGTTATTGTCATTGCTTGCCTCGTCCTTCGTTTCATATTCATATTCTATGATCGCAAAACTAGAACCTGCAAGCATCATTTCTCAAAATGTTAATTAGAAAATATTCATCAAGTTAAAGCCAGGGTATTCAGAATAGATCATAACATTCTACCCTTAAGAATAAAGTAGCTATTTATGTAACTCAAAATGCACCCGGAAACCATTATTGATATCATACGAACAAATGGTTAACATTGTCTCGAGGCCCTTGCAAAACCAATTTTTTTGTTATTCTTCATTCCATCTTTCAGCTAGCAAATGAAATGTAAATGTTTTATTTGCATTGTTGCCGTTTATATATTATTTCACCTAATTGCACTGTACCAATGGTCCTGATGAAAAAGCTCCCTTCTCCTGTCAGTGTAAGGTCACGTCAATGAGTTCCTATCTTTGATGCATAAATCCAATAAAGTCATGCTCCTTTTTCTTGGCATTCATTTGGATTCAACCAGAACTTGATTTTAGGTAATTCAATACTCTGAAGCAACTGAAAATGCATCTGTTCAGCAAGTAACTGCTCGTTTGCCTCAAGAAACATGCAAGAAACAGCACGGATGTAAAATTGAAACATCAAAACTGTAATAGCGAAAGTCAATTACGGACTCAAATTGAGCAACATTCAGATTGAAATGCTTATTACGTAAAGCTAAATTACAACAAAAAGTTTCTATCTGTGAAACATTTCCATTTCTTTCCTACTTGCGGTATTCCTTACAGAGAGGTTGGCTTTCTAGGATCGTTCTGCACGTAAGGAATTTGGTAAAGCAAGCAGACGAAAAGCTTAAACAGATACAGAAGACTCATTCAAAAGGCCAGAAATCTTGATTTTACTTTCAAAATCGATAGGTAAATTCCTTGAAATTTCCTCACTTTGGCCTGCATTAAGCTACAAAATCGAGCATTAAACAATTTAGCAACTCCTTAAAACACGATGCTCTCATTCATTCAGTATCTTGCAAAAACAGCAGTACTGTACATTTTGATCTGAAATTCTCTTTTCATAGAACTTCATTAGAACTATTAATTGTCAAAAAACTTCCTTCTGTTGCATCTTGATCAATCTATGTGACATTTGAATGGGATGTTTAGCAATATTATTTGAATAAGGAATTGAAATTAAAACCAATCAAATAGATCATGTAACGATAATCTTTAGATCATGTAACAAACAATCGTTTCCTCTGCTGAAAAATTGCCGACGACTTTAGATGCCATTAAATTTCCCAACATCTTCGTGAAATTCCCCAATCGTGAAAAGGATCAATGTACCCCCGTGCATTTTTCTTACTTTCGTTTAGCTGAGATACTTTGCGGCCACCAGGCATTACAAAGAAGCTGATTTAACACAGGTAAAGGAACTGGCGTAGCAAGCATTTCATTTTTTATAGAAGATGTTGAAGATGATTATTGTAACTGGATTATCTTTTCCTAGCACTTTGTATTTGCATTAAGGATCGTTGGCATTTGATCAGCTGCCTTAGAAGGTAGATATTAATTAAAATAAAAGTTAAAAAGGAAGTTTCAAAGAGCTGTGAAGAAAAAATATTTTGATATTCTATGAACTTTGTTTACTGCTGCCAAAAATATAATCTAGCAGAAAGAAGTTGTTTGCCTGTTGCATAGTGTAGTAATGTCCTTTTTACCTTCAGGGATTCGCCAATGTGAAAGAGTTGTTGGTCAAACCTACACACAAGTTTACAGTTTACAAGGAAGAAAGACAAATGGAGATGATGATGCTTCAAAAAATTGCAATATTGATGGCTGTTATGCTCGTTTATACTTCAGGATTCGGAGCAGAGGGCTTTTCTGCAAAAAGTCAAATGCTGCAAGCAAAAAATGCCACAAATGCATCAGCCACAATCCCATCGGCATTCGAAAAGGCACTTAATCAGACCGGACACTCCTTGGCGAGAGCGTTGCTTTTTCGGTATCCTGAATTGTTTAATGTTGCGAGCCAATTGGTTAATAACAGCTTGTCCAGTAGTAACGATTCTACTCCCGTTAACATAACTGATATTTGTTTATCAGCAAAGAACTTGCTTAATATAAAGAAGGATAACTGCAAGCCCCCTTTTATTTCAGGAGGCATACGGCGGCTATGCCTGAGAATTGCTAATACCACAAAACAAACGAATGCAACATCAACACAGTCATCGCATGATATCTGCAGTTCGTTGATACTCGCACCAACAACGCCGGCCCCTTTGAAACAAGTTGGAAGGAAGAGGCAACTCGTTGTAAGAGATTTTTCAATTAAAGACGTGAAATCCACAAATGATACTGCTCCTTCAATGTCTGGTAGGGGAGTTACTACAATAGATGGTATAGTAAGTGAAAACAAGAATACCACAGATGTAAACACCACAACGACACCAGCAAAAGGGACAGAAATTCCATACACGCATCCACATTTTTCAACCACTCCAATGCCTATACCGATACCATTGTCAAGAAAAAGGAAACTCCCAGACCCTTTTCCAATGCCAACACATCGTCCTATTCATTTTGCTACGAATTACTTTTTTCTTGCAATAAAGGTTATAGCAAAGACTGTAATAATTACCTACAAGGAACGGTGTAGAAAAAGCAACGGAGAATATGACAGTATTAGTAACACATGTCGAATTCCAATTACTGACAACAGTGGTGCCAACCAAACAAACCAGAATAACGTTTCTACTAATTACACTGTGGTACAATATGAAATGCCATCATCATCCAAAAGACCCCTCTTTTTACTAAGCATGATCGGAAATGTTTTCAGCATCGTCTGCTTGATTGGCCTGTTACTTTCTTATTCACTCATGAAGACAAGTCTCTCCACCCTTGACAAGAGTATCATGTGCTTGTCTTTCTGCATGGCCTTCTCGCACACACTGCAACTGATGTTGTTCTGGCTGGGTAAAAAACCGGGATGGTGCAAAATAATAGGCATCTTGCTTCACTGGTCATTGTTAACTTCTTTCATGTGGATGGCTCTCATATCATATAGCTTTTTTGTGACATTTTCTCGCCTGCTCATTGCCACGAATCGCCAGAAGAACAGACGTTTCAGACATCACTTCCTCTTTGCTACGTCAATACCAACCAGCGTCACACTGGTTTGCTTTTTTCTGGGAATTTCAAAAGAAGATTTCTCTGGCTATGGTGCTAATGGTATATGCTTTGTGTCAAAATTTTGGGCAAACTTATTTGCATTCGTAGTCCCAGTGGCTCTCATTCTGGTTATGAATGTTACATTCCTCACATTCACTGTTTTTAAGATACGGAAAACGAAGAAAGATAACGACAGGGCTTTGAGATCCAACAACAACAAAACCAAAAGGAAGAAGATCGTTATTGGACTTATAACACTTAAGCTTTCGATACTTTTCGGCATAGGATGGCTGCTTGGGTTCCTTGACGGTTTCATCCCCAGCAAGATTCTCTCTTACATGTTCAACGTGATTGTATCTACTCAAGGCATAGCTGTGTTCATCGCTTTTGGAAACATTAAACATCTTTTTGAAAAAACCGTTTGGAAAGTCGTGAGAAGATCAAGAAACAGCAGCAGACTTACTACCATCAGCCATTCGTTCACAAATCCAAGATACCGAACTACCTCGTTGTAGTTTTGATAATGGTCAAGGCGGTGTGGTCAGAGTGCGGGTCACTTTCCACAAGCCACCAGGAACTCAGCTTTCTATCCTTTCAAAGTCTGTAAATGAGTACCCAGGGTATCCGTTCTAGAACATCATCAGCTAACAGAAATCTGCCACAAAACTAGCTTGCTTACCATCTTTTCAAGGTATGAAAGACTGCTAACAATGTAGTAAACTTATTTTAAAGTTAGTAAACTACTTGATCAATACTTCTCTTCTAGAATTACTATTTTAATGTTGTTTGAATGACATAAAACATGCCTTTGATAAGTTGAGAAGATTAGGATGCCGCTCTGTCATCGTGTCTAATTGTCTGTAAAACTCGACAAAACTCTTGAATCAGAATAATGTCTTCAAGCCACACAAACGGTATTTTAGCGAAAACTGCGATCTAGCATGGTGAAGGAAAAATTACATCGTATAGTGACTAATTCATATTGCCTCATTTGCAGAATCAACATTCAGTAACAGTGCTTGGGCCAAAAAGTATATTGTTATGCGTAAGCATTGAAGGTGTATAGAATTGAGGTATACTAAACAAGTTGTCATACCAGAACGGAAACTTAGCAGTGCACAAAGAAGCTAATCAGCAACAGGAGATTAGACTTCTTCTTGGCTTTCTTAAAGTTGAGTAGACTTAAGCCCCAAACATATCAGTTGGCCTCAAATATACTCGGCTGTGTGTCCGTAGGTCCGAACACGAGAAAAAAATGTATAGAGCGTCAAGAAACTGTTCTCGATCTTCAATGGTTGACAAGTTCAAATGCATTCTCAATTGTTATCTGTCATCTGCTTAATCAAACATTTATGATATTACGATTGATGTAATCTTGTTACCATTATTCTTGTGAATGGTATATAAAATTTAACGCCAAGTTTATCGACAAGACCAAGTTTTATGTTATGGTATAGTTGATAAAGTTATTGTAAACAATTATATATTTTTCAGCGTACAAAAAAAATGTCATGAGTAAAAATGGTCTTCAAGTTAGGTAATTTAATTAGAAAATAGTTCATTCCTTCATTCTCTTTTAATTTGTTTGATTAACTATTTGACTTGCTATGATTATTGCGTTTAAATATATTTATAATGTGCTCTATTGTATATGATGTCTTTAAAATAAACAATATCACTCGAAGAAGCCCCAACTAATTAGTAATTCTAATCTTTTTGTACCAAAAATGTCATATTAGTATTTTTATACCAAAACCATTACCTGGTAAAAACTCACTTCTGGTGACTCATGGACCCACATATATTCAGAATAAATAACATAAACATTAAAAGTTTTATTAAAAGTATGGAAATGCCTCAAAGCAATTCCTGTCTATTTCACAGTTATACTATAGTTCTCTAGTAAATTCCTCGGGAAAACTAAAGAAGTAAGCCATGAAAAGAATGCCACCATGTAATAATTTTCCCTTTATAGGTATCTTATTGTTGGTGACACTACAAATTCATATGAAGTGCAAATTAGACTAAATCATGACCCTGAAAGGTGGTGGAATTTAAGGGGGTTACAAGTAGCTGCCTGGCTCTCCAAATCGACTTGACTTAGAAAGTTTTCCACAACAATAAAAAAAATTAGGAAATGAATAAAAAGCCACTCTAACAAAAAACATGGAAGTTTTGCTGCACTCGCCCCACAACTCAAAAATCTGATTTTTTGCCTTTGGCCCTGAAGACGTAGAGCCCATGTTTACAAGATAAAGGCATTTTGGTTTTTTTGCATAATTTGGAATCTGTTGTTGTCCCGATCCCTTACGTAATAGGATCACACATGCATGTAGTAGTATAAAAAATGGTGTCTTGTATTCATAACATATAATTTGACGTACGTATATTGCGATAGTGACAAAAAGTGATAATTCAAATTAAAAAGAAAGGTCTTTTCTTTATTTTGCCCTACTGTCAAAATAAAGTTCACATATTTTCGACTTCCACATTCATTTAGAAATATACCTTATCTGCTTATGTCAGAAACATTCTCCAATTCTCCATTGGTATAATAATTGGCTACTCTTTATTTTATTTTATCCTGGCGGTTAAAATTGAAGCATCCGAAAACGTTGTATTTCAGTTATAATCATTTGAATGAAAGCAGTTCATGACTAACTAATTTTACCGGTTTTCTAATTCCAATACAACATGTATGTTATTGTACTAACAAACAAGTAGTCAGCATTTCGCAAGTCTTGCTATACAATATTATCGCTTATTTGTAATATTTATTTGTAGTGCGATAATATAGACAAAAAGTTATCGTTTTATTTTGAACTACGGTAAGAATTACGGTAGATAAATTATGGATATAGGAAGTACAACGAAAAGTAATTTTGCGAACAGTGGGCTTCTTACGGTTAATAAAGAATTTTAAACCAGTTACTAATGACGCCCCGTATGACTTCAAGGAACCATTCTAAGCCCTCAGCTATTCATAATTTATCTTGTTGATATCGAAAAATCATAAACTTCTAAAAGCCGAAATGTTTGCATCTGAAACACATGTCACTCTGTATCAAATATCGAAAGTTAATTCAAGATGCGTACTATTCACAGTAAGCCGCAATCCAAACAAAACTGAATACATGATAATTTGTGTATAAGAATAGATTTAATAAAATTGAGGTGGCTCCATACACTGATTCTAAATGGCTTGGAAATAAAGCACTGAAAAAAAAATTCTTGTGTCAACCTAATGTTCCTTTCATTAAGCAACAACAACAGCAATAGCAATAAACATCTTACTTGGTAACAAAATGGCGCTGGACGGTTTGCCAGTTCAAAAGCTTGCAGAGCTACTCCACGAGCACAAAGGCGATAGCGATTCAGATGATGATCAAGTAAATTCTATAAAGAAAAGTCTTTTAATTTTATGCTGTAAAGTCGTCTTGATATGATCGGGCAGTACAAATAGATTGTATTTATCCAAAATGTGAACATGTTGCTAGGGCCTATTTTTATTAATTATTGCGAACACATTTTTCGATGCAACATGACTTGGTGATAAGGTAACATAACTCAAATGCCTCCTTGACTTTCTATGTAATCTACTTCCTTTTAGTGCTTCCCTTCAGGAGTAATGCTTATAACAGAAATACAAATGAAGTAATACTACTAAAATGCTCTATTGTTATCATCAATGCAAGATGATATCATCGGGCAAACTAAACAATTTCGATGAGTTTTGTGTCATTCTCTCCTTATTAATTAGTAATTTATCATTTTTTTAATTATTCGTCAGAAGATTTTATGAGTTTCAAATCAATTGTAAAAATGTAATGTTGAGTGTGTAGGTAATTGCAATAAAGTCATAATTTTACCTGCATCTCAACAGTAATGAATTCGAATTTTGTTTTTTAGAATTTTGTTAATGGTAAAAAAATGAAAAAAACATTTAGGCTATTATTAATGCTTCTTTTTCCGCATTTTATAACAATTTTTTATTGATTCTCTTTTTTATGTTTTTTCCCAGACTTGAAACTCTTTGCATGCAAACAATATATTGCCCTACACACCAGGCTGGAAACTTTGTCAAATACCCACAATATATTGCCCACGCACTCAAATTTTCCATCTGCACACTTTTGCATATTGGCCGTGCAAAGTCCCTATTTGATTACATTTTACATTAATAGCAATGCCAATTTCTTAAAAGTGCGTGATTTGTGGTTCACAGTCCTGCAATCAGGCACATGAACTTGCCCGTGCAAGAAAAAGTTTCCAGTCTGGCCTACACACAAATTTCCCACCTTTGGGCTTTTGAATTTGGCTGCATAAAGTCACTCAGATTCGACAATTGACCAACAAGTGTGTTTTGTGTAGAATCTCCATTGCCCATTTTCACGGGGAAGGTAACATTTGAAAATTTCAGTATCATTCAGGTCATGCTCACTTTTTGAATATTGGATAAGGGCAAATGTCAAGGTCTAGAATTTCTAAAGCAGTAGTAATTTACCAGTCCCTTTTTGCTGTTCTGCACAAGTGCAGCAAATTTCTGAATTTATGTTATTCTAAGTGCACAGTTTCTTATTTCTAATGTTTACATGGTCTATACAAGAAACAAAGCTTCCTGTCTGGGTCTCTAATTCTTACCTGTTCAAATGTACTAATACGTCTGTTAGGTGAAAAATGTCAACCCTCACACTCCATTAAAATTAGTTTTTTCTAATTTAAACATATTTGTTATGAATATTCTAATATATTTTTCTGCTAGAAGGTGTTAAAAGGTATATACCAGACTCCTGGATCAATTGGAGATAAGTCTAAAAAACATGACATAAAAACAGGTAATTGGTTACAATATCATTGTTTTGAAATGCCATAAATCCTCAAATTATCACCCCCAGCTTGATAAAAGACTCCTTTTGAATTAACCCTACCTGCAAATAAAGGCCTGGTGGCTAATACTGGGATTTCTTGTAATGGATAAGATATTGATCAGAAAAATCATGTTGGGCAGTCTTTAAAGGAAACTGCCACCTTTCTATTACTTTATAGCTATAAAGAATTTGAAGTATGCTTCTTAGTAATCATATGTTGGTTCTTCTTGTAGCAACACATCATGTTGAATGTTGTTAATGAATTTCAAAATGATTTTTGGTATAGCTTAGCTCTCCTATGAAGAGTAATTTGATTATTTTGATGTTGTTCCATTTTAGATCAAGCCTGTGGTAAAGAAGCAAATAATGACAAAAATATTTGGAATGAAAATGAAGTGGAAGAGGATATTTTTTGTGATAGAGATCTGGATAGCAGACCAAGTCCAGAGTAAGCAATTCCTGAGCAAGCCATAGAATCATTCCTCAGTAAAGTATACCATTTAATAACCTTAATGAAACAGAGGGCATTTATTTTGATGATTTTTGCAACATTGTTGAGAATTTATTGTTTCCCATAAAGTTGCATTCAGCATTTAACTGTTGCAAGTATTTTTTTGTGCTTTCGGAGTCTTTTTAAGATAGTTTCTAAATTTTGTCTACAAGCTCTTCCCATTTATGTTTATACTTCTTTGTATCATGATAGAACTCTAAAGTTCATTGGTCTGATTTACAGATATGATGTTATGTTTAAGCAAAAAGTCACAAGTGATGACATATTTCTTGGCATGTCAGGAAAAAACCCATCAACTGCTTGTTGTGAAGATTTGCTAGTAAGTGAGAAAAAAATTTACAAAAATATTTCAATTTACAATGTTTAATCTTGTAAATCTCAGAAAATTTTGCTTTTTATACATTTTTTAAGCAATGCTGTCTCCTTAGGTAAAGTGACATTTTGCACGGATATGTCAATTAACATTTTGTATGGATATGTCAAGTTTCATTTGTCTGATGTATTCATTGAGAATTTCATAAAACTTGAATTTGCATATAACCATTCATTTAAATTTTAGATAAAAATACAGTTGCCAGACACCAGAAGAACAGATATAGATCTTGATGTTCAAGATACATTTTTGGATTGTAGGACTCCAAAAAGGTATGAATAAAGTTGTAGCAATTAACTTGACTTAAGTTGAATCAGACAGGACAATCACAAATTCTCCCATTAAGTAAATAAAAAATACAAATGTAATAAGAAAAGATAGAGCACAATCTTCCAGTGTTTTCCTTAGAAATGCATATTTCTTTATTAATAAAGGAATATTTGAGTAAAGCAAGTTTATCTGAATAAATTCTATTTTATATTTTCTTGGCCATTATCAATTAAATGCTTATAAACTTCATTTAAGTGTTACATTAACAAACAAGTGGCTAAAAATTGAAACTGTCAGTTACCATCTAACAGTGATAGCTTTCCATGTTGCACACAGAGCAATGTGCCAAAAGTCTATAATGTATAAACTCATGTGTACTTCATTTCCTTTGTATACTACCTCCCAGAGAGATGCATTGCCACTGACAGCCTAATTGCTGGCCCTAGCTTAGCTTTAGGTCCTCATTCAATCTAGCTATACTGATGAGCCCTGAGATTGGACAAAACTGGTCTACAGCCGATGGTTTAAGGTGTCAGTGGTTTTCTTTATTTCGCACTTTTACTGCAACACTGTTGGATGGCATGCAGTCCGCCAAAGCCTCAGTCCTTCTTCTTGGTACTGCTTAAAAAAAGACTATTCGGTCTCTAAGACTTATGCCTACTTCTTTACCATAATGTATGTTATATTTATTCATTACAGTCGTCTTGCCCTGCATCTACCTCATAAAGTTGACAGCAAAAGTGGCAAAGCAGACTGGGATGCCACAAAAATGATACTGACTGTTACCTTACCTCTAAATAGAGATTTTGATTTCTTTAATAAATGATAGAATTTTGTAACCTTATTTACAATTAAACTTTGATAAAGCTTCCCCTTTTATTAACCCCCTCTTTTGAGTAAAACCCCATTTTACCAAAAATTATTGAATAAGTTGCCCTTCTAGAAAACACCTCTTAATAGGCTGTTAGGTTTTGCAAATAGAAACAACCAATTGATTAAAATTTCAAAACTTGATGCCCCCTAAGAAAATAAAGTTTTGAGTTTAAGCCCCTTCAGATCAGCCCCTTCAAAATATAATAGTAGTCTCAAAGATAGTTAAAAACATGGAGGTATGCTACAGTTATTTGATGTATTCTTTAGAAGAATTTATCCATTTCTTACAGGAAGCTAGATTTGTTTTTTCTTTTAAATTTGGTGCCATCTAAAGTAAAAGATGTACCACATATTATTCTTTTTTGGCAATCTTTTTTTCAGTTCAGATATTATAAATAAGTTATTTAGAGTCAGCTAATATTTTCAAATGAATTTTATGTCCACAATCTTTAGTGTTTATCACCATCACTGACCTGTGGAAAAGATGGCATCAGACAATAAGTTTATATTTAATTTTACCTTTAATTTTTAGGTTTCTTATAGGTTGAGGTTTAAATTTGAAGTTCATTTTTGTTTCAGCAGGAATGTTTTGATCAAAATACAGATTTTTTCAAGCCTGTCAGTTTACATTCCAATTTTCATTAAAATTAGCAAGAATTTGTGCTCTCTATTACTTTAATAATTTCCCCAACTTTGTGTATGCTTGTATTTTTCAAATCAGTTTATATGGATGCCTGTTTTACCCATCCTGTGACAGAGGGTTAAAAGGCTGAAGCTCCATTAAGCAAAGATTTCAAACAACAGCAAAATGGTATTCATTTGTTTATAAGCTTTGGCTGCAGAAGTCTCAGTAGGTAATTAAATGTTTTAGAATTTCAAGCATTTCTAAAGCACTATGTTTTATATCAAGGTTCAAGCATAAGACTAAGACTAAGTCGGTAAAAAAGCAGAAAGGATGTTGAAAGTTTATTTCTTCTGCAAGAAAGTAAGGCAGGAAATAAATTCACCTTTCTGTTTGCATTTATCTATGAGGTATAATTTTGTAGGATCATTTTTAATTACAATGAACAGAATGGAACCCATTAGAAGTAGATCAACCTAGTCCTTCAAAGTTTGGCTTCTCTTCTTCAATTTTCTCAAATTTTTAATTGTAAAAAACTTCCTTGCTGAATTTGCAAATTAAAGGTTGGTAGTCAAGCAGGCAACTTGTCAGTGGATGGCAATCTTTGGTGCCTGGGTTTATATCCTTAGTTATTTGTCCATGTCGCCAATTTACTTACAGAGATATAAAGTTGGCGTTAGTCTAGGGGCAAAATTGCTCTATTGACAGCAAAAGAATATTTTACAATTAAGACTATCTGAAATAGCTGTGTACCGCGGACTTGAAAAGGGAATGCAAGAAGAAACAATAATTTGGATTTTCCTGTTTTATATCAGTACAAGCTCCTCTGAATATGTCAGTGCATCTTATTGTCTTGATTATTTGTTAAGCACAGTGAAAGAATTTGTCCTTGTATATCATATAAGTGTGGCAGGAAATTCCACAACCAGAATCATGGCCATGGCTTGCCTTTATTGATCACAGAATCAAGTTGCTCTACATAATGAGGGTGATAATTCTCAACTCGCCCCCTCATAATGTTTTGCCCCAAAAGAGCACTTAGTTTAATAAGGCAATCTTCTGCAGCAGCACTAGTCAACTGGTTGTCACTTCCAAGAGAATCAAATATTGCATCAAAAAATGTCTCCAGGTACATCTTGAATGTTCTTTTACCAATGCCTTCAGCAATAGCTGGTAGCTTGGAGCACAATGTTTCCAACAAATGGAAGTGCTGAGTGTAATGTCGAAATGATGCAGCTTTGGACAATAATGGAATACATTCCATCACATCTTTTACTGCCAACTTGTTGGTGGACAGTTCAGCAAGAGCATAGATACATCCATCAGTCATTTCCCATGGCTGTGAATCCCTTTTGAAGGAATGATTAGAGCAACCACCACCACCTCTTCCCATTTTTGGTGCAAGAGACCCACAAGAATACATCTGTTGATTAGTGTGCAGGTCATCATCATTTGCTCTGATTCGCTTTGCCACCCCATAGGTTGTTAGACCCTTCTCTAAACTAGCAAAGCGATCTGCATTGTCTTGTTGTTTTTCAACCAAAGTCAGGCCTTTTTTCACTGTCTCAAATATCTTATCAACAGCTTCTGCACCATAAGCCTGGGCTATATTGGCTAATGCAATAGCAGCTCCCTGTCTAACAGATGGTATTGGATCAGAGAGGTTGTTAAAAAACAGAGGATAAAGCTCAGGCATAGTAGAACGGCATTCATCAGGAAATGACTTCACAAAACTTCCACAAGCGACACATGCTGTGTCTCTCACTGGCCAACTTTCATCTTTAAAGCAGACAAGCAATGCATTTAATAAGGTTGAAACATAGGGCATTACTGCTTCCGATTCAATCTTTGATGCTAATTCTGCCATGCAATGGCATGCAGCTTCCCTTACTGCATGGTTATCAGAAAGTGTTTGTGAAACATAAAATTCAACAACGTTTTTCAAATGCTTTCCAACAAGTTCTTTTCCTTGTTCCCCAACTACTTGCTTCCAGGTCTGCTGGTTGAACAGCCTCACACCTTCAGCTAAATAATACCTATTTAAACACATTGGAGGTAGCAGTAATGAATAATACTGATCTCGGTCTTCTTCAGTTACATCTTGAAAAAATTCTCTTGTTGCTACAGAAGCAGCCATTCTAACTTGACTCCAGTTGTCAGACAGACCTTCACTGAGATGAAGGGCTAGCTGCTTGCCAAAGTCCTTAATTTGATCTGAAAACTTTGATGATGATCTCACTCCATATCGCACCAGAGCTGAGCATACATAGTATCCAGTTTCCCTGACAAATCTGTTTGTATGCTTCAAGGTTTCAAAAATTAGATCTAGCAAGTTTTGGGTTAAAAAAAGCATAAACGACTCTTGGCAGCCTTCAATTACACATTTCAAGCCTTTCATGCTTGTTTCCAAGCATTTCCAACCTGCTGTGTCATGAAAAATGTCTTTTGCATCTTTAATTGCTTCAATATCAATCTTGTTCTCATCAGGTGGTATATGCCGTTCCAGATTCTCTTTGATACTTTTGACGAGTTCCTTCTCACAGAACTTGTAAACATTTGGACTAACATGTTTACACAATGCTCCAAGAAGTTCGCCTGCAGCTATACGAACTCTAAATTCTTCATGCGTAAGCAATTCCAAGGCAATATACTTCACTTCTTCTTGAAAATCACCGACAATTCGCTTACTTTCTACCAACAACTTGGCCGCTTCCAAACTCCCAAATTTGACCTCCCATTGTGAAGAATCGCCACGAAGTTCTTTAGTGATGGTTTCTTCAAACTTCTGGAGAAGGTCTGAATCTAGCTGATCGCCATTTGAGAGCTTTGCTTGAAGGAGTGCATATCCTTTGTCTCTGTTAAGCTTTTCATGACTACAGAGTAAGTTAAACTCTTGTTCAAATTCTTTCACCGCACTTTCCTTTTCCGCCGCCATGTCTGTAGAGCAACTGATCTTCCTCACGATAATCCTCACGAACACGAGGCTTTCTAAACATTCAAAGATGGCGGATGGCAAGAAAAACATGAGAAAAATAATTTTGAAAACATTGATGATAAAGCGATACAACTTGGATGTAACTAAAGGTATGTGAAACTACCAGTCACTGTAGCAGTTATTGACAACCTTCATAGATACTTTATTGTTCTATCTTATTGTATATGCTAACATCTTTAATTTTTACTTCTCATGCATGGTTCTTAAATCAAATTCATAATTTAAATTTTGAAATTACACAAATTCGTGTCAAACAGGGGCATGTGGCTAAATAGCTCTAATCCACTGTGCATTCCCTTTTCTCTCCTCCGCATATTCCCGCCAGGTATAATGGGCATGGCAGGATTCCACTCAAACGCCATTTTGTGCTGAGCTCTTCTGGAAAATGTATGCCGCCAACTTACTTAATCCATGTTTTGAGAAAAATCATGATCGGGCAAAGATTTTCCATGAAAATTCCCAATTTTAGAATGCTTTCTGAATTTTTTTTGACATTGTGAAGTGAATAATGCACAGGTTTACTATTTTTGGTAAAAAGATGTGATAAAAACATAATTTTCATGGCTGTCGTTGGATTTAGTTAGAGTTGTCACATTTTTGACACATTTTGCAAGCATGATTTAAGGATTTATGACTAACGATATGTTTAAGGTGGAATAGAACTGGTTGCTGGCTGCCATGACCATTCACACCACGCCATTTTATTGCATTCATGATAAAGATTCTGTGTCATGCCAGTACTGCCTGCCAGAACTTAAAAGCAATAAAATCTCTGCCAAAAACCCTTGGCGTGAAAATATGTGAAGATTGCTCTCTGCCGGATTTCTTTGGCAGGAGTGCCTCAGAATGCACCCTGGGCTTTAACACTTTATTGATCTGACACTTTATTCAAGAATCTCCATCCCACAGATTGATGACAGCTCAGCACTGGTAACTGTCTTGTTTGTAGCAGCTACTTTCCAAATACTACCGCTCTTATGTACGCCCCTTCCTGTTTTGGGAGTTTCTTTTGTAGTAAGCAGAGAAATGATTTTCAATGCACAGTAAACTTTAATAAAGCTTGTTTGCATATTCATTCTCGTTTTCATGCTAAGAATTAGCATGTAAAATAACACATGCACAATTAAATTTAGGCTTCACTCAAAAAGCTGAGTGATCTTTTTGTTTATTTTTATTCAGTGGTTTGTATTCACTGTCTTCATTGAATATTTACCTACTTCATTGAATTTAAATTTTCCCTGCAGCACATGATTGCCTAACAATTTTTTTCAGATATGGTAAAGCCATCTTCAGTTTAAAGATAATTCAAGGACAAAATTCAGTTCAGATGAAAATGGAAATGAAAGGGACATGTTCTGCAGCCTGCACAGTTTGATGAAAAAAACACTCCAGACTCCATCAACAAATACTGCACTGATTTTTGACAACTTTTTGTCAAAAGATGTTATCTCTTACAAAACCTTGTCAAAAATCATTCATCATATAAGTTCTGAACTTTCTGTCTATTGCAATGAAGGAGACTATATATGTATAGACATAAACAGTACACACCAGTCATTGTATGCATTTTTGTCAGTTATTTTTATCAAAGCTGTTGCCTGCCCTCTTTCCATAACCAAAGATTCTAAGAAATCACTCCAACTTTGTTACAAGCATAGAATCAAGTTCATCATAGTTGAAAAACAAATGTTGGAGACAGACTCAGGCATGAAAAGTCTAGTGACATCACAAGAAGTTAATGTTCACCCTCTTAAGACGCTGGAGAATATGGCTCTATTGGAAATACCTTGTTGCAGGATTGAAAAGGAACATAATCCTAATGGTATTGAGTTCATGATTTCAAGTTCTGGTAGTACAGGATTACCAAAAGCTATAAGAGTGCCAGGAAAATGTATTCTGCCAAACATTTTATCTCTGGGGTAAAGAGATTTTTTGACAGTTTGTTAACCTTTAAATAAAATTATAAGTGTATCCAGTAAACTGTTTAATATATCTTCATTGCTGACAGAATGCAAACTTTCCCGTGTATAAGGCACATCCTTGCATTAGGTGCACCCTTGATTCCATGTTTTTGTGGTGTCTTACCGTGCATAAGATGCACCACCCCCTTTTCTCAGACCTTGTGAAGCATGTATATTCCAGTAAAAGAACAAACTCGAGAATATTATAGACACTTACCATGTGGAGGAGAATTTGCTCAAACCACTCAAACCGCAATGTTTCAAATATTATGTTACCTTAAACTATTACTTTTAAAATCATAAAGTAGAAAGTCTAACATCATAAAATGATCAAAATCATCATTAATGTTTACAGGTTTCAGAGTCCATAATATTCTTGTTTGACATCTGTTTCATTCACAACATTCACAACGATTACTGGGATGTGCTTTTCAATTAACAGAATGCAGGGTACAACCCGTCCGTTTTGGAATGAAAAAGCTTTTATCAGATATTTTTCTATCACATCTGGAGAATTTCAAAGTTTTTACTAAATTTCTAGTGAAAGATCAGGTACTCAAAGTGTCATAATATTTTGTCTATAAAATGACACTTTGCCTTCAAAAGGAAGTGATTAATACCCGCCCTCAAACAAAGCCAATAACAATCCGAAAAAAGGTGTATCTTATGCACACAAAATATGTTATCTTGTTAGAAAATCTGACTCAGGGCAATTATTTAATGAAGATATTTTTCAGTATTGTCTTTAGTCTAAATGCTGAGAAACGTTTTGCACTTAAGTGATATAACGCTTCCTTTAGTTGACTTTATGACTAAATTGCTTATACTGTTTCTGTAAACTTAACATTTATATTACATTTGTCTTGATTTTCTTATTTTTAGATAAGATTAGAATGGTAAACCTTAAACGGACCAGTAAATAGTTGTGATTATTAGATATTCAACTTTTTAATTATATATGTATTCACGAAAAACTACTACATTGAATTGTTGATAAAATACTTATTTGGTTTATTACTATTTTCAGGGATATTTTTAACATCAAGAACAAAGATGTCATTTTCTTATCATCACCACTGACATTTGATGCCAGTGTTGTACAAATATTTATGTCATTAGCAGCAGGGTCAACATTGCTCATTGTTCCTAATGAGCTGAAGATACAACCATCCAGGCTTTTGGAAATTTTATTCACTAGGAATAAAGCAACTTTGCTTCAGGTAATTTTTTCCTTTCGTTTATAAGGTCATCATACAACAATGCTGTACACTTGATTTTTTTTCAAATTAATTCATTGTCAATAGCAACTTTTAAAATTCACATCTGCCTTTTTAGTCATGTGTCACTTGCAGCTAACTAAAGCAAAATATTTTGAGCCTTCGAACATTCTATACTATAGGAATTTTCTGGATTGCTTTAGAAATTTTACCATAACGTTATGGATCTTGTGTATTTAATGTTGTGTGTTTCTCCTAAATTTTGTTTATTTTGAATAAAAATGCTTCTAAGCCTAATTGCATAGAGTTAAAAAACCCAATAATAATAATAATACCAGTAGTGATCGGTGTAACACTGTGGAGTAATGATATACAAATTTACTTACCTATCTTTCAGGCGACACCTTCTCTTGTGTTTCAACTTGGTGAAGCTCTTTGGACTAAACAGCTGACTTTTTCTGAGACATCTTTGCGGATTTTGTGCCTTGGTGCAGAGCCCTTTCTGTCTAAAAAAGTAGTAAGAAAGTTTATAGGGACCTCTTCAGAAATTGAATTATTCAACCTTTATGGAATATCGGAAGTCTCGTCATGGGCAACAATTGAGAGTATCTCATTACCCTCATTGGTGGAGAATGACATTGAAAATTGCCAAACTGCATATATTAGTACCCATGTAGAGATAGATGAATGGAAAGCCAATGAAATCGTTTCAAATTCTGTTCCCATTGGTAGCCCCCTGAGTGACACAACAGTTGAGCTTAGAAAGGATGGTAAAACGATTGATGATGGAATGGGAGAAATTTGGATAGGTATGAATAGTGTAGTAATCTATATATATTTTGACTGCAATAGAACATATTGAATACTAATGCTTTTTTTTTAATTTGCCCTTGGAGACGAGTGAGTTGTGAACTTAATCATGAAACTTTTCCCAATCTGTATTGCTCTTCAGAATAGTTTTCAGCTATTTGGGATTTTTATATCTTTTTTTGCAGGAGGCAAAGACCGAGTTTGTTTAATAGATGATGAAACTGATGTCGTTCCATACAAAATGCGATCATCTGGTGATATAGGGTTAAAAGTAATGGGAAGCTATATTATGTTGCACGAAAAGATAACAGAGTGAAGTTCCATGGCCAGTTCATTGACTTGGAATCGATCGAAAAGTTGGTGGAAGAGTTGGATGAAGTTATGTCGTGTGTTTGTATCGGTAGAAAAACTTCTGCTGGAATATTTAGCAGTTTGGCTCTATATGTTGTCCCTTCGAAAGGAATTTGTAAAGGCAATGCTAGAACGTCTATATTCAGGACCGTATCTACGAGGTTACCAGGAGCCAACGTAATGTGTGATATTGCTTTTGTGGACAGTATGCCAGTAAATTATCATGGGAAGAAAGATAGACTCGCATTGCAAGAGATAACTTGCAAAGAGCTATGGGACTTAGACAGTCCTGTAGAAAAAGTGCTTATAGATTTGTTTGAGCACTCAATAAATAACGGAAAAGAATTTTTTACTCCTTATGACAGAGAAAAAAATTTAGCTGACAACGGAGGAGATTCATTCACTGCTGTTTTTCTAGAGAACAAAATTCAAGATTATCTAAGTACTCTATGTACAGGAAATGTTCAGCACGAATCCTTATTTGATGAAATTTTGACAAAAACTTTTAATGATTTTTTTGAATCGCTCACGCATAAATTTGCTCTTTTTGAAAAGTACCACGATTTCACAATCCAAGAAGAAAAATTTGATACGCTAAACTCGGAGAGACACGAAGAGGTTGTCAGACATAGCCGGCGTACCTTAAAAATTGGAAGTCTTAATAGAGTTAAACAAGACGTGCAAGTATTGACTTCTGTAGAAAGATCAAGGAAGAGACATACAAGTTTAGAAGCCGACGATTTCGGGTTTACAAAGAAAATTGGACCAAATGGGTCTTCTTTTGAAAATCCATGCGAAAAATCTAAGGTAAAATCTCAATCAATGGACGAAGGGGGTGCAGTATCAAAATTTGCATATGGATGCTACTGCGCAGGGTCAAGAGGTGGCCGGTTTGTAATCTGTGAATGCTGCTCGGGTGCAGGGCTTATATCACCTTGTCCTTCCGTCGCTAACAATGTAGTAAACTGTGGTACTTTTAACTCCAAGAAGAGATGGCAATTTGACACCAAGAAGTGTGTAGATGCGTCCCCTCTCGTTGTATGTAATGGTGATCATTCATCGTGCACCGTCTACATTGGTTCGCACTCTCACATATTTTTTGCAATCAATGGTAATAATGGAGCGTTGGTCTGGAAAGTGGAACTGGGAGACAGAATCGAATCTTCTGCTGCCCTTTCTATATGTGGGACAAAAATTATCGTTGGTATGTTGGATCATTTCCGTAATGACGCCAACTTACTAAGATGTTTCATTGTGTTTTTCTTTCCTTGTTTTATACTATATAAAATTAATGATTTAATAGAACATGCTTTTGATAAGAGATAAAAAAGAAAAGTGAAAAAATGTGCTGAGACTGTCTCCTTATATCCTATATTACCAAATTACTTTGTGCATTCTACATTCTCAGCTATTCCGTGTTAATAATACCAAATGTGAAGCTTACTTATCAATCAAATCTTATCAATATATCTTATCAATCAACTGCCGTTTTTTCAGGCTGCTACGACCATCACGTTTACGTAATTTCTCGCAGCAATGGAACTATTGTATGGAAATATTCAACTGGGGACAGCATCAAATGTTCTCCAATAGTCAACCAGAGCAATGGTTTTGTATACATTGGGTCACATGACCATCACCTATACGCACTTGATATCGACAACAGGCTGGAGGTTTGGAAGATTTCCTGTGGAGGAGGATCCTTGTTTAGCTCACCAGCTTTGTCTGCAGATAGTGAAACTTTATACATGTGCACATTAAGTGGAAGATTTCTTGCAATTTTAGCTCAAAATGGTAGTGTTGCTTGGACTTTCTCCGTAAACAAGCCAATATTTGCTTCACCTGTCTGCGCAGATGACTTCATTTGCTTGTGTTGCGTTGGTGGAAAGATTTATATCTTAAGTAAAACTGGGAAGTTGCTTTGGAGTTATGAAACTAATGGACCGATATTTTCATCCCCATGCATCCATGAGGAAGAAAAACGTATTTTCGTGGGAAGTCACGATGCGCATTTGTATTGCCTTTCGTTTGATGGACACTTGATCTGGAAAGCACAAATTAACTCTCCTATTTATGCAACTCCATTTTACGCATTTAGATTACAATTGAATTCTCTTGATGTAAGCTCTAAAGAAGTTTCTTCTCGTGCGATAATTATTGCCTGCTCGACTAAAGGGGTGCTGTGTGTCATTGACTTTATTAATGGCGGAATAATTAATTCGTACTTGTTTCCTAACGAAATTTTTTCGTCGCCTGTTATTTCTGGGAATAATTTTTTCGTTGGTTGTAGAGATGATAATGTTTATTGCTTAGAACTCACATAAGTTCTCATATCAAAAGATATCTTAGTCTAATCATTTGTTGTGCTTCTTGATCAGAAACATTTCACTTATTTTTTCCTCTTTATAAGAAACAGACCCTTATCACGAAACCTGACAGGGATCTGGGCTCGTCATTTTAAACAAAAATGATTTCCTCGATGAAATTTACGAGGATTCTTTTAACTGAATCAGTTACAATTTCTTTAGAGTTTATTGTCAAAATGTGGTAAGTCTTTTGTTGATACTGTCATGAAAATGACCTTTTTTATGCAAGCGTGATAGAAACAAAGCCTGTCATGTACTGCTACCTATTTCACGGTTGCATTGTTTATAATTCATTAAACATAGATTTGAACAAGCAGTAAAAGTATACTGGCATTAGAAATTCGTGGGGGCGGGCAGCATACTTGGCCCAGGGGTGGATCCAGAGCAAATTTGAAGGAGGGGCAGTTGGTAGTGCGGGCGCTGAAAAATGTTGACAACTGACAGAAGGCTCTTTATTCACTTTGCAAAGAAATTTTCACAGTAATTGTTGTATACTTTGAGGTAATCCTTGCAGCAAATTAACCTATAAGTCTTAAAAGGGGTCGCACAATTTACAAAAAAGGGGCGCCAGACTTACTCGGTGAGGAAGGGGAAACTGCCCCTAGTTGCCCCCCTTAAATTCGCCACGTCGCGGCCTGCCGCTATCTCGGCCTTTGCTGCCAGGGCTGGTTCAGGTGGTCAAAATTCTATGGAGTCATGTACTGGACATAATGGGTACCTTTGTTTCGTCGAGGCGATTGTCAGATCGTCGAGCCGGGTTTCTCTTCGTCGAGCCGGGTTTCACTTCGTCGGGCCGGTCTTACATCGTGAATGATGTCATTTCGTCGAGGCGGGTGGCACATCGTCGAGGCAAGATTGATTAACCGTGACAGGTCTAACATCGTCGCGGCGAATGTCACCTCGTCGAGGCATTGAATTGAATTGATGACTTTCGTGTAGTCGAGGCGCTTTCCCGGGGGTAGTGGTTTATAGCAAGGGATGGAGAGAGGCGGGGAAGAGGAGGAGAAGTGTCTTGAAATTGTTTTTGATGAGCAGCTTGATGCCTAGCTTGCAACTAACGTCAGATTATTTGATGATAGATACTTCCATGTTGTAAGCAGAAACACAGAACTCAAACAATAGAGGAATGATATGGCGGTCGCTAGCCTGTTACCCGAGACAAACGTAAGGAAACACATACTTAGTACTCTGAAAGAGGTTTATCGTGATTTGGAAAATTTTCCAAACATTGACCCAAACACTGCAGATTATGCTTCTTATAGACTGGAACGTGTTGCTATGATTGCAGTTAATTGTCAAGCAGAATGGCCTAGTGTTATTGACGATGAGGTCATCGATTGTATCGCAAATGCAGTTCAAATATTGGAGAAAAGTGGGAAGGATGCGCCTGCTATTGTTATTAGTGCAGGGAAAAGTGGAAGACCTTCTGTTAATATCCCGAAAGAAACACTAGAACTCTACCTCCAGTATGGGTTTCCCAAAACAAAGATAGCCGAGATTTTTTCAGTGAGTGTTAAAACCGTATCAAGAAGAATCGAAAAGTTCGGGCTCCATGATAAAATTGCGAATCATACCGAAATTATAGACACTGAATTAGATGCTATTGTTGATGACATACTTCAAAGTTTTCCAAACTGCGGAATTAGGCGTATGAGAGGATTTCTTCAGTCAAAAGGTCTGAAAATACAATGGGAAAGGGTCCGTTCATCACTGTGGCGTGTGGATCCAACAGGAGTACTTCTCAGAACTACACAATTAAATACAATTCAACGACGGAAATATTCAGTTCCAGGGACACTGGCCTTATGGCATTTAGATGGCAATCACAAACTCATTCGTTGGCGGTTTGTTGTACATGGCTGCATTGATGGATACTCACGCCGTATTATGTTTTGTGAGTGCTCATCAAACAACAAAGCAGAAACTGTTATGAAATTGTTTCTACAGGCAGTTGCTCAGCACGGTCTCCCATCAAGAGTTCGAGGAGATCAGGGTGGGGAGAATGTCGATGTTGCCTACTATATGCTAAGTCATCCACTCAGAGGGCCAGGTAGAGGAAGTTTCATAGCTGGTAAAAGCTGCCATAACCAAAGAATCGAAAGGTTTTGGCGAGACCTCTTTCAAGGCTGCCTTTTCGTCTACTACTACTTGTTCTACTTTATGGAGGAGAAAGGGTTTTTGGCTATTGACGATGATGTTGACATGCTATGTTTAGAAATCGTTTTTATACCACGCATTAACAATCACATATCGCTCTTCCTGGATGGTTACCATAATCATTCCATAAGAACGGAATCAAACAGAACACCATTGCAGCTTTGGCTACAGGGAAAACTTCACTACCAGCCTGATAACGAAGAAACTCAATTGGACCCCGATGGTACCGACACCTTTGGTATTGACTGGAACGGACCCATACCAATGAGGCCTCAACGTCATGCTGCCGATCGTGTTTCAATTCCTTCATTAAATGTTCTGCTCACAGATGAGATGTTGGAAACGTTAGGTTTAGAAGTTGACTCTTTGAACAATTTTGATGCAAATGGAATTGAAACATTTTTGCTTGTAAAGAATACCATCAGTGACATGTTAGGACCAAGATGATGCCTTTTTTACACTCTAAAACTTCCTTAATGGATTTGCCCTGAAATATTCTTTTTAATTGCTATGCATAATATTCTAAAATCATAACTTTTTTATAGCTTTTGGTAAATGGTGGTATCGGCTTTAAATGGGCCCTTTCTATACAGCATTTCATATAAATTATTTCTGCCCTTTCTACCAGGGCCGGCGGAACCAGGGGGCCGAGGGGGGCCATGCCCCCCCCCCCAATTTTATGCAGAGATAAAGAAAATTTTTAGGCAAAAGTGAAAATAAATGTAGTATATTATTCTGTAAGTAACTTTGCCTAGTACTCTCTTAAATGTGTCCTTAGCTTTACCTTGATTGCTATGTCTTTACGTAGAAGACATCCATAAAATTTAATATGGGAATTAGATCGAAGAAATCGGTCATTGCGTAAGCTTTACAACGAGTGACAGCTTGGCTTAGCAAATAGACCGAGAAATCTAGTCCAGAATAACTTAGTGCCAGCACAAATTGACGGAGTTTCGTTTTTTCCATTGCCTAAACTCTGGACACAGGGTCTACTTGTTAATGAAAACTTTCTCAGAAACATTACAAAAAGAGAGAAATCAGCTATTGAAGGAAAAGAAACAGCTGATTTTGAACTGGAAAGAACTTTTTTGAGGATATGAGAAATAAAGTATGGGCAGATTTGTTCTAAAAAGCATCATCAAGAAAACTTCAGAGTTTGATCGTTTGGATAATCCATTCCTATTAAGAAAGAGAAAATATCGACGCAATTATAAATTCTATTTAAACTAATTTTGACAAACTTTTCAATTTCAAGTCAACATCACAATAAACGCGACTATGCGACACCTTCAATCAAAATTCATTTTAAATACAGTCTCTGACAATCCCTAAGACACCATAATTCTAAAATTTTTCTTGCCGCAAACCATGGTGGCGACCTTTCCTAAGTCCTTTCAAGACTTTGATATTTTGGCCCCTCCACTTTCAAATACGTTTCGCCGGCCCTGTCCACGTTTTTGTGAAAATATTTCATTTGTAGGGAATTAAATTTGAATTCCAGTCCCACTTTCAATGAGTATTAGCCTTCACCTTCGGTGTTGAGACCATGATTGATCGAAAAAATTTGTGGCAGATTACACAACAAAAAATACATTTGTTTGTTAGACTCTACAAAATATTTGTTCTCGAAGTTGGGTTTTTAACGCTTTGACAGTTGCTCTTAAGTATGCGAGGCAAGGTTTCCCAATTCCTTAATGTCTGGGAAAATTTTGCAAAGATAAGACTTTTTGTTATATCATTACAAGGACCGAATATAATCATTTAATATTTTGAAGAGTAAATGAATTAAATAAGTACCCCGTTTAAGCATTCAGCTCTGTCCAATTCAAATTTTACCTTTAATACTAGCAGGCAATGTGTGCTCATCGTCGTCCGGCAAGAACTCAACTTTTATTTTTTCCGCAATGCCTAACTTTTCTGGCGTGCACCAACTTGTTGCAAATTGTAGCAATGCTTCGATTCTCGTTGCTCCGTCGTCTTTGCTAAGACGTGTCATACCCTCAGATATAAACATTTCAAACCAATTGAAGGCTTGTTTTTCGGCATGGCTTTTTGGGTCATCAACTTCCAATAATGACTTGAAGAACTCAGGCTCAAACGGTTGTTTTTTCTTGTGAAGCAGCTCGAAAAAACAATGCTCGTGTTTGGAAATGAAGGGAAAGAAACCAAGAGTTTCCAAACCTTTTTTGAACTCCGTAATAACATCGAGGCGTGAACGAACTGTTTCATTGTATACTAGCTCCTGTATAAGGATATTCTTGTTGTTAACTGTAATTGGCTCTGTGGACGGCCAATGAGAAGCATTGATTACCTGCCAATAGGTTTCAGACCTCTGTCCATTTTCCAAGATAAAATCAATGGCAGCCTTGCTCTTAGCATCGTCTAGCTCTTCAATCAAATTCAAAAGGATTTCTGTGGACGAACACATTGGGATGTCGTGCTTATTTAACTGTGACATTATTTCTGCAGTGTCCTTTCCAAGTATTGACAAAATAATTGGTTTGGCCAGTTTAGGGAAAACGGCGATCGGTCCATTTTGTACGATGGTGTGCACCAAAAGGATACCGGCAAGCCGGAACAGAAAGATTTTTGTACTGTCCTTGATTGGCAGCAAACTAGTCATGTTTCCTACGAATAGCCTTTTTTTGATCTCATCCCAGGCCAAATTAAAATACTCTATCTTCAGGGTTCCACCATCTAAACCTTCCTCATTTTTGAAGGAAACTTCTAGACTTTTCTTTAATGAACCAATGTCGTTAACCTTTTTTTTGTAAAATCGCAAAACATCTAGCCATAGTGAATCTCTGTCTATCTTAATATCCTCATATTCTGGCAAAACGGTGTTTTTTCGAAACTCTTCTAACAACGTTTCAAAAGAGGGATTGGAAGAAAATTTTCTTCGTTTATTTGTGCTGGCCTCTTCTGATGGGGTTTCCAATAGCTCCGATACCGCCTCTTCTATAGATGAAATGCCAATTACAGCCAAACTTATTTGGCTTGTACTGTGTTCTGGAAACATTTGTTTTAAAGTGTCTTTCCATTCATCCTTTTTTGCTTTCTCTTTTGCAACATACCCCCATTTCCAACTTCCATTTCTGCTTTCTCCATTTTCATCTTCATTTTTGCCTGAGACCTCTTCGTCACTGCTGCTGTCTTCGACGTCTCTTATGGGATCTTCTGCGGACGAAGCTCCTGCCCCTGCCATGCACTCCTCTAGATGTTTTCTCATGTTCATTAAGGGTACCTCCGTATGACAGTACCTGCATTTACTTCTAATTGCATCATCTGTTGCTGTGGTCACTTTCGACAGTGACAGGCTTGACTGCATCGGTCTTACATATATTATGGTGTTTCCGCCAACACTCTCTTTCAAATGCTGCAAATTGTATCCATTTGGTGACATTGGGATTATGTTCAAATCACAATTCGTGCCACCCCTGTCAGCCCTGAGCATTTCAAATGCACCAGCTTGGCTTTTAAGCTTTGGGTAAACGGTCTCCAGGACTTGCCGAACTTTGCCATGACTTGCATTTTTGTCATCAAACCGTACTTTTCTTTTACCTATCCCTGCTTCTTTTAATTTAAGTAGCCTTGCCGTACATGGCGTCTTTCCCTCTGTTGGCTCTGCAAGGAGACAGAAGTCGCGAGTCCATGTTTCTTTGGGTTTAATGAACACGTATTGCTGCGACTTTCCTTTTCTTCTTGATGTAGTTGCTTGTCTTGAGCCTCCACATCCGAGACTTGGGAACGCTCTCCTATTGAGATAGAATCGCTTCCGCATTAGATTTAAGTTGCTACGCGTTTGATATTTTTAAGGTTTTTTTAAGAATTTAAAATATCCAATCAATGGCATTTCCCCTAACACTCTCTATCAAATGTTGTTAATTATTACCATATATCTATTTATATCCCGTTTCTTAAAGTGGTAAATTAACAATCGCAATGATGATTGTATTTTTTTCCTAGTGATTTGTGGTAGTCGAAATCTTCTCTGATCAGGCTGTCCAGAAATAAGGACGCAAAGAGGTAGTGCCGTTTGAAATTATGGCATTCTAAAGAAGAAGTTTTTGAAATTTTTCTTTTCAAGGCAAGCTGAGCTTCCCTTCCTAGCCCCCAACCTGACCCGCTTTGAGTGACGTTCAGCAAGCATGGCATCCCTCACCTTCTTTTTCACATATTTAGTCCCTTTAGCTTCTAAAAGCAGGAAACCCTCCCCCCACTTAAGTAAGAAATTTAATTAAATATAAATTTTTATCAAATATAAATATTTTGACCTTTTTTTATTATTTTTGAAAACTGCACAAGAAATCCTCCTGTTTTGAAAACTGTGCCTCCCAAAAATCAATTATCAATGTAATTCTGAACATCGTCGAGTTATCCGAGTTTTCTGTTCCGAGCGGTATAGTAATTTGCTAAATTTTAGTCTGGGAGATGCATTTTTAGTCACTATATGTCGCTAGACTTGATTCTTAGCCACCAACCCCCCTCCCAGCTTTAATTTTCTGATGCCCTCTCTGAAAAGTTTTCTATGCCTCTTTCACTCATTTTGCAATGACATCAGAACGAAATTCATATTGGACTTGGCGGATATGAAGATCCCGAAGATATCTAATCAATTTTGCGTTTTTTTATAATTGCAAACAATCAAGAATTAGAAAGCCGGTTCTATTCATTTGTAGTTAAAAATCAGATACATTGTGTGTTACGAAGGTAGCTATCGTGTGTTTCATTGAGTAACTTTCGGGTTGCTGTCTTTTGCCCCTCAGACATTTCAGTAAAAGCACAGGGTGTTGAGGAAATGCAGTAAACTTAAGGAACTATAAAGGAACTATTAAAGAACTTTTAGTACTACAGTTTGATAAAAAATGGCCCAAAAATAAGGAACTTCAAGAACTAGGCCCTGTGTTAGGTTCCTTATAAGAAACGTGCACCTCATTTTATGAATTACATATATCAATTGATGGAAAAGATAAAAAAATTAGAAAGGAAAATTAGAAATGTATCTACCTAAAATCTTGCATAACTGCTTCTTCTCTGTTTCCTTCAATGTTTGGTCTTCTACTTGTATCAATTAGCGAAGTAGTATGTGGGACCACACCACGCCGCATTGGCAAGAATGGCCTCGGGGGCCTGACCGCTGATGGTACGGCATTTTCTACGGTGTTTGCTGAACCCTGTTGCTCAAGACGCTCTATACGTTCAATGGCATCTTTTAGTGCAGATTTGATATCTTTACTTTCCTCCATGATATTATACGTCTATCTTTATCTACCGAAACAGGTTGAAAATCGGGTGTTGTAATTTGAAACTACAACGTCAATTCCCCTTGACTTTAGTTGCAAGCTGGGCATCAAGCTGCTCATCAAAAACAATTTCAAGACACTTCTCCTCCTCTTCCCCGCCTCTCTCCATCCCTTGCTATAAACCACTACCCCCGGGAAAGCGCCTCGACTACACGAAAGTCATCAATTCAATTCAATGCCTCGACGAGGTGACATTCGCCGCGACGATGTTAGACCTGTCACGGTTAATCAATCTTGCCTCGACGATGTGCCACCCGCCTCGACGAAATGACATCATTCACGATGTAAGACCGGCCCGACGAAGTGAAACCCGGCTCGACGAAGAGAAACCCGGCTCGACGATCTGACAATCGCCTCGACGAAACAAAGGTACCCATTATGTCCAGTACATGACTCCATAAAATTCCCTGGAGTCTCGTCGTCGCAGCGAGGCTTCATAGCAACAAACATGGCAGATGGATGTCATGAGTTTGGGTATACAGCACTTCTACTGAAGTCAGCTAAACCAGATGATGAATATCATGATACAATTGCCAGCAAATGTCATTTAAAGGTTTTCTCCATTCCAGTACTTGATTTTTCTTTTAAGAACTTGGAACTTTTTAAAGACTGTCTTCTTGAAATCGACCAATATAGCGGCCTCATTTTCACAAGTCCCAGGTCTGTGGAGGCATTCTCGAGGTCCCTTTTTGGCATAGATTTAAAATCTAATACGCCAGTAAAGACTTCCCTCCAGAGATTGAAAGTATTTGTTGTAGGTAAAGCTACAGAAAAGGCAGCTGTGAAAGCTTTCGGAGATGCAGACATCTTGCAGAAAATTTGTAAAGGAGGCAACGAAGGATCGGCCGAAAATCTTGCAAAATTTATTTTGAGCCTTGAAGAGATTCGCAACGATTCAAGGGCTTTGCTATTTATATGTGGAAATATCGCAAAAAACACATTACCCAGTATGTTAGAAAATGCAAATGTAAGATTAAAGTCTTTGTGCGTGTATGACACCCACCCTCATCCTAAGTTTTGCGAGAACTTTGAGAACTTTTTGATCACGCATGGAGACCCAACAGTTATTGTATTTTTTAGCCCATCTGGTGCAGAGTTCTATTTAGAAGATATAAGAGGCATGGTGGAAAATTTTCAACAAATGAAGATAATTGTTATAGGACAAACAACAGCAAACTTTTTCCATCAAAAAAAGTATCATGTCCATGGAATATCTGAAAAGCCAAATGCAGAGAGCTTGAGCCAGAGTATAAAAGATGTTATTGATCAGTTGCAAAGTTGAGGTTAAAGTACTTTTTGCTTCTATGTGCTCAGTTGGCATACAGTTTCTGAATTTGTTACAACCCTGTGAATGCTGGAGTAAAGTTATACTGTGACTTGACCAGAATGTTTTTAAAGGCAATGAGTCACAATAAAAAGAGAATGCATCTTGTGGTATTGGTAAACATTAGGCTGACTGCATAAAAATTGTTGCCAATTGCATATGAAAATAAAGTGATCAGGCCAAAAGCAGAGGAGCTCTTCAGATGATGCTTACTTGCCAAACTTGATGCCTTTAAGTAATCTTTTTCTATTTATTGAGTAATTTTAGGGATGTTGATTTGATTGTTAGATGAACTATATTTGTAATTTGCTTCAGTTGTTTCTTTTAAAATTGTTTGATTACAGTGATTTCATGTGAAATAAACTAAAAAAATTTGAATGTCTTCCAACAGACAGTTTGAAAAGAAACTTATCTAGTGATGTATTGTGCTTGATACTAACCTAACCTATGAATGCGCTGTAGTTAAATTTAACCTTATTTTAACTAAAAAATGAAAGTATTGTATACAATAATATTATGTGGGTGTAGATCAAGAATGAGCTGATGACTGTGCTATTCTTGCAGCACCAGATAGATAGATTAATTTGGGATGAGGTTTTTAGGATGCCAAGCATGTGTTGACAAACCTGTAATCTCCAGCATTTAATTTGAAACATTGTTCTTGCCAAACAAAAGCAAGCAAGTTTTGTTAATCACATTGTGTAGCATATTAATTCATATTTGTTAACATCTTGGGTTTGACTTATAATGTGGAAGCAAGCTCAACAATACACAGGAAAAAGAAGACAGATTTTTGATACAGGTTTTTGAAAAGGGTTGGGGCTGCAGGATTTCCATAGATTTTTGACAAATTTTGACAAGGATTTCCATTAGATGACTTTTTGTTTGACTGTGTGTCACACTGAAAGGTTTTGCACTTATGTAATCTTAGCATAGTCGTTAAATTCTAGCAGAGCACAAGTAATTCTTGGTAGCTGCAACCTTGATGAAGAAATGTTATTATGTTTTCCTTCTTGTTATGGACTTAAGATAAGGACCAGGGGCATAGGAAGGATAGGGGTACCATTGCTTAAGAACAAAAGGAGGAGGATTTTCATAATTTTTGGGTCCCCCCCAAGACATAGAGTCAACACTAAATGAAACAATTTGCCTTAGAAGATTTTAAATGCTATAGTATAGAAAGCATCAGGAATCAATAAGATAAGAACTGTAAAGATAAAGTATTCTGCAAAGATCTTAGCATGTATCTCATCAACATCAAATGATTTGCTTATGGGACTTAACCAGTGCTAGTAACTAGAACTGTAACAATTACTGATGTCAATTACCAATTGACTAACGGGCCCATTTACCCACAGCTTTTCTAACAGGCTTTGAGCGTATGCAAAAAGTATAAGCAGTATGATAATACACTATCGAGTTGATTACTACATTGATGCCACACTGCCCGACCCGATCGAGAAATTCGTCTACACTGAGTCTTTCTTTTGAGATTTCATGTCCGCCAACCTTGATGGATTGTAGAGTTCATGCTTAACATAATTTCAGGCGAGAAACTTTGACAACCATTCTTCAAAGCAAAAAAGATAGCAACGTCACTCAGCTTAAAGGACGGAATTCAGCGGCAAGGGTTGAGGGGAACTTCAACTTCAACTTCAACATTTCATTTTCAGTATATTTTAAATAATGACAAGTGATACGATAGTGCTAACATAAACGATTAGAAGATTTAAAAAGCGTATTTTACATGAAATTGTCAGCAAGGAAAAATTAAATACTAAAGGACACGTAAAATAACTCAGAGGAGCTTTCGAACTACGCGCCCTTTTGTGTTTCTACAGGTTACATTGTATATATTTAAAGAAACAGATTCAAGGAAACACACATATATGAAGTTGTATCAATAGCAAAAACAGCAAGAATAGATAATAAAGAAAACAACTTAAAGAAAGCAAAAAATAAAAACTTATATAAAAAGAAAAGAAAGTAGAGAACGAAAGAAAAGGGGAGTGCAATTCAAAAGTTGGTCGTAAGATTCTATTTGAAGGCCTATTAATTTTTTTAGATATATTTTTAGGTGCTTATTAAACGTTTGCTCATTTTTTTATGACGCAATTCAAGAGGAAGAGAGTTCCAGAATTTAACACCCTGATAAGAGATAAATTTTAGACGATAGTCAGTAGTACCAAAAGGAAGGGAGAACAAGTCCAAAGAGGATTGACTGGTCTTGTGATGGTGTACATCACTGCTTTTTTTAAACAGGCTACTGAAGAAAGAAGGAATGTTCTTTGAGTTAATGCCAAACATGAATTTTCCTAGTTCGCATTTGTATGTATTATCAAAATCAAGCAAAGTAAGTTTTTCAAAGATTGGTTTCGAATGATCGCTTTTTTTTTGCAAAAGTTATTGTCCTCACTGCTTTGCGTAGGGAGATTCGAATAGCTTCTAAATTTGAGGAGTAGGCACTTCCCCAGCACGTAAGCCCATAATTAACATGGGGTATGATTAGTTAGTTATATGTATTTTGTGGTATATAGTGTCGCAGTTTTGAGAGTAGTCCAATGCTCTTACATAATTTTAGTTTAACTTGTTTTATATGTTCTTTCCAATTTAGTTGATAGTCTTTATATGCTCCAATATATTTAGTATATTCTTTTTGGATAATATTTTGATTTTTGATTTTGAGACAAATAGGTTGATTTCTTTTTTGTTTTTCGAGTGAATTAAGAGAAAGTTTGATTTAGATACATTTAGCGATAATTTATTTGCAGCAAGCCATTGTGATACTTTAGTCAGCTCATGGTTAATAATTGATTCCAGTTTCTTGAGATTCTTATGTGAAAAGACAATGCTGGTATCATCCGCTAACAGGTGAAAGTTTAAGATTTTAGAGGCTTTAGAAATATCGTTAATATAAAGTAAAAATAAAAGGGGTCCAAGGACGCTACCTTGTGGTACACCATGAGAAATATTGCAGCTGTTTGATAATTGACCACTAACACATACGCATTGTGTTCGGTTTCTTAGATAAGATTCGAACTAGGCATGCGGTACACCTCTTACTCCATAGTGATCTAGTTTAGATAGGAGTATGTCATGATTGACAGTGTCGAAAGCTTTCGAAAAATCAAGTAGAATGCAGGAAGTGAATGAGTTTTGTTCAATGTTATTTGTGAAACTGTTATAAATATCAAGAAGGGCAAGTGATGTGGGCTTATTTTTTTGAAAACCAAATTGGTTATCAAAGATTATATTATGCTTATATTATGTTTGTCCAGGAAGTCTGACAGGCGTATATGCATGAGTTTTTTGGGTATTTTTGAGAAGATCGGAAGAATTGAAATTGGTCTATAGTTAGACGATTCGAGGAACGAATTGCCTTTATGAATTGGAGTGACTTTAGCGAATTTTAGTTCATCAGGGAAGATTCCACTTTGAAATGAAGAATTTGCAATATCTGCAAAAGGTTCAGCAAGTATCGAATATGCATTTTTGATGAGCTTAACAGAAATATCATAGGCATCATTAGCTTTATTTTCGTTTAGGTTAGAAATAAGGTCTGAGACTTCAAATGCTGTTGTTGGAAGTATCAAAAAGCTGTTGGGGAGAGGCGAAGATCGGAAGTTTTGGTGATTTATTAGAGTTGGAGGAAGTTTTTCCAAAAGTTTCTCAGCTATTGTTGTAAAACATTCATTGAAAACGTTTTCCACATTTTGGGGGCTTTGGACAAGTTTACGGTTGATATTTAAAAATATGTTGACAGAATTTTTTGGGATTTATTTATGAGTTCTTTTATGGCTGACCAGACCTTTTTTGAATCAGATTTGAATTTGCTAAAATAATCCATATAGTGCATTCTCTTACTCTTTCGTATTAAATGGTTGATCATGTCGCGATAGTATTTGTATCTATTATACCATAAAGGGTCCAAAGTTTTAACAAAGTGTTTGTAATAGCTATTTTTTATCATGATAGAGTTGATAATGCCCGATGTAATCCAGGGTTTCTTAGATTTGCGTTGCATTCTTCTAGAAATTTGTTTTAGAGGTGCATTTTTGTCAACAATATTTATTAACAGGGCCGCCAGAGCTGGGGGCCCACAGGGGCACAGGCCTTTTAATTAGAAAGAGTGTTAAAAAAGTATTTTGCTAAATTTGGAAGAGATAGAGACAGAAAACTCGTTTTTAAGTAGACAGGGACTGACAATTTGCTTTGAAGTAGAGAAAATTTCTTTGAAAGAGATAGAGATCGAAAATTTGCTTTGAAATAGACATAGACAGAAAATTTGTTTGAAAAGAGATAGAGACTAAAAATTTGATGATTCCTTTCAGTTCTGTATATTATATTTTTGGTTGTACAAGTAAGTATGCCCAAGAGTGTGTAGACCCTGAATGGAACATAGAGCCATGCCTCCCTCTAGCAAAGATAATTCTTGCTATGTGCACAGTGTGTTCTTTTTTCTAAATTTCTGATTTATAATGAAAGCGGTTAATTTGTTTGCAAATGTTTGCTAATGTCATGGAAATGTAGATTTTACGGAAAAATAGATGTTGATGCCCTCGTTTATATTTATTCCTTTTGCCCCCCCCCCCCCTCCTCTGTTCAAACTTGCATCCAGGGGCCCTTGGGAGGGATGTTAGAAAATAATTAGACTTACTAGTCAGGAAAAATGTGCTACACAATGCAGGTGACTGAAAACTGCTGGGAATGCCTATTTTTAAAATTCATTTTTTAACTTTGGAATAAAGAAAATATGAAGATGAATAAAATAATTTTTCTACATTATTTTGTGCATAATCATAACTCGTTGCCAAAGATGTTTCTTTTCGAGTCAAAGCAACAACAAAATATTGGGGGATGTCGCAACCCCACCCCACACTCCCGTTCAATCAGCCCCTCTAGTTAATAAATCAGCCCCTGCACAAAATTTCGTGCATGAAAACTTGTAGCTACACCCACCCACCCAACAGACTTGGACACACAGAAAATTTGGCGCATGCGTAATTGAAGATTTCAAGATCGTAAACATGGTCTGTCGGTCGAGTGCGCAGTTGCAGAGAGCGACAAGAGAAAATGACGAAGTGTGATAGATGCGATCGCAACATAAAAGATATTTAAACCATGCCTATCAAGTTGTGAAGAAAACTGGAGAGCCTATGTTTACCTGTAAAAAGGGGTGCAAGGGTTGCAGACACAATGGTATTTTTAAATTGTATCATCATAATATTTTGAACCATACTTAAATTATATGCAAGGTCAAATTTCTTTAGGCTGCCTCTTCGATAAATTGAAATTGTTACCTGAAAAAATTTGTATTTTTCGTTCATTCTTATGTATCATTTAATACTGCCTTGTCTTGAAAAGCACGCTAATGCCTCTCAACAACAGTAACACAATGAACTTTGATTACTGTTGAAAGGTTCAATTAAGTTATTTTCGTCATTCCATCCTTGATTTTAAATAGAATAAAGTTTTAGTTTGCTTAATGATAGTGGATATAAATATTTTCAGTATTTGTTTAACTTAAGGAACATCTGAATATATGATATGATTGCTTGAAGTAGCAAAATAGCAGAATATATTTTTTTATAAAAAAATATATTCTTCTGGCTGGGTTATTGTTGCAGAAAGAGCCTTGCATTACAGAAGGAAGTTCAAAGAGAATTACTTTTTAATATTGTATCAGTTTGAGTAAACATTTGTGGGCATGTTAAGCACCTATTTTCTCAAATATTCATGATCATCATGAAAAGTATACAATGTTTTAGGATAATTTTAAACAATGTGGATACCTTCTTTGTAAGTCTCAACATACAGCAGTATTATATCATTTTAAAAAGATGTAAGTTATTGAGAATTACTCAGTGAAATGTATAGAAACAAGTTGTTTTGTGACCAAAAGAGCTTTGAGTCCCATTCAGAATTGTTGAAGATGTTGAGAACAAAAGCTACATTTTAAGTCTAAACTGTAAGTTGGTATCCTGACATTGAAAATACTTTTAAGTTATTTTACGAAATCAAAGGTAAAGAATTTGCTAGGCTTGGCATTTTGGTTAGCAGAGTTCTAGTAATAAGTTGTGTTCATTAAAGTTATACCCAGTTTGATCTTTGAATAGATTTCATCATGACAATTCACTTCTTTATCTTCTGTTTTCAGGGCAATAGCCCATCATCTTTGGAGAAGGAAATTGGTCAAGAATTCCCTCCAAATGAGCATTTCTTTGGACTGGTAAATGTAAGGACCTTTTTCTCAGAGAATCTCAGACTAGCTTCTAATTAAAAGAAATTATAAAACATTTGCAGATTGTATGTCTAAAATCTTTTGAATTCATGATTTTATTCCCACCTTCAATAATACCCAATGATAAGCAATAGATTGATTTAGGTTTCTTAAAAGAGCAGGCTTTATTCTGTAAAATTTTACCTTTTAGTTTGGAAACACATGCTACTGCAATTCTGTTTTGCAAGCATTATACTTCTGCCGGCCATTTAGGGAGAAGGTTATTTCCTACAAGCCTCCATCAAAAAGAAAAGAAAATCTGTTGACTTGTCTTGCTGATCTCTTCAATAACATTTCATCTCAAAAGAAGAAAACAGGCGTGCTTGCCCCAAAAAAGTTTGTAGCAAGACTCAGAAAGGAAAATGGTAAGCATAAGTAGTGATAGGTTTCTGGGGGTCAGTTGCCTTCATTCTTATAATTATAAAAAATTTGTTCCTCTCTTCCCAAAAAAATTCCTATATTTTTGAAAACATATTATATATTTGGAAATAGTTGCCAATTTTTTTGGATGAATCAATGCTACAAACGCCTATCTGCTTTTAATGAATAAAATAATAAGTTTTATCCCAGGGATGCTGGAGCACATTTTAGAGTGGGGAAGGGGGGTTCTAGAAAAGTGGAGAGGCTCCTTACATAGTTTGCTACCATTATCTTTGAGGCTACAACCTTGATATCGTACTATTGCAAAAAATGCTGTTGATGTGTATATGTAACTACATATATATATAAAATGGAGATATCTGGAAGTTATAATTTAGTGTGAATAACTTGATAGCTCATCTGCATTCTTTTTATTTGCCCTAAGCTTTTTTAATTGTAAGTAATCTAGTAATCATGTAACCTGTAATCAAAAGCTTGAATGTATTAAATTTAATTTAATTTAATTTAATAACTAGCAAAGAAGCAACACTTTTATCATTTTTTGTCCTTTTAATGATATGCAATCAAAATAAATTATTCTTAATAAGTAGACTTTGTTAATAAGCCTTTGATTTTGCATTGCTTGAATTTTTTAGAGGTCTTTGACAATTATATGCAGCAAGATGCCCATGAGTTTCTGAATTTTCTTCTGAATACAGTTGCAGATCTTCTACAGAGTAAGTCTCCATTATATGTAGTAATTGAGGCTTCCTTGTGTAAATGATAAATGTTGCAGACATATTGTTGATGATATCTTCCATTCGCTCTAAATTTAGGAATATTTATGTTAATCACTGTATACAAGTCTGTTAGAAAGTGCTTAGTATGTTTCCTGCAGATCGCATTAAGCATAAAACTAGCCTGATCTATATACCAATAGCGTAGTTGAATATTCAGATGCTATTTCTGTCTCAATCCACAAGGTGAGAAGCAAAAGGAGAAAGAGAAAGACAGAGATCGTCTAGGAAGTGCAAGCAGTGTTAATAGTAAAAACAGTGTTAGTTCAGAATGCTCAACTGCCAGCTCAGCAATTCACCAGCCAAAACCACCACCAGAACCAACCTGGATTCATGACATTTTTGAAGGAACACTTACAAATGAAACAAGATGTCTTTGTTGTGAAACTGTGAGTTTATTCTCAGAGAAAGGCAGTTAATGTGTTATATTTGACAACAGTCATAATATATTTGTAACTGAATTGTGATTCAATTAGATTCTAAGTTAGAAATGATACCCAATTATTTATCAATCTTTTTCTAACAGATTGAAATATTTAGGTAGCCTCCAAACTCATTATAGACAAATAGTAACATTTATGAAATACACTGTTTAATTTAACTTAATTTATGTTCTATAAAGCTTCAAATCAATGCAGGATTTGCTTACATGTTATTAAGCATCACACTTGATGTGAAGATGAAATTTCATGCAATTTTGTTTAGTATTTATAAATTGATTGAATCAGCAACCAGTGGTTATGAAATAGTGATCATTTTTGCAGGACACCCAACTCTTTCTCAATTGTGACTTAGTTTTTCAAATGTAAATGGTGTTAATAATCCAGCTGCTTAAGTATTAAGGTATACAAAAAATGTTTGTAAATAAGCATCAGCTGATAAATGTGCCAGTACACCTGTATAGTTATCCGGCTTAGCTCCTTTTATCTGGAAATTAATTTAGAGATATTAAGCTCTTTGCTAATAAATTGTTTCCTCCTTACCCAATAGGTGAGCAGCAAAGATGAATCATTTCTTGATCTTTCAGTGGATATTGAGCAGAATACATCAATTATTTATTGTCTAAAGTGAGTTGATATATGTCAGTGTCTGTTAATAATGGATAAATGTTTTTCCCATCCAAAATATATTTCTTTTTTTACTTAAAAAGGATGGATTTTGCCTTTTTTAGCGAATGTTTCTGTTCCAGAGTTCCAATTATTCATCAAGTTATTACACTTAAAAGCCATTCTGAGAAAAACCAAACAAAGATGAATGTTTTTGGTGTCACTGCTATTTCACAAAGTTTTACATTCATTCTCAGTGATACTTGTTAAGTTGAAAGTTATTAAAATGAATTCCACCATTTTAAATTTTGATCTTTTGAGCTTTACCCTGTAAATTGGGTTTGGTCTCGACCTGGCAGATGTTTTCTCAATTATTATGGCTTGAACTGATGAGAAGATTTGTTCTCAATATTTTGCAGTAGATAAACAACTGAAAGCTTCATATTTACATTCAAATGCAACAGAACTGAAGCTTATCCATTTGTCTTAACAATCCCCACAACTAGTATCTTGTGAATTGCTGAAGCTTAAATTTCTTTCTTCATTTGAAAAGGTGAGGTTATTTGAAATACACTGTCGCATCCAATTTGCATAGCAGTGTCTCTAAACTAAAAAGTTACTTATTCCCAGTGCAACCTAGCTGTTGAAATGCATGCACTTATAACTCCAAATCTATGAATAATATTTGAAAATAAACAACAAACCTATGATAAGTTAGTTTAATTCTATAAAATTAGCTAGTAAAAGAGGTTGCAAAACTTGGCTGGTGAGACCCTTTAGTGCTAAGAAATCAATGTTCAATGCATCCCTTCCATGTAGTTTTAAGATTTGTGGGAGAAATTAAATAATAGTTTCTTGATAAAAGTAATCCATCTTATCATTAGAAGGCTCTAAAATTTGTCCAGTAAAAACTTTGCAATTCAAATTTTTGTTAGCTAGACCATCTAATGGGCAACTAAAGTGATTTTAAAAAATCTCAAATTTAATCATTTAACTGCTGTGGAAGAGTGGATAAAACATTTGCCTCTTGCCACACTGGTAGACAGGTATCTTTTTGAGCCTCAGCACAAGCTAACATATAAAGCAGAAATCAAGTTAGTGGCCAGAAGACCTTTGGTACCTTGAAACAAATGAATAACTAAGAGGAATTGAAGATTAGCAAGTTAAAGCCAGAGAACTTTTGAGTCTGTTATAAACATCCCCTTGCTTATAATTTTTTAAAAGAAAATCCACTCAGGACATGCTTGCTGCAACCAACAGTGTGTTTTGTTAAGCCTCATGTTTTCATATTTATGAAACAGTATGAAAGTGCATTTTAGTTAATCAATTCTAGAGCTACATTTGAAATTTAGAGTTCCAATTTGAAGTTCAGTGAGAAGCCACAATCCTGGACAAAAGTTAGGAGACATTAGCTGTTATTATCATTTATTCCAAAAACACCCAACCCCCTGCCCCCAATATCAATTTTGATGCTGATTTTTTAGGTTTTCTGGCTTCCACAATCAACTGCCATTATCCATCACCAACATTGACATTGGGGGGAGGGGCATACTACTTGTTTTGACGGCAATTTCGCAGAAAATCACTCAAAAAAGAATTGTCTCATAACCTTTTGTCCAGGATTACAGCTTCAAATGCAACAGGAAACAAGCTTTGGAATCTAGTTTGTATTTTTTCTGCATCCATTTTAAAGGAACTGCTAATCATCCACCATATTTTCATGATTTTTAAAATTTCTCATCCACCTTGTTTATTTCAGAGCCTTAACTGCATGCTATTGCATATGCTATTATAGACTCAAAAGTAGCATTTCAAGCAGTTATGGTACTTTTCAAGCTTATTTAATAAACTATTTTTTATTGTAGAAATTTCTCATGTACTGAAACTCTGTGCATGGAGCACAAATATTTTTGTGAAGTTTGTGGTAGCAAGCAAGAAGCACAAAAACGGTATGTTCCTGAAGAACTCATTAAAAGTGAGACAGCTCTTAACAGTCATTTGTAACAGTCAAGTGAAAGAGTAAGATAGCTGCCATGCGAACACCAGCTAGAATATTCTATAGCTATATTTCCACTAATAGATACAAGAGTCTCAAACAAACACCCCCTTTTATAAACACCACACATATCAGAGGGGTGCTTTATTTGAAAAAAATGCCAGGCTCATTCCTCATCTTTGTTTCAAGGCAACCAGTTAATAACTTGCACCTAAGTTTCCCCAGGACCTAGTGGAATGCTGAAAAACATGTTACAAAAATTTGATTGCCTTTATCTTTAATAATTCACAGATGTGCCATATTTTTTATTTCAAGAAACAATTATTCTTTTTATCTGTTTAGAATTTCTTGAGTGCAATTACGGTATTTTGTACGTATCTGTATAAGAGGAAGAACATTAACCATGATTCAAACGAAATTTTTTAGGATGAGGGTTAAGAAGCTACCACAAATACTAGCTTTGCACCTGAAGAGGTTCAAGTATGTTGAACAACAGCAGAGATATACCAAATTGACATACAGGGTTGCATTTCCCTTGCAACTACGCTTGTTCAACACAGTAAGTGATTTACATTTAAATCACACTTCAATTTATTGTGTAATTGTTTGCAAGATTCAAATGACATTCTTTTGCTGAAGATTGACAAACATTGACAAACAGAAATCTTTACAGAAAAGATTGACAAGCATTGTCAAATACAGTTTGAAATCAAAAGAAATGTTGCATTTACATTTTTGAAATAAAAAGCAGTAAGGCCACTACCTTTCATAGTGAGCAGCTATTAAATCTTGCAGATGCTGAAAAAAAAAATCTAATGGTAGGAATTGAATTGAATACACTTTTTTGACCATACACTCTTTAAAGAAACACCTACAGTCTTGAACTTGTATCTTCTAACATTCATAAATACCAGTTACTTTAAGCTCAATTGTCAGGTACTGAGATAATCCCACAAGGCGAAGGTTTTCATTTGCATGAAAGAAGTCATTCCTTCATACTCTCTTGCTTTTAGTCAAAAGAAGCTCAAGATCATGACCAACTTTATGACCTTGTTGCAGTGGTTGTGCATTGTGGCAGGTAACTGCTTCATACTCACATTGATTGGTCCATGTTTGCTTCAATACATTGCCTTAATGAAAGCCAAAAAGCATGATTCATAGTTTTCGTAATGTCTGCTCCTAATTTTATTTTTCATAAACATCAGTTATTTTAGAAGGGAACATCATTACAATGCAATTCTATGCAATAGTTTGCTCTGCCCCAGGTAGGTATCTTGCTAAAAGACTTGTGAAGGGCATCGATATTTTAAAACTGAAGTAACTCAATCTCCACATGAAATAATTTATTACAGCTAGTAATAGACGATAATATTTGTTTGATATTCTTCCTATACCTTGTCAGTTTTCTGTCAACTCTTTTCAGACTCATCAGATTTGGAGTAATTGTTGATTTTTAGGGTATTTCTGACAAACAGAGACTTGTTTTCCACAGAGTGATATATGATATCTTGTTTGTGCTTACTTTATCACTATTAAATCTCTTTCACAGTGGCCCAAACAGAGGACACTACATTACTTTGGTTAGGAGTGGCGGGTTTTGGCTACTTTTTGATGACGACATCGTAGATGTAAGCTACTAAATGAATGATTCTGCATTTTTTATTTATAAATTCTTACTTACTCAAATCCTGCTGTTTGAAATCACCTCGCTTGAAATCCACATTTAGTTATATTTTACACTAAACAATCCATTTCATAGGCTTTTAGAATAATTTTCATGGAGTTTGCCAAAGCAGGACCGTTCCAACACCAACAACCTACACCATCAATAGCTTTCATGGCGCTGTTATGATAGTAGTACTTTTTACAGTTAATGGAAATTCTTTCTCACATAAAATCTAGATATCAGTTTTATGAAACTATAAATCCCAAAAATATAACAAATTCTACCCTGGCTTGGACGTCCCGAGTGAAGTATGTCATACCCTAATGGCTCTCCAATGAAGGGGATCCGAAATGCATGCCGTTTGAGTATTTGAGCAAAATGTGACATCATCTTGGGGTTTAGCAAATACTTAGATTTCGATGATGTGTTGATTTGTTTTGTTATTCAAACCTCGGTTTGTTAAAGCTGGCAATAAAATCTTGTTATTAATTTGTAGAAAATCGAAGCTCGTTCGCTTGAAGAGTTTTTCGGCCTGACGACAGAGCTGCAGAAAAACCAAGCAGAATGTGGATACATATTATTCTACGAAACTAGAAAATAGTTTTAAATTATTAAGAAGATTTAATTTATAATCCAAACATTTTAATTGAGAAATGATCGAACAGTTTGAAAAGTTGTGTATATTAAATAGTGCCAAGACTTTAATTTGTAGTCAAGAGGACATTTAACTTGGTATCAGTCAAGAGAAAACATGTCCTAAAAGTATACCTTCCGACTTTTTTCGCTGTGATGTTTTGCTTGTTTCGTTGTTTTGTTTTTTATACATATCCCCTATCTCATTACTTTGATCTAGCAAATTTCATTTAACATGAAGCTCGCTAACCTATTATATTTCATACCCATCTGCTCTTTCATACTCATACAATTCGTTTGTTGGTGTTAAATGCTTAAATATTCCACTGCATTAGCTGAATATTTGCAGAAGGCCATAATTTCTTCTAACTTGGCTTTGCAGCATTCTATTTTGGGTTATTTGGTCTAGTTTGCCATCTCCCTAAATGCCATTTCTTGTCCTAAACATCGAACAGATCAGTGTGTTGAAGAGTAAATTCATAATAAGATAATGGGATTGAAACTAGCTAATATTGTTATCCTGCGTTGAGTTCAAAATTTTGAAAAGTTTTTTTAGTTGAAGTCCAAGTATTTAAACCATAGGGATGATTTTAACAGATCCACTCTTCATTGATTTGAGAACCGTGTCCAAAAACCTCCATCTAATGGGGTTTTTTCTTAATCTCCCTTAGAAACGTTATTCTTGGAAACTCTAAGTGATTTCCAAGAATTTATCTATAGAGTTTGCACAAGACATTGCAGAGAACAACTTCAGTTATCGATCATTTTGTGTTGCTGTACAGACAATTTGTTGATATTGATAATGTTACTTCAGAATAACTAACTGTAACTTGTTATTTATCTGTGTTGTTGTTTTTCCACGTCTGTTTTCCTGTCGGGGTTAAAAAGACATTTTTTGGCAGGGTGTGACTTCGAGTGGAACAAATTCTCGACAAGAGTGCGCCAGTATTTCTAAATGTTCAGCAAGAAGAAAGTTCGTGCGGCGCTCGCAGGGACAAAAGTTCATGCTTCTGATTTCTGCAGGCACTCCTGGATTGATTTTGATTTTAGAATCATGCCCAAATGACCGAAAATCATTACATTTATGGTGCCAGTTTCATTCTCAAAAGCCGATGTCAAGTTGAATGCTTGTCTCTCTCTCGCCATCCTGTCTCTTTATCCCTATATTCTCTTTATTCATCTACTTTTCTATTTCTCTCTATTTATAAATATTCGCTGATAACTCTCAATTATTCCATTGTACTTTTCTCTGAGCCTTATGAAATGACTGTAAAACTTATTCGTGCATAGGAGGCAGAAGAAAGCGCTCTCTGTGGAGCATATTGTTCCAGCAAAATATTTTGCACATTTGATAAATATCCTTTTTGGAGAAAAATCCCCGAAAGATCCTTAAAAATTCTATTTTTATGAAAAGCTCGGATAATCCTTCCAAAAAGTGATTCACACATTGTCCACCTTTAAGCTAAAGTCAATGAGTATTTAAGTATGGTAACTATTGCGTTTCTGCAAGTATGAGAAATAAAGTAAAATGTAGAGTATATGCCTGACTTATTGGAGCCAAATCACAAGGCACGTCATGGGCGTGGCGGATGCTTGCTGTTCAAGGGGACTTAGTATGGGTCTCACCCAAATATTATTGCTACACCGAAATAGAATTGCCCGAATGGAGCCTGAAATGCGATAAATTTTGTCTAATTAGAGAGCGGGAGCTGCATTCCTATGACTTCTGTTCGTTTTTAGGTACACTGCCAGAACAAAATTCTGACGATTTTTTATTTTTGACAACAGAAGCAAGCCTCTTTTTCTTCAATTCTTTGAGTGAAAGCAATTTTACATTAAAAAGATAAAATCTTATAAGAATGATCTACTGAAAGCTAAAGAACTGAGTATCGAATTTTCCTTTTAAGTCGCAAAACACTCACTTTGAAACAAGATGCTGTAAAAACAACCAATACCCTGTTTAGTTTTATGGGAAGTGTGAAAAATCGATAATATCAACAGGACTGCCTGGCAAAAACTGGATCATTTCATTAGCTTTCTTGTGAAACACACTTTTTTAAATCGCACTCAGTGATAGCTATGCCATCTGTTCAATTTTTCATGCAGCTGCAGTTCATGATAATAATGGTATGTTTGGTACCGGCTTTTGACAAACAAAAGTTGGTGTAACAGCACTGAACGTAACCAGGGCTTCAATAGAAAGGCAGATCCCCAATTTATCAGTACCTGCCCATAAGTTGCAATCTATTTTACTTGCAGGAACATTTTTACTCGGCTTTCCGCTCGCGGGCACAAAATATTTCTAATGAGCCTTGCCTCAACACCCCACCCCAGTAGAACCCGTATAATACCAATCTACAGCCTATGCCTTTTCAATACCAAATGAAAAAACGGTATAATTATCATTCGCTAGCATTCCGAAATACTGCTGCATTTCATTTCACGCGCCTTATTTAAAACAGGCATCTTGACCTTCATAGCTTTTGTGTGAATGTGCACTCTTTCTTTATAAAGAGAATATAACTTTTCCGAGGCTCGATTTTTTTGGAAAATTTGAACATCGGTTGTTATCAGTGTTATTCTAAAATTACATGCTAATTGTTTCCAAAACAACGAAATAACAGCTTTGCATGAACATTTTATTGGCACCTTTTCTAGCTGATAAAATCTACTTTCTTGTTTTATCTTAGTGGAACTTTTCAAAAACCTCAGTTGGTCTTCCAATTTGTCATCCGAGGCTAGGCATGTTTGTCATCCGAGGCTAGGCATGTTTGTCATCCGAGGCTAGGAATTTTTTTGGCAAATCGAGCCTCGATGTTCTGATAAAAAGTGTGATAAGAGTTATAATTGTTGTAATTGCACTTCGATAATTTCAAAAATATTTTTTGACAAAAGATGGATGTTTAGGAAGGATTTTATTCTCAGTCGCTAGGCCTAAATAGTCAACAGTTACTGCGACGTAAGAACGCAAACCTCAGTAACATGTGCTTTCGACAGTAAAATTGGCTAGCATGTCAATTCATACCCACGCAAGATTAATGCATTGACGAAGGAAACTGTGCTAGTATTTTGCCATAAATGTAGGCGAAATAATAAGATAACAGATTCACCTCTACACGCTATTACCTGATTACACAAACAGTAAAAAGGCCTTTGAATGAATGAACGTCACATACCTTAAACGAGAACCTGTCTCCCCATATTCTTCTTCTTCAAGCCTATCTTTTGGTAATCCTAGGCCGTAATCATATCAGTCTTTCTCATTTTATCCTACATGTTGCCCTTGTCGAATTTATGTCAAAATACTCTTCTACTGTCGCTCGTAAATTTTACACGTCGCCTTTTCCCCACGAGAATGCAAAAATTGTTTTCTAGGAGGAATCGCGAGGAACCAAATCCCAAGAGGGAGGGTAGGACGATGGGCTATTTTCCGATACAAAAGAAACCAAAAAAATTAGTTTCACTTCCTTGCCATGCTGTCACGGCAGAAATGTGTGGCCTTCAATGCAGCAGAAATTCGTGAGCCTTTAATGTTACAAGGCTAATTTTTCACGATAGCGGCTTTACTACAGAGGCCATGCAACATGGAGGTCGGGACTGCAAGCCCTCACTGTTTTGCTTAATACAACGTTCATATTAGACCTGCCCTGGGTGCCAGAGCCTCAGAGAACCCTTTGACGGGGGCTAATGGGGTAAGAAGTAGATTTAAAGAAATTTCTGAAACTATCCAGCATGTAATCAGTGCCCCTTGAAAAGAAGTTAGACTCTTTTCAATCTAGATGTTACCAAGCGTATGCAATAATGAGTGAAAGTGATTTTGCTTTTATTTACACCGATAAGAACGTCTATCAATACCACAGTTTCTACAGAATACGACCTCCAGATTCTAATTTTCCCATTTAATCAAGTAGGCAGATTGCTAGTTTACTCAAAAGATGCCATTACTACACTATAACTACCTATTAAAGTAAAACATCACGTGATATCCTTTCCTGATGTTTATTACCATATGCTCTGTGTGCATCAATTATTGATTGGGTTCATTTACTGTTAAAAATATGATGATATTCAAAGGCAATGTGATCACGATGTCTAAGGTTATGACCATGTGATGCGATAAAGAAAACCATGGTATGCAATAAGCATATTATATAGATGGTTTCAGCAACTGGATAAGGTAAGATGGAAAATACTCTTGCTTAGGAGTGCGTGTAGGCACAATTCCGAAAAAAGCTGAACACCAGATGTGAAGTGTTTGGGGGGGGGGGGAATTCAAGGTAACTGTCTCAATTAACCTTAATTGAAAATCTCACATGCATTGTGGCGAAAATAGGTTTACCGTTGAGGGAAGCATCTATGCATCTAAGCCAGAAAAATTAACTAATGAATAGTAAATTGCAAATAAGCAAAAATCAAACTGCACCAAGAAAATGAAAAAATATTTACTACTTGATCTGGTATCGGCTAGGATCTAGCTGCTTAGAAAATGCAACATCGATTGGTACACATATGTACGTACTAGATCGCTATACTGAAAAAAATACAACTTTTGGCTTCAACTTACAGTTTGACGTTACAGATCAACACGTGCGCAAAAAAATAATTTTTGTTTATAAGCTGTAATGCTTTTTGGAATAAAGATTTCAAGCAGGTCATATGTCTGTACTGTCTTTGGCTGAAGAATCCTTGAAATAAAACTTAAAAGAAATCGCAACGCCGCTCATAAATTGAGCAATACTACGGAAATGCTAAACATAAATTTCAGGGTAGCGTGTTTTTCGGAAGAAACTATGCGTGGCCTAAGTTTTTAATGAGAATGTTAATTTGTTTCATGTACATGTAGGTAATAAATAAATGTCAAGGTCAAAAGGAATAAATGAGGAAATTTGGTAAATTCTGGATTCGAAAGCCAAAATATTTCAAACGGATTTATTTCTGGTTCAATGCATTATAAATAACATTGAGTTAATAAGACTTTGATGGAATGGAAATCATTTTGTAAATCTATGAATAAAAATCGCTTAACATTTTCTTCAGAGGAAAAAAGTGGGCTGAAATCAGCAAAAATTGCAGCAAAGAACGCCTGTTCTCTCTCCAACCAAAGAACGCCTGCTCTCTCTCCAACCAATTAATTCAAATTAAATAAGTAAACAAGTAAATTGTTCATTTAGAGTTCAAAAATTCAAGATTTGTACCTTGTAAATTACTAAGCTACCGGTTCTTCATGCAAAATTTTATACATTCAGCTTTAGAAAAATATGTTCCCTTGAATCTTAAATGCAGCTAGTTTCGTGGCCACATCCCAAAATCCATAGCGATGGCAATAATAGCTCCGTTAGAGATACCTGCGACCATGCATCTAAAAGAGAGAACGTAAATTTATATGACTTTAGAAATTCCAAAAGCAAACGGTATTTATACTGCAGACAGAAAGGAATTTAACTCAAAATGGATACCTTAAATATCAAAGTTTCGGAAGGTATTTTACTGGTGATACAAAGAAGTTTTAAGAGATAATTGCGAAAGACAAGAGCAAGAAGAGAACACGACTATAGCAGTAAGAACAATCAACTGAAATAGTTTCCCCTGGAACAGTTATTTGCATGCCCATAACTACCAATTTGATGTCAGGCACACGAATTAGAGGAATCTATGTTGCATACCAGTGATGTAAATTAAAAAGGAAAAAATTAGAAAACTGAACAAAAACGAAATCGTTAAAATTCCTTTGCTTTTTACATGGAGTTACTGCTATTCGACAAATCTGGAATTACACTAGTTGCTGAAACCTGAAAAAGACTTCCTGGTCTTTCAAATATATTATAGTACAATACTTAATTTATAACTTATAAGACTGAGAAAGAAAAAGAAAGAGATATGTCAATAACAGATTGGAATATGTTCACACACCTTTGATCTGGCGTCAAACATAGTGATCGAATGGCCCCTTCACAAGGGGGGTAAACGCTTATGAGGGATAAATCAAACGTCCTCCAGACTTGAAAACAGCGATTCTTGCCACCGCAGACAAAATAGTAACCATCGTTTGTCAAAGACATGTCCTGTAACGAAACATACCCAAAGTCTTTGTTTCATTCAAGCAAATAATGGTCGCTCAAGTAAATAACAAATAAGCTAGAAATAATTTACCAGTACTACACACAGTAAAATCTGTTTTTCAAATTTGACTTTAAGCCAGTACTCTCGGATCACAGCACACTAAAACGGGACAAAAATTCTCGTATATTTGACTATTGAATGTGAATAACATCAAGGTGAAACTCCCACCTAGCCCCTCGTCTCTTGGCCATCCGACATTGGATGAAACATTAGGCCTGAGGTAGGCCTCAAAACTTAGTAGGCCTGAGACAGAGAAGAAAAAAACTTGTCATCCTTTTCGTGCCATCCTTTTCTTGTCATCCTTTTTTTTCAGACATACAGTGATCTGCACCATCAGGTTCTGTCCACCAAGTATAGGATGGACATATATGTTTATCTTCTTTGTTGAATTTTAACCTTTTGCTTAAAGTTCTTTGACGGCGTTCCCCACATTATCAATGGTATGGCCATGCTGTTTTATCCTTTCTTACGTTTCAGACGGCAAAAGCTAATTGTATTGTATGTAGTATATTCGTTCGAATTTTTTATACTTCTTGCAGAAATAATACAATGGAAGGCACAATATCTTAAAACTGATAAATTATTTTACCGTTATCTATACAATCTAATCACCATCTTGCAACAAAAACAACAACAACAAAAACAGCAACAACAACAACAAAAATAACAATGGAGCGTGGGGCCAAGACTGTTGACAAAGATTGGTGGAAATTGTAACCCTTTTCATGCAAGACATGCTGTTGAATGCTGGATGGCACAAATTACACTGCCACTACGCTTGGGTTTTAGGTGGCGAGACCAGTCTTGACACTTTGCTTAATAAAACCCTGTTGTCGTTTATTCAGACAATTCTAGAAATAGCAATTCTAAATATACTTACATACAACTCGTCGTCAATACCAACTTCTTTGAGGTGTTTACCATTCAGTGTAAAGGTGGCCAAATGGCTCTTGTCACTGGGTGCGTAGTTGACTATCACGTAACAATCGTTACTTATTCTAACCAGTTGTGGATGGAGGCTACCGGACGGCGAGTGGAGGGATCGTAAAAGTTCCCCATTGGTCGAATGTAGCAGACATGGCCCCTCTGCAAAAAACATAGATTGAATTAATGAGTTAATAGAAATGTTTTGCAAAGCTCAAACAAAGAAAATTTTCTTAAAAAAGAGCGGATCATAATAGATTTTGATTCTGGCACATTCTGAGCTCTATGAGCCGACAAATGGTGGCTGCATCGAGGGAGGGGGGCTGGGGGCAAAAAGTTTCACCCTCCTTTATATACTGTTTTCTATTTCTACTCTTTGTGTTGTCAATATGTATTTTTGCGGAAATGCGCTTCTTTCTTCTCACAAAGTAGGTGCGTATAACCAGTAGTTCATTTTGGGAATAGCATCGGAGATGTCAACTAATTACTAGCTTTAAACTTTTACATGCCGGGCTGGCAAATCGTTCTCAAAAACAAGGATGTTCAATTCAGGCATCAAGTGATGAATCGGGGTATCAACTGACACAAATAAGTTACCTAAAGACCCGCTAGCGACGATTCCATTGCTTGCATTGACATCGACACAGACAATTGGAAATTCATGGCCAGTGCATATTGCCATCGGGGCTGTACCGTTAGCTGTTGAGAAAATGTATTCAAAATATCATATGGCTCAAAAATCAATATTCAATAGACTGATTGTGAGGATGGATATTTTCCGGCATCGTATAGTCTGATCTAAGAGACAGCCTCTGATTGATAAAAAACTGAGCATCTATTTATATCTACAAATAAATTTTATCAAGCACTACATTTTAGCGACAAAAGGGAGTAAGTTAAATCGTATATAGCACTCCTGTAGAGGGTAGATTACCATTAGGAAACGTTACTGGATGCGCAGATTAAATGGAGTGATTTTGTTAGAAAGGTAGAGCAGACAAAAACTCTCACTAGGTTGTATAAAGAGATAAGAAATTGATGGAATGAATTCACGAAATGGGGCGCATATACGAAAGTAATTAAAGAATGAAATTCGGAAATCTCAAGGCAACAACCACCAAGGAAAGAAAAATAAAGGGAAAAGTAACCCAGGGGCAGTTGTAAAAATGAGACAATAACGAAGAAGGATTTCCTGATTAACAATGTATGTTCACTCCTTACGAATTCTGGAAGGATGGAAGTCCAGAATCCTGAAATTGTTTCTTCGGTATCAAAAGTGGCCGTTTCTGCAAGTAGGGAACCCCTCCAAAAAAACTGATTAGGCCGACGGGTGTGATCTTTGTCCATTTTACCCAAATTTATTTCATTATCAATGATCGCTATAAGTTGTAGCATATGCAGTCACGTTTTTTCCTCCCTCTATCAAGATGCCCTGAAAACTTCTTTGATATAGTGTTATGGTAAGATGATAAAAAAAACACGAGACGATAATCTCAGAGAAAACATGTTACAGTAGACCTTTTAATAAACACAAGAATAGTATCTCTTACAAAATCTATCTAATATTTCTTTACTGAAAAAAACTTACAGGATGGAACATTAGGTACCACCACACGGTGTTTTTTGTGGTCCCAAAGCCACACGAGAACTGTCGCATCCCGGGATCCTGATACAATGATGGCTGTGGAGCCTGTCGCATTGTCATCTGAGTATGCGAGACACGTGACCACATCCAAATGCCCAAAGATACATTGTGATAACCGACCTAAAAAAGATGAGAACAGTAATAACAAAACAAAAATATTTTGAAAAAAAGATGAAGAGCTGTCCTTCAAAGCAGGGCAAGATTATCATTCAAAATAGAGAAAAAAATGGGATATATTCTAAAAATAAAATAAAGATCGCTTGACTTGATCACAGTGCTAGTGGCTTTTCACAAAAAGATTAGGACAACAAAAAAGATAAAGGATATGGCAAAAAGAAAGAGGGTTTGGAAAAATCAATTCTTTAAATACTTCCAGCCACAGTATTCCCGGTGGCAGGGGCTCTGCCTGACAAATTAAAGAACAAAAACATTAAATACTTTGTAACAAAATATTCGAGTAATTGGCCCCCTAAACTGACTGACAATTGACTAACTGACATCGAGTTATTGAAGGAAAAACAGCCAAGTACCAAATGAAGAAATAAGTTAGGGGAAACTTGATATAAATTCAATTGCTGTCTTTTTAGCTAATTCCTAGCTAACTGGGAATAAGCTTGGTTTACTTTGTTAAGCTTTAAAAAAACCGAAAACTATTTACGGCCATACCTGATTCAGTAGCAAATGCCTTAAAACTCTTGTCCCAGTATCCACATGCCAATATGAACTTATTGTCAAACGTGACGCAGAAGCATTGGGTGGAGACAATTATGCTTTCGTCGAGGGGCTCTCCAAGGGAGCGTCTGAGCTTACCATATGATGATTCTGCAAATGAATCAAATGAAGATTTGTCAAGCCATTTTAAAAGGAAAACGCTCCCAGTACAAAAGAGTAGCGAATCTTAATACTGTTGAACTTGCAATTAGAAAAATCGACTGGAACCTAGTACGGGCCCAATTAGGAAAGTTTCTAGAACATGCCTTTATTGGAAAACCAGAACATGCATACTTCTAAGGTAAATTCTAACGAAAAGCAAGGAGCATGCAAGTGAGAGAGTCTTGTGAGTAGAAGCACTGGTTTTAAGAGAGTGGAAAAATGCCTAGAAACTTAAGAAGATTGGTCGTGTGATAGCAACAGAGCTTGAGGTCAGTGAAATTTCAAAGGAGACTATCAAAGGTCCATTTGTAGTCACTAAAAATCACAAAGGAGCATTAAAAGACTGTTTCTATAGCAAAACAACAATATGATATGATATGTCCTCTTACAGTCTAATTGATTTTCCAACTACTTACCAAGTGTCGGGTCTTGTTCAATTTGCACATTGCGAAGGGACTGGAAAGAAGTAATTGCGCCTCCTGAAACGTAATTAGATGCGGTCAATTTACCAAGACTATGCACACTCCATGGTCAAGTCTAGGGTGAGTTCCAACGACTGTCTAACGGCATTGGGCGCAAAGGCCTTCTGATTTCTAGAGTCTAATCCCGCATCGGCTTGGGATTTGACACAGGCGTATCAAATTTAGGCTTGGGTAGTACAGGTGACATGAAAATGATCCGGTCCCTTATCTGTCATAACGTGGCCAATTTTACAAGGACCATTTCTTGCAAATTACCGGGTTACCAAATTAACTTTTAATAGTAAATAATATTGTGATATGACTGCAGTATAGCGAGCTTGCAAGTTCAGAAAACATTCAAATACAATGGTTCATAAACTCTAGAAAGCTTTGCAAAAATTTGATTAAAGCACTAAGCTACAGCATTTATGACTGAAATTCGCCATTATCTGGGTACACAAAGAAGACGTTGTAAAAAACTTGCCCTCCATTCATTTAAAAGAGACAACTCGAAAGAATACACGAAGCCATCAAATGAAAATCTACTACAAATGTAAATTTTAGACATTTTGACAATTCCAAAGTATTTTACCATGGTTTATCCATCGATTCACTGAGAAAATTTGGTCACTGCTGATAGTTACAATTGCTGGATTTGAGTTTGACTGGAGGATGTTCGCCGTAATATGAGTGACGGGTACATCTTGTGTGACGATGAAAGTCAAAAATATACCTATGAACAGAAACAAATGAAATGATATTTGAAGGCAGAAATTTCAAGTAGGTACATAGAGAAAATCTAGTTCATAATATTCAACGTGAAAGATATTCAAAGCTGAGCTCTAGCTAAAAGGCCTGATCTTTTGCGTTTATAAAATTGGGGCCGTAAAATTAGAAAGTGGAAGGCTAGAAAGAACACACAAAGAGCGGTGGTAAAAGTAAGGTTAATGTGAATGCACCCTTGCTTTTTGTTCAACTAAAAGAGTCAGCCCATGTTGAGATTTTATAGTGCAAACACCATGTGACCCTGGGGGCTTACACTGCCATGCCAACCGAATTGAAACTCGTCTCGTGTCGCTTCACGTGTTGAAATCAACACGGGTTGATATTTCCTGCAAGCGATAGTTAGTCTTGGTCTCAACAAAAGTCCTGTTTCGCATTTCTTGCATAGGTTGACTACAGTCAATGATGGTTAGTGGTTTGAATAAACCTACTGCTGTTCAGCTGTTGTTTCCATAACCGTGGATTTAATTTTAGGACAAAAAAATAACAGACACTTTTGATGAATGGAAACCATTATGAATTGACTTACTTTTATGGGGCTCCTTATCATCTTGAGTCTATAACAAAAATGAATTTTATAAGAACAGTGTTGTCAATCTTCAACATAATTCTGCAACACATCACTACGAAACGTTCATATAATTCAACAAATGTTTTCAAATAACCATGCAGAAAGCGTAATCATCGTGGTAAACTGAAATGGCCCATACCTTTTGTTCCAACATGTCCTTAGGTGGGTGAGGGGTTGTTAGCAGCTGAGATGGTGTTTGTCCAAAGCTTCTTATTTGTTGCTCGATTGCCTTTAGGGAAATAACAAAGCATTTCAATATAACGCGACTATGATGAAGGGCTTGATAACAATTCGAAGTGACTTAATTTTGGGTGAGAAAATGAAGTATGAGTGAAAGGAGAGAATATGAGTGAATAAGGCCTGTAGATTTGTATCATAGTGGCAACAACACTGAAATTTCATTTCTGCGTGACTGAAGAGAGATTTTTCATCTATTTTTTGTTTCCAACACGAAACATAATGAAACACTTACTGTGTTCCAAACTTCATTTCTCTCGCAAACTGAACTCAAATTTAGACATTAGTCAAGTAGACTTAAAAAAGTGCTAATCGTCGAACTTCTTATTCACTGACATTGGTTTAAAGGTATCAGGTCTGCGAGCAGAAATATTTGCTACTTCTCAGACTCAGAGCAAGTTAAGATCGTGTTTGGGAATAACTGAAGGAGATACAGACATGCAGTAGCATAAAGTAGCAAACAGTGACATGTAGTAACATGTTGTAACCTATAGTAACATATAGTAACCAGAAATACCTCTTTTGTGACTGTATCAGTGATTGAATCAAGGTCGACCTTGCCTTCATACGTCAAGTAATAGAAAACATTAGCAGCATGCTCAGCTTCAACACCTAGACAAACAAAAGTAAATTTTTTGAAAAAATTGCGTAAATGGAGCCGTAAGTACGAGAATACTTGATAAAAGGTGTGGTGAATTAACAATAGAACACAACTGGGCTGTGAAAATTGGAATTAATGTTAAAATATCGGAATCTTACAATGGCTTTTCTAAACATAATCATGGAAAATTCGCAATGTTCAATGAAAAAGGATATAACTAACTTAAGGACAAAGCCAAACCAATGGATTCAATATTGTACCAATCAAACTGGACCAGGATATTGAAAGGTATAGGTAGAACAAAGCCTTAAAAACTATGACAGAATAGTTACCTTGCTGTTTGAATCCAAATATTAAGTCAATCCATTTATGCAAGCTTTTTGAAACATAATCAGATTCAAGTGCCTGAAAAAAAATTATGTCAAGCTGTAAACAATGTGTATATAGGTCTAAAAGAGGCTTAAATGGATAAATTTGCTTTCCTTCTTGATGAAAAGAAATCATTTCAGCTATTCTGATGAGGCAATTTAATCACCATGAAGAAAAAAGGAAAGGCACACAAAAAATTGAGAAGGGGCAAAAATGTGTATGAAGTAAACAGTAGTTAGAAAAAAGTCAGAAAAAGGTCCCCAAAAAAAGGATGGAAAATATATACCCAGTTGTGGATCGAAATAGGTCAATAAGAACAACGCGAGCACATAACCGCGAGGCCAATCAGTACCGCGTGTCTATAGGAAAATAACTACTGGAATCCAAGAGAAAAAACGAATTTCTTTTTGTCTCAAATTCTGTACCACAAAAAAATTACTCAAAATATTAAATCCAAAACTCTCTATCATCGAAATCATGTATTTTAGGGACAACTTTGGGAGACTCCGCAAGACATTATAAACAAAACAGTTTTCAATTTACAAAACAATAATTCATGAGATAGGGAATACCATGAACTAATAGTGGCGATCTCCACATTTTCCCTCCAGCTCCTTAAACTGATTTGATAATCAATCTAATAAAATTCCCTGACCAAAGTTTCATGCAATTTAACATATGATCACTTGCCCCAACGTGACAGTTGTAGGAATCTAAATCGACAACAATAGCTAGATGTTCAATAGCAATAATGATAAACAACAACTAGATGTTTAAGCCTTTTAGCTCATGTCTTTCACTTCAACGAATCAAATCAGTTGGCTCAGGAGTGATAAATGATTGTAAAAAGATCCATACCTCCCTATGTATCCGAATAAACTCCTCAGGTGTTTTTGCCCATGGTGGCAATTTAACATCACTGATCGGGTTTTCTTCTTCATCATCACCAAAGTGATACTGTAAAAGATTTTATTGCCTAAATAGACTGGCACTATGAGCTGCTACTTTTATATCTACAACACCTAATTGAGACATTTAAGTAGCCTTTAAGAAGCTGTTAGTCATCCTAATCCTAGCAAATTACAAGAGATTTCAAGACTCGGTGAATCTAGTTCCGGACCAAAAATACGCAAAAATGAATATAAAACTGTGTTCTTAAGATTCAGGATTGTGAAAGAAACCGGTCAGAGGTTATTTACAGCTTTTAAACTATTCATTAAACATTTACGCAATAAAGTCTGAAAGTTATCACCAACCTTGTTATCATTGATCAGCATATGTGGCAAATAAAAAAGCTCGGGAATTAGCTCCTGCAAAAATGAAAAGCTCAATATCAAGGAAATGTATCGTTTAATGACCAAACAAGTGATTTTAGCGAGATCATTTATTTAGCCTATAACTGACACTGAAATACGTAGCTGGAATAAAATTGAAGGAAATTGCAAGTTTTACCTTGACATCAGACGTATCCTGTTGACAGTTTTTCCATGCTCTTTGCATTCCAGAAAATGTTCGATTTGGATGGTCAAATTTGCCGTTTTGTAGATTAAGAAACAGAGTAGTGAATGGTTCCTGCAACAGAGCTCACCTATTAGAAATCTGGTGAACATCAAAATCTGTGTTTTAAAGTACCTCGGGCATTAGCATAAGGCATAACATTCCTTTTGGATAGGCCAATAATTTTCTACCTGGCTGCACAAGGTCTTGATTGATGAAAATCGAGACATACTTGGATATGTCGATACTGTAAATTCGGAAAACTGTGCATAAAAGTGAGAAGCTTTAACAATTGATAAAGAAAGAGACTTGATTTAACTGATTTTAATTTCATAAAGTCTTTACTGGTTGTAATTGTTTTAACCGTTACACAACATCAGTTAAAACGATAAGGGTTATGATGCTGGTATAGTATTTTATCAACTAAAAGGTGCCCCTAGCTCAAACCTTCGCATACATACAGGCACGATCCAATACTATATGACAAATTTATTAATTTTATTCCTGCAATTCCATCCATTGTTCTACATTCATACGGACATTCTCTTTAGACAACAAAACCATATGACCCTATTCAGTTTTAAAAAATGACCACCCCTGACATTATATAATCCCAAGAACCAATATATCACCCTTAGTTTCAAAAATTATTTGCCAACAGACTCCATCCCAACCACCCCCATGAAAATTCCAAAGCAAATTGTCCAAGGAAGCCTTTGGTAAGCCTGTCTCTAAAAAATTTGGATTAGTCAAATACTCAAGCTCATTTTAATGGATCGTAAAACCAATCGATTTATCAAACTCCGCTTATGTGGCATTAAGCGAAATGAAAGGAATGTTGCTTAAAACAAAAGAGGTCTGAACTTTTTATGAGGTAGACTTCCAAAACATAAGCCGGCTGGCTGAAGGGAAGAACTAACAGCCCCCTTGATTTCACTCAGATTTTTAAAATATACACCTTATGTAGTCAATAACCTTTTAATCACATTGAATACTTAGTTTGTCAGACATTCATACTCCACATTTCATTTTTGTTTTACATCCTGCATTCACTATTCCTTAAGATAAACTCCTCTCCGACACTTTAAAATAAGACTCACCACTCTAACCATCCAATTCAATACAAATCCAGCCGTAGAGTAATGTGTGCCATAGTGAAAAGCTGGGATATCATCATTCTTGTCCCACGTGTTAAACCTTTCGATAAACTGGCCCAGGCGGTACGGATTCAACGCACCAATTGGCTGTAAAAAATGCAGATGTTCAAAGATGATCAATTAAAATATAATAACTGGGAAAGATTTGAAAAAGACTATCTATTCAAATGATAAGGAAAAGAAAAGATAGATCTTCCTCTAAGATGTGTTTCCATTAGTTATGTGATAAAAAAGAAAGTGTAAATAGGTGTATAACACTCAATCCCATAAAATAACAATTATCAAAGCATCAAAAAATGGCTAAAGAATTTCATTGCTAGTGAATTTAAAGTTTTTACTACAAAACAAGTAGTACAAACATCTATAAATAAGCCACTGTAAATACCATCAATATGAAGAACCTTTGAGAGAAACGCTATAGCCCGAAACCTTGAAATGAAAAAAAAATTCTGCTTATGATGCCAATGATCTTAATTTGAAATTGACTCTAGCCCTGGCCCTATACCTACCGTAGCACAAACATTTTAACCCTAACCCTAACTCTTACTTAAGCCCCTAACCCTAACTCATAGCCTAATCCTGATCCTAACCCTAACTCTAATCCTAACTGTTACTCAAATCTTAACCCTAACCCTAAAAATAACCTTAACCATAACTATTACTCTAATTCTTAACCCTAACACTAACCTTAACCTCAACTGTTACTCTAATCCAAGCCTTAACCATAACAGTCACTCTAATTCTTAACCTTAACTCTAACCATATTTGTTACTCTTATCCTAACCCTAACCCTAACTCTAACCTTAACCCTGTTACTCTAATCCTAACCTTAACCATAACAGTTACTCTAATGCTTAACCTTAACTCTAACCATAACTGTCACTCAAACCCTAACCCTAACTCTAACCTTAACCCTGTTACTCTAATCCTAACCTTAACCATAACAGTTACTCTAATGCTTAACCTTAACTCTAACCATAACTGTCACTCAAACCCTAACCCTAACTCTAACCTTAACCCTGTTACTCTAATCCTAACCTTAACCATAACAGTTACTCTAATGCTTAACCTTAACTCTTACCCTAACTGTCACTCAAACCCTAACCCTAACTCTAACCTTAACCCTGTTACTCTAATCCTAACCTTAACCATAACAGTTACTCTAATGCTTAACCTTAACTCTAACCATAACTGTGACTCTTATCATAACCCTAACCCTAGCCCTGACCTTCCACACATGCCTCATTTGCAATAGTTTCTAGAATACGAATCTGCCAATCAGCAAAATCGCTGAACCTACCTTTGACAAATCACGATAAATCGATTCATTTCTGAGGTCAATGGCTTCACTCTCGTAGTCAGTAAGAACCCAAGGAAACACAGGATACTGATTCAAGTCATTCAATGTCCTCCCTGAAATGAAAAATAAAAACCTACACAACTAGCAAGGACCGATTGGGGTCAGATAAAGGTCTTGAAACAGTACGTGGCCATTCAATGCCCATAGCCGTACCAGCGCAGAACTGTGCGATAGATATATCTTATCTGGATTGTGGAATATAAACTAAGAGATAAATTAAACTCTGTAAATTTGAGACAAATTGTGGATGAGAGCTCACTAGAAATAGAGATTTCCATATGCAAAGTCTTTTTTCTGTACGCAGTGTCAGTTAACACGTTAGGAAAGAAACTTTCAGTAAGAACATTCTAGTTCTTGGAAAAAAAGTTTTAATACTTCAAAAGCTGTTTGAACAAATACCTGAAATTAAGTTAAGGAACATGAGATAGTGAAAATTTGAAATTTCCTTCTGCTGCCATCTTTGCATCATGTTTGACTTCAAAAATAATTGTTTTGGCGATGCAAGTGAATGGTACCTGAACACAAAAACATGAGTATCAAATCATTAAGCGCAATAAATTTTTTTTTGTGTTTAATAAAGCTGTGCAATAAAACTCAAACATTTCTGTAAAAAATCGCCACCGAATAACGTTTTGTGGCGGCTAATCGAAGACTTTCAAACAGTTACACTTTGCCAAGGGCTGCCTTGTAATAAAAACGATACTGATGCAAATTACTCCAAAAAATACTCTGAATGCCTTCTGCTCGGAGATGGGGTGGGAGGGGGGGAGATGTAACTAGCGGGAGTTGGATTTACTTAATAACTGGAACAAGAGAGATCAAAAAAACTATTTCAAGCTTGTTTGCTATGGGCGATGGAAACTACTTAAAAATACTATTTTAACGATATGTATCCATATTCCGCCATCTTTAAGCAGATATTTCAGCTAAAAATGAGTTTGTTTGCATGTTTACCTTGTTCTAGGAACACCAAAATTTGGACCGATACCAACAGCAGGAAAATATTGAATCATTTTCTTCACTGTTTCATGGCTTTCAAAAGCGAACATAAAACTCCCTGAAAAACAAAAAAAATTCAAATTTACCTACCAAATTTAGAAGGCGAAAAAGGAATAGATTTAAAATGAAACTTGTAATTAAAAATAATCTATCTAATTCCCGTTAATTGACAAGGTCTCAGATCATATAAGTAACAGATTTAATTAATAAATAAATCATGAAGATTGATATTTTTTCTGTCACTTGTGGTAATGAGAAACAAACACCAACCAAAATAAACCTCAAAAGTGACATTACCATTTATTTCGTTTTTTACATTTTGTTTAGAACCCATGTATTTCAATATTTGATATATTTATAGATTATTACTAAAAACAAGTTGATTAATGTTTCGCCATATGCTTCTTTTTTCGCCATATGCTTCTATTTGATTAATGTTTCGCCATATGCTATATGTAATATCTTTTTTAAGAAGCACTAGAGTCAAGTCTTATTGAGAAACAATACATAGATATATATATATAATAAAAATTACTGTTTAGCGGTCTGTAATGCTCAATAACAGTTGCCTGGTGCATCAAGCGTGAAACTCGGTGTAGCAACTTACAACCACCCTGCTCTTTAGCGTACATACATATCATCATTATATAATTATTTTTTAAAGCTACAGCAGCTGAAATATTTTTTTAGACTAACAAAAAACGTATGTATTGATGCAAAGGTTATGCTTCCTATTTGCCTCACAAGAGGGATGAGAAGCATAATTAACCCTAGGAAGACAAATCGGAATGCTCCTTACTTCTGTTTGATAAAAATATTTCCAATGCTTTGTTTTGCAGCAAATATCGACGTCCGAAGACTGCAGTGATTTCTGAGAACGCACATTTGACGTTCAAACAGTCAGCGTATGCAAGAATCTAAGGTAGAAAAAAACAGAACCAAGTGAAATGACAGGTATGCACATACAACATCACACTACCATTTAACAAAATAAATTACAATTACAATAAAGCAAAAGATTAGGAAAAATGAGGAGTTCTCTCCAAAATCTCATATCGTAGATTGGTTTTTCAATTCCAAGAATTATATTCCTTAAAATGCATGATTGTCATGCGAATAATAAAAAGGATGAAAAAGGAAAGACAAAAGATTCTTCTCTGAAGAGTGTTGAGATCCTGCAACCCCCTCCCCAGTTGTGCACCCCATCCGTATCCCAATCAAGATAACTTTGCAATAAGAAACACACTCTAACTTTAAAGAGGAAAGTGAGGGGTTGATGTAAGACTACACATGCATGGGGAGATAGCTATGAAATTTGACTCTATAACCAACATTGTTTTCGGGGAAAGGGGGTGCGGTGTTTTCAATTTTTACTGGAATTTTATTCAAAACAATACGAAAACAACTTGGTGTTCCAAGGAGCTTTGGTAGGGACTGCAGATGTATGGGGAGGAAATTAAAGCCCTTGAACAAAAACGATGTGTTGTTGAATGGATAAAAACGAGGCAAGCTTATCCAGCTCCAGTTTCCTGGTTTATGGAAAAGGCTGTAAATTCATTTGAAATATCTAATGAGATCTTTTGCAGACTAATTAAGACGTTTTGATATAAAAGGAGCCGGTGACCCATCTCTGATTATACTTTCAAATAATCACTAGGCAATATTGCATATCATGTTCTACAGAAAAATAGGAAGAATGCTTCGCAAAGGAACTGCAACTTGCGAAACTTAAGACATCTATTTTTCAGTGTCTCCATGTCCGTATTCAACAGTGTCGTGCCTGCAAAGTTGGTTACAGGAGATATTTTACGGAAGTAGTCCAGTATTCCAATGAATTACAGGGAAATATAAGGAAATTCTAGGAATTGCAAAAATGCCTTGTACATGAGCGGCACATAACGATACGTTTGACAACAGCCACACTGGTTGAATTGATATTAGAGCATCTTCCCGCTTCTGTACAAATAATACATTTTATGTGATTAATTGACAAAATATTGACATATTGTCTGGAAAAATGAAAAACAAGTCTTATAGTTTGAAAGAAATTCAAATTCTGAATTACACTCATTTTCACAAGAAGCCGGCTTTCAGAAAAAGTAATTGGAATGCCTGTAATAAAAAAATAATTTCGCTCCTAAAAGAGTTAACAATTTGAACACATATGTCTTGCTCAATTCCATTTTTAAAAGCCATAACACATGATTGAGTCTCTACGAAGTCGATGTTTCTAAATCAATGTTTAATGGCAAAACAAGGACCCAACCGAAGGGAGTGCAGGGGGCATGGCCACTCACTTTTATTTCAAACGTTTTCTATTCTACAACCCCTCCCAATTTGAAACTCTAAGTGCGGCCCCTGCAAAGGTGCGGCCTCTGCAAAATAGTAGATAAAGCAAAAAGGTTGCTGTAAAAACTACATATGAAATTTACAAAATACCTATGTAGCAGAGAGTGCTTATATAATAAGGATAAACCAAGAATATCAGAGAATAGTCCCAAGATCAAAGCATTGTTGCTTCATTGTTGCTTCAAGGTAAATTCAATAGGAATCTAAATCATTACAGTCGATTGTTTACCACTAAGATAAAGGCATGCGCACTCGGGAAAGCATTTCACCGCTAAGACCAATATCTATGGCTCTGAGCTAGCCGAAAGGAAGACACGGAAACATTTGAACGATAAAAGCGAGCCTGCGATCGAAGAGGCTCAGTGATGGCCTTTACAAGCAATGAACTACAGAAAGACCTTGAGGTCTTCATCCAGACAACAGTCCAAGCAGAAGAGCTGAAAATGGACAGAAACATGGAAATGGCTATGCAAGTCCTCGGGGACATCTTTACAAGAATCAACATACACGAACCAAGATTTAGCTGCGAATTTAGTGATGACAGTAAAGAATTGAAAGGGCTCTATGTAATAGATAATGAACATATGGAACTCAGGATTTATCTTGATCAAATAGAGCTGTTTGACATTGTGGAAACTTCGGCACCAAAAGGAGCAACATTTCTTAGCATCAAGGACGACAGGGACAAACCGCTTTGTGTTTGGGGAGAATTTCTTACAGCCACGGGTCATTTGTCAGCTAAAAAAATTAGGGACAGATTTCAGGTAAGAAAAGTATGTTCTTCACGGGCAAAATGATCCCCACCATAAAACACCAACCAAAATGAAAGGAAGACTTCAGGCAAAACTTATTTCTAGAAGAAAATTTATAAATAACTTTGCCAAAACAAGATAAAACACTTTGGACTGTAGAACATTCGGCAAACGGCTAAACCTTTTCAAAACATTCTGAAATTTGCAAACTTTCATGTAGTAATTCGTCTTACTAGAGCATTTCATTACACTTTCTCAATCTTATATCAATATCTAAAGCATAGATAAACAATATCTATAGCCTGATTGTTTTTTATAGGTTCTTCTAAATCAAACTGTTAATAGAACTACATGGACGAACAGAAATCTGCAAGTTGTAGCAGATAAGTTACAGCCTCGAATACGCATCAACAACAGCCTCTGTATCGATATATATCCATCGTTCAGAAATCTTGATTTCTGGCCAAAACAAGGGCGACGCACCTTTCTATCAGAAAAAGAGGGAACAGTTTTCAGAGACATGTTGAAAATTGACCTGATTTCAAGGCCAGCGGGAAGTTCTGAGCCGTATTCAACTGATCGTGATGCATGGCAGTTAGACTTTAGAAAGCTTGAAGACGAAATTTTGTGCAATGAAAAGAAGGACCTTTGCTTCAGTGTAGTGAAGACCATAGCCAAAAGGTGTCTGAAACCAAAAAGCTTTGTTTTTGATTCAGCAATTATACGAACGGTATTCCTGTACGTTTGCGAAAAACACCCGCAGGATGCAGACTGGACAAACAGCAATCTACCAGACCGGATAAATTCGTTTCTACTTCAGCTGGTTGCCTGCCTTCAAAGCAGATGCTTGCCTCATTATTACATAAGAAACTACAACTTATTGGAATCGTACTCCAATAAGGCTTTTAAAGCGGCATTAAATGAAGCTTGGAAACTAGCAAGAGAATTCTGCACAAACCAGAAATTCTTCAAAAATAACTAGAACAATTAGTATTCTTGAAGTAGAGCGTGCAGTCCCGGCGGCTGATTTTTATGTCATCCTCATGTCTCTTTAATTCTTCACAAGATTAGTAAAATGCTACGTTTTTCGTGTGTTTTTAATCAATTGGTAAATGAATAACAAATGTAAGATCACGCTGCAGAGATAATTTTACTATTTATGAATTTTATACACATGTAGCTAAGACTGGTGGGAATTTTTCAATACTAACATCGGATTTCTATCAAAAATGACTGTTATGAATTTGACTTAGTGTTTACGCAGTCGAGTAGCATAACTCAAAGTGTCCTTTCTGTACGAACTATTATAAAATTAAAAAAAAAATTTAAATGGGACACACTGGAAACAATGTCTGATATTCTGGTAATTGCAAATACAAGCAAAGTAGAATCAATGAAATTTCGACATAATTTTAAAGGGGGTAAACAAGACACCGAAAGATTCCAGACATCACCAAGGTAACCACGATTTTGCACTTGTTGGGCAGTTTTTATTTTACAAGAAAATCTGTTAGAATGACGAGTGTATCCACTTGATTCCTCGATGGGAATGTCAAAGAAATATTCTGAACGTAACTTGATAGAATGGATGTGTTCTGGTTGTTGGCCTACGCAGATGTATTTAAGGGAAAAAGAAGTTCATTTTAGGTAAACACTTAAAATTAAAACGCCCTATAACAACACAACTCCCTGTCAGACCGTTATATCGACCAATCTTCAAAAGCATCAAAAGCCCTTATTAAAAAATTCCGGGGGAATATCTCCCTGAGATCGTTCTTCGATACTAAGAAACCCCTTTGCAGTATTTGTGTGGTATTTTTGCAGCACAAATTGTACCGGAATCCAGAATAAGACAGCATTGATAAAAATAAACTAGTTACACTCTAATTCACGTACCGCAGGATCGATTTTCTTGACGGCTAGATCTTCCTCATCGGCTGTGAAATACAAATAGGAATTAGCTATTGCTAGTGTTCCTGCAACAAGCGTTCCCGGGGCAATAACATGGCATTTGACTGTGTGTAACACCTCGATTTGCTTCTCCTCTTTATCCATGAACTCGTCCCTGGTCAAATCTACATCAGGCTCGCCCTCTTCCGTCTCCTCCTCAGAGGTACTGCCATTTGATGTTTGGTCCAGAGTCTTCTGTCTGTACAAATGATACTTAAGATTCGGACTGCTCTTAACCTTTGGCAAGTCTAGAAATGTATAAAGATGAACTTTAAAATTCATGACAAAGTGTTGAAAAAAGATTAAAAAATGCTACATAGCTAATGGTCCAAAATTTCCACTGAGATTCCCCATTTTCTAGAAGTGGCCAACACAACGAGAACGTCCTGAAAGGCATGGTATTGTAATCAAACATAAACTACATTCAAGCTCATTAAAGGAATCAGTTCACGTTGTTTACTTGTTGCTTCTAATATTTAATAAGATATTGCTTTAGATAAACATATCATAAACCCTCTACACAAATCGCTGAACATTTCAACTCAATACCCGAAGTTTTTTAGCATAGTAAAGTATACAGTAAACAGAATGGAAATGTATCAGATAAAGAAAAAATTAAAGAATTCCTCTTTCACACGGGGGTCACTAAAAGGTTCCAGGGAAAGAGGGATATGCAAACATGTATTCAGGGAAAAGGGGGAAAGACACCCCCTCTAAACAATCTTCAATCAGTTATCTAGGTATGTTTAAAAAGGACATATATTTCACTTTCAACATGGAAATGAATACAATACCTTCTTCGGCAATTGGTGCTAAAATCGCTTCTGGGTGGGTTGTACCTAGAGGGTTTTTGACAAGTCGCATGCGCCTTCTCAAACAGTCTTCCCAATGGTCAAGCTTGTAGAACACGTGATAATCCGCTCGTTCGGGCATTGGCCAAGCTCCGTATTCGCTTGTAAGAATATCGAATGTCTGAAAGAAAAATTAATCGACCGGCATCAAAATCAGCATATTGATTAACATCAGAATAGATGATAAGTCATACTGTTCAGGGATGCAAGAAGAAAAAATGATGCAAATTGCACTGCTATGAAATTGCTTGTTGATCAAACTTAAAACAATTTGTATGTTCTGAAATCAGTGGTAAAGAAAGTCTTTTGCAGCGACTACAACATTTTTACGTGACATGTAGAAGCAAGGAAGGAGCTGGGACAACAATGAGCAACACAACGACAGAAGCAAAGTACACGGCGACAGTAGCAAATAAGTGCTGTTTTTAATCAGCTGTTGTATTGATAACATCATTCCATAAGATGGAAAATCTGCCACAAAACGGATCTCTAGATTGGTTACTTTGCAAGTTGCAAAATGAATCTTGCTATGCCTATAATGGAATCAGCGTTAAAATAAAAAATCACCTTCTCAAGGAGTTTCTCGGCAAACGCACTATTTCGCCTTCTCTTAGCTTTGAAGAATTCCTCATATGTTTTGTTCTCATTTTGGTACAGCACTTCGGTTTTGAAGCAAATATCGTCAAATTGGCCATGCCTCTTTCCATCTACATCCTCCTTTTCTTTCAGAATATCACGAGCTTCACTCGCAGTAATAACAATACGCTCCCTTGTGGAATGCGAAATCAACCGGCCTTCGTTGATAAGGTCAACAAAAGCGGCACCTGCATGCTTCTGCAGAGAGTTCTGCCACTCTTGAGAGCACAACAGCATCACCAGTTCAACGGTGCTATCTTCAGACTTCAGTGATCCTAAGCCATCAGCAATCAAGTCTTGTCCGCGGCTACCTACTAGTATTCTCGATAGATAATGTGCAAAATCGAACAAAATTTCCTTTAACAGTGAACAAGAACTTTTGAATGCCAAGTCGATTCTTTCCTCAAGACTCAACGCCACCTCTGGCGGTGAGGCGGCCTCCTGCGGCGTTGCTTCATCCACACCGTCTTCTTTGCTTACTCGCTCATCAGCTGAACGAAAGGCAGCGGAGAGGGGTTGGTTGCCCGAGCTTGCCCATGTGGCGGCTCTTTGCCGATGTCCTTTGTTGGTTTGATTTTCAGCTACGGGAAAGATGAAGTAGGTTATAAAAAAGGATGCTTTTGACAGTCCCTCTTTCAGCTCCTTGGTAGAAAATACACGAGGACATATAGGAAAGTGGTTAAAGGAAGGCTGTTGCCAAAAGTGTCCCTCTAAGAACACCTTTACATCAAAGATCTCCCTTGCTACGTATTGGTCATAGCATACAAAGTCACTTGGTAGTTTGAGCAGTGTTTTTATCTTGCTGGCTGTTACGGGCCAAATGATTATAGGAGACCATGTATCTATTTGCAGAAAATATTATCGTGCAATTTTATCAATGTGGTAGGTACGTAAGGCTAATTTCTACATAAACTATAAAGGTAGTAAATCTTACTTGTAGAGTATCTTCTTTTCACAACCAGATCATCAGTCTCGTTTTCAAGTATATCCCTATACCTCGCAACCATGAGGACAGCGACGTAATACACGACGACTAAAGCGATATATTGAGACTGGCGACTGTCTTCTACTTCGCGATAAACAAGAGCTCGGAGTCGGTTCAAATCAGTGTCTTGTAGAAGCCTTTCCGGTTGCGTAATCGTTGTGATGTGCCCGGGGATATTCTGAACTATATCCTGTCAGGAAAAGAAATAAAGCATTTAAAAACCTTTTTCTTAACTTGCAACTCTCAATGTATTCGTGTGAAAAAATTGCTTCTGCATGTTGAATTACTCTAAAAATTTGTTCGCCAGATTGTTCAGGTTCTTAGGTGTGGAGACACTGTTTTGGGGTTTTTGACTTCTGGATTCTGTGTTTTGAAACGAAAATTCAGCAAAACGCTATAGGGTACTTTCGAAGCCAACGAAATATATTGTTTTGGTACAGTAATTGTTTTATGCAAAGATGCTTGGCTGAACTTTTCGACTTGGGCTCATTTTAAAGTAACCGCTTACGACAAGGGGGTGGTAAAGAGACGTGATTATGCTAACAATCTCAACTGAATAACGTTGCTCAGCGACGTTAAAACGGCAACCTACTTCTTTCGTTGCAGGCTTAGTTGATGCAATGAGTGTCTTGATGGCATCTTCTGTCTCCTTCATGCTTTTCGGCATCACCTGCTTATGCATGCCCGAAGACCAGTGAAGAGGTTCGCGTTGTCGGCACACAACTCGGTTCCTTGCAGCACTGCAAAAGACTTTAACGGAAAGATAGTATTTAGCATAAAAAAGTTTTAAAGTAATAAGAACAGGGGTCAAACGGAAGTTACCTAAAAAACCAACCAAACGCCATTAACATCCTTTGTTTACGCACAATTTTTGTATGATATCGCTTCTGAATTATCTAAAACTTTAAAGTACTTAACAAAAACAAGCACATCTTACCAAGCCTGATACACTGTCGCAAAACACCTCCAGCTGACATATTCCTGTGGGCTTCAACTGACGAAAAACTGACACTACTTGCAAACGCAACAATATCCACAAGATCCATGACACGATTCAAAAACGAGAAACTCGCATCGAGGGTCATTCCTCCGCAGGCCTCAAGAACATCGCTAGCAAAGTTACGGGATGTGGCAGAAGAGAGTAGAGGAAGCAGTCCCCCGCAGCAGTATATCAAACTGTCTGATAATATCGACACCATATGGCATAAATTTACCACGTAGACCTGGTTCTCGCGATTGCTGATAAAATCGTTGATTGATTTTCGTGTGTGCCTAAATAGACAAGAGTGAAATTAGGTCTGATAGACTAGATGTTACAATGAATACTTTCAGAACTCTTTGTGTTTTTTGTAATAGAAATATGATAAAAACGAATGAAAAGCCCAGGAACGTCAGGCGCAGGACTTCGGCACCCAGGACATAATTATAAAGACTGTATGCAGGTGTATCATTTCTTTGGCCATCCGAGGGGCAAAGTTGAAATAAATGCGATAAAAATGAAACCGGTTGTGAAGACCTATGTTAAAGTTGGAAAACGCCTGTGACGGTGCACTGATGCAATCACTCTCGACAACATAAAAAAATAGGGTTACTAGGTCTAGGGTATAAACCTACTGGGATTACAAACAAAACAAGATGGGAAAACGTAGCCCATGTTCAAGGGAAAGGTATCATTCACAGAAATGTTCACACACAATACTTACGTTTTCCACACTTGCAAATCAGACTCCACCGCAAACAGCAATTCAGTTAGAAGTCTTTGATGTAATTCTGACCAACTAAATTCCGGTATATCAATATATGGGCGACATTTTCCTTTCGGGGTACTGGTGTTTGAAGCTGTTCCGTTCAGATCGTCATTTGTTTTAGGGCTCGCCTCGATTTCTGGTTCATCTGGAGGGGCACCTATAAACGTAGTTTTCATAATCGCTTCCGGTCCAACATCGTAATCCAGCGACTTGCTTTTTGTTGGTGGTGGTGGAGTTTTCGTCGAGCGACTTTTGTCGGAGGAAACATCGTCAGAGTGGCGGCGATGAATAGTTTTTGCTGATTTCACAGTTGCAATGGAATCATTAACCTTCGAACCTGCTCCATCTTCAGCGAGTTTTTCTGCAGTCTCTTCACCTCCAATTTCTCCATTTACTGCCTCAATCGGACCTTCATCAGGGCCCTTATTGTCTGTGTCAGACATAGCATCACTTTCTATGCCTCCTTTTCCTTGTGTTCCGACAGTAGGGCTTGCTGATCTAGGCCTTGTTATGTTGTTAACATCTACTCCTTTTGATTCACCATCAGTCGCTTCATCATTTGTTGCATCTAAAGATTGGCTAATATCGCTTTCACTTTGACTGCGTTTAAGCGCTTCAGCTGTAGTTTGCTCACTTCGTTCGAGATCTGTTGCTTTATCTTTGTTTCCACCTTGTAAAATCGAGTAGAAGAATTTCTTTCTTATGTCCATTTCTGTTTCTGTGGCAGTTTCTATGAAGATTGACAGAGTGGTTTGAATTATATATATTTGAGGCACAACTAGAACCTGTGAAAATTCAATGTGCTGAGATACAACATCAAACATTTTGAATCATGGTTCAGCTTTTCATTTGACATTCAGAGTATAAAACGTCAGAACATAGACTGAAAACTCTACGCTAGGAAATATAGATGAATTCCGTCAATTGAAAACTCTTTGCAATATATTTGGATGCACTTGCATAAAAAACTTGAGTGAGAAAGCAAAAGAAACAGCCATCATAAAAATAACAAAATCCTTTTGAGCTTTTAATTTTCAACTGAAAAGGTAAAACAGCATATTTTGAAAATACTATGGGCAAAGCAAGAAAACCTTTATTCTCATCATCTTTATGTGACGGTGACTGGCTTTTAGAGCTCGAAGTGCTTTTCGGCTCTGTTTTGTCACTTGGATCCTCGCCTACTGCACCATCTTTATCCTCTTCGCTTCCTGACTTATGTTCCACAGTTTCGTCTGATATCCCAGTTTCCTTGTCATCACGATTATCTTTTACCTGTGCCGGTTTGGCTTCTCCGGTTTCTAAGTCGACAGACCGGTCTTTGTAGAAGACGGAAAGTTCTTGGGTATCAAGTGGTTCTGGGTCCCTCGTTTGTTCTTTACTTAGCCTCTCTTTTCTTGCGTTATAGGCTGATATCTACGGTAGAAGGAAAGCGTAAGAAATATGAATATAATCATTCTCTTAGTGGCAGTTTTGAAAGTTGACAATACAAACTCCCTTTTGATCTCACATATCATCACTGTTTATTGCCTTGACAGGAATTAACTAAAAAAAAGATAACAAAAATGAACTGTTCCTTTTACCCTTCCATGAAGAATGGCGAGAGTGTCAACCCAAACTCTCCAGCCCTCCTTTTCATTCTGAATGGCATAATGGAGAAGCATCCGGATAATGGTGAAAACAGTGTCTGTAACCCTGGCCTCTTCTGTGAAACGAATAACATGACTGAAGTTAGAAACATAAGTAAACCACAGTTATAACTGCAAGCCTGGTTTCAACATCAAATTATACATACAATAGAAAGACGGCCCTGAGACATGAACAGTGAATGTAACTACTTCCTTATGATAAGGGTTAGGGTGTATTAACAGTCGCATCTTGATAGGCGCTTACCCCTTACAGAACTTTAACCTTGACACTACACAAACATGAAACTAGGCATCGAAGTATGCTATACAAATCCCGTTCTTGCATGCAACGTTGGTATGAGACGTAAATCAAAGTCAAGATATGCTTTTCCTGAGAAATTTTGTTGACAGGGCACTGAATTAAATTCAAAGATTTCTAACATATAGCATAACATTTCTAACATATTATTTAACAGTTCATAAAGTCGCATTAGCATAGATGTTTCCATCAAAAAATTATATGTCTAGGTTTGTAGTCGTAGCTTCTCCCTGAAATATGATTGCCTATTAATCGTAAAAAGGTAAACAAATACATCGCATCGCATCGCATCGGTTGAAAATTTACATTTCCGGTTTCGAGTTCTTTTTAAAAGGCTATAAAGCTTCAAATTTTTTTCAAACTATCAAGTTGGTAAACAAGATAGAACATTACAATGGAAATTCATTTTCACCCCACCGAATAAATTAGCAACACCAGCAACCCCAATGCATCACGCATGACAAATGGATCAGCCATGACAAAACTTTAGCAGATTAACTTTTAATACAATGAAAATTTTATTAGTTTACTGGGCTTCACTGGTATATGATAAAAAAAGCAAAAACCTTTGGTTTTGGGCTCAAAATATGCAAGAGAAAAAAGCCAGTCTTGCCAGCACATCAGCTGTAGCATCAATCTGAAACAAATGATTAGGGTGCTATTACTATTGCTGAAATTTAAGATTTCATACTGATATTTTGCTTTAACTCTGGCAGCTTTACAGACAAGGACTCTATTAGTATCAAAAACTACCAACATATAGTCATTACATAATTGTTCCGTTCACTCTAGGTTAAAACTTTAAGCGATACGTCACTGGGCATAGGTATGTTGCATATTAAACCAATATTCTCTTGAATCATTGTTCTATATTAGTTATGGTTTGAAAATGGTATGAAATCGCGGAAACATAGCATATTGAAGTACTTTTCATCCGACACCCTTTGGAGTATAAATTTCAGATAGGGTAGACAAGGCCGTCTTTCCATTCAAGAGTTTTGGAATCTTTTTACATCCAAAAAATGATCTGCAACGAGGTGCGAGATAATGATATTCTTTATCATTGTTGAGAAGTTGGCGGTTGCTGATTGAAAAAAAGAACCAATCAAAAGCGTTTTTCTTACTCTCACGTTACTTTCGATCCACACCTGGATATAAATTATTTTCTTAATTTTGGTCAATATACGACGTTCATACTCTGAAGAATGTCTGACTAAAATAATTTCAGTAAGTTTCCGCTATTTGACACCATCTTGACATTTGCGGTATCAAAGACTTAGCAAATAGCTACTCAAATAGACCTACATTTAACAGATATTATTTAATGAAAATTCATCAAAATTAAAAGATAAAGCCTAAAACACAATCTAGGATATACGTAGAGAAGTAAGAATGGACGGTTTGGCAAAAATAAAACTTCAAATTCTTAAAAAGGTGGCAGAATAAGATCTGAACCGGGTAAAAAGAGAGGTCCTGATGAAATCTAACAATAAACTGTAGTCATAACAAATTTTGAGCTGCTACCAGCCTTAGTTTTTAAACATACTGATAAATAAATTAAAGTGGCTATCAATTTGGAAAAAGGAAAATATCTTAATGTTTACAGACTAGCCCTAGTGTATCACAGCAGGGATAAAAACTCCACCAAACAGTACACTGTAGCTTTTGATGTGGTTAAAGACAGCAAAAGGCAGAGTGTTTGCCAGAAAAGGCATCCTTTTAACAAAAGAAAGGTAAACTGATCGATCTTTACACTGACATAATGTAACATCCAATTGAAAAAAGGAGCTAAACATGAATGGAGTATGAATGACAACAATATTTCTCAATAGCTAGACAAGTTTTTAAAAGCTTTATGGCAGAATCTGTTCTAAATAACCCTTTGACAGATGCATACGGTTTTGAGAAAGAGGATTTTACCTGCGATTGTCTTTACTGTGATTTAGCAGCAACACAAGATCAGATAGAAAAACTCTTGTAATGTCTTCTTCTTCAACTTTATGACTTTCAGCGTTTGATTCAGTAGAGGCAGCTTGTTGGAAACTATGCCTGCGCTTGCGAAGTATGAGATCTACCATGATTGGTAAAATCGCTAAAACACAGAGACATCAACAAATACAGACTGTACAATTATACCTCTGTTAGGGGGCCTAACTGCAATCTATTTACTGAATTTTTAAACTGACTTTCCTGCATTTCAAAGAGTCACTGATCCAAGGGTTGGCATTCCGACAGGCTTTATGGTGCTCATGTTTTTCTTTTGCAAAAATACCAACGAAGAAGCGTTTTTTTCTCTTATTTTTATTTAATCTATTCTTGAACTCTAGTGAAGAAGATTATAATCACATATCATTGGAAGGTGAAGGCTATCCAAAAAGAATATTTTGTAGACTATTTTTTGAGTACTTTTGCAACCTAATATTCTTCAGGCTTAAGTGGAATTTTGTAGACGGTAAAGAAAACTGTGGAAGTGAAAAGGCAGTGATGTTACGTAAATGCTGAATAAACTCACTTGGGTGGTAAATCGTGATTGTAGAATCTGGTTCTGCATGTCTTCCAGTAATAACATGCTTTGTGACCCGAGCTGTAAGAATCTACAAAAGTATAAATTACTACAATGAAATTTAATGCTATACCCGTCGAATTATGTTTAAATATATATTTTTAATTGGAAGCAAGAAGCAGGGAGCGGATATCGACATATTATATTTAGCAAAGTTAGAACTTTGAAAATTTCATTCGAGGAAAAGAGGGACTGAAGAAATCCGTTGCTAGCATCTTTTATTAATTTGGGACTTATAATGGAGAATTGCCACCCTTACACCCAAAGAGATTTTGGTTCTTTATGTATGGCATTCTTCAGAATTTGGATATTTCTGAAATTCGTCGGGATGAAATCAGGTGGCAAAGGCACGGGATGGCAAGCTGATGAACATCACTAAAGTGCACAACGTTTACGGCAAAGTCTTTTCAAATGCTCACACTGTTGCTAAGGGAGACCAGTCAAACAGATAACCGTTCGAAATACCTAAGTTTGCCCGTGACAGGTCCTTAAATTTTTATGCACATTTTCTAAAAATATTTCAAAACAAAAAAAAAGCTAAGTTTAATAACAGCTGTAGGAATGACCAATGGGCCAATTGTTATGTAAAATATCCTTTTTAGCAAGGCAGATAGAGCAGGAAAGGGGTAGATTAACATTTTCTAACAACTTAAGTGCTAAATGACGTAAGCACTATACCTCGAACAGCGCATTGTATGTGACACTTGTAAGCTCTGTAGGCATTAGTTTCTTTCCAATCATTGTTATGAAACCATACTTTTCAACAAGCTCCATTTTTCTCCTTTATGAAAAAGATAAAATGCAAGCCAGTCAAATCTGCCAATCTGGCAATTTTAACCATCTTCCTGTAGCTTACAATTTATTCTGTTTCAAAATTTCAGTTTGTACACAAACGAGGCCACAAACGTTGCGTAAAATGATCGTTATTAAGTGAGAAATGGTCCTTGATAAATCGTATAACTGTTTTCCAAATTATGCAGGATTCTGGAATTCTTGCATAAAATGGCACAGCTCTGCGTACCTACCAAAACCTATATAATTAAAACGGAACTTTATGTGAAAGCAGTGTAACGATTCTACGATGTTACCAGGTGCAAAATATTCGTAGTTACTAAAAGGACTATATAATTTTGGAACTATACTCATACTCCAGCCATATCACCTAATGAATAAACCTCACTTTTCTCTTTCAAGATGAAATTTTTTTAGGCTTAAAATTCACAGAATATTCTTGGATAATGATTCAGTCCAACCCCATCTATAATTATTCTTATAATGTATCGATTTTGATACTTTATGGGGCTTTTAATAAAAATTAACCGAAGAGCGAACATGTGTGAATATGTACATAACTTTCCAGTGATAAGAAATACGTTGCCTATGGCATTCTCAGTGAGATGCAACATAATTAAAAATTTCAACCAAATATAAAATATTTGTGTAGTTTAATTAACATCAACTGACAATGAGGCACAAACGAGGTGGATAAGACGAGGTAGAAGATATATTTATTTTTCAAGCTAAAATCTAAAGTCAACAAAATTTAGAGAATCGGATTTGACAATTATGATTTTTGAAAATCTATTTACATTCCAGCTCCTTAAAACCAGGCGCACTGAGTCGTATCACAATTGTACAACTCTATCTTCTCCAGACATTTTAAATTAAACCCACAATTTGATATGCAAAGACTCAAATTAGATAAGCGACATCCTCCGCAGACAAGACAAGAATATTGACATTGACAAAATGATAAATCTTACGATCTCTCATAGAGATGAGAAGCAGCTTATAAGAACACAGTTTGTGGTAAAACATTTTGCCTAGGCTCCTAACCATAACATTTTATGATAAATTTCTTCGCAAAGGATACTTACTGCAGGGTAAGATACTTGATGTAGGCGGCAACTATCTTGAGACAATACACCCGTACTTCGCTTTTCTTTGATATCAACAACTTCAAAAACAAGATCCTAGAGAAATATAAAATTTTTTTATTTCAGATTCATCCTTTCAGTGGTGATACAAACTGACACTGGTGATGCAATCAAATAGATCCTTGCAATCAAAAAAATTAATGTTTGCGTGGACCAGACGAGACTTTCTGGACAACAAGAAGGGGTGTGGACAATTGAACATTTATTTACTTTCACGTATTTACATTTAAGATTGAACCTAAAAATACTTTACAGTAAAACGACACCCTCTAAAGTGGGACAGGTTAGAGTCTTTGTGCATAAAGCAGAGGCTTGAGCAATTATCAAATGGTAAAACCCAACCTCAAACCCCAATAGGGTCAGCAATTTTCAGGTGTTGGTACAAGGGCTTTATTATACGAACATTAGTGATGACAACAGGGATCGTTCACTTAGCAAAAGAACCGTTTACCACGGATCTTCCCATTCGCAAATATACCGTTTGAAAGAACCATTAGGAACAACGATCAATAATAAACTAGTAAGACAAAAGACAGAATTCAAAAAAATTTGCGTCTCATTAGGAGAGAGTTTATTTGATAACGAATCCTCAGTTTCAACCTTTTGTGTAAGGACACTTTGCCCAAGGACATAATCCATTGTTCAACGAAAGCTGGACTCGTTAAAGGTTCTTCTGAGGGTTCGTTGTATGGAGTGGTCACTGTTCTTTTTTCGTGTAGCTTTTTTTAGTTCATTTTCTTGTATTACATAGTGTAGAATCCTTATTAAGTAGTATTGATGTTAAGTGAACTCTGTAATTAGTAATTGAACTACGTAATGTGATGTTTAGTGTAATAGTTGCAGGGTTTTAATGCATTTTTATGCTCCGTGCACTCTCTTCTTGTAGTGTAATTCATTTGTAAGTAAAGTACAAATTTTTAGTTGAATTCGTATAAAAAGTATACTTGATATGTATCGAGAAGACCCATCTGATCTAGCGAGATTGATAAAATATTCAAATGAGAAATATATCTACCTAAATCCTTCGAGGTTGTCGAAACAAACGATGATTTTATCAGACATTTCGCATAGTATTCCAAGCAAAAAGTGAAGAACATCAATTAGGTTTTCCTCCTGGTAAAAAGAAAAATTGATTAGCAAAAAAGAAGGTGGAAAATAAACAACATTCTTCGGCAATATTCTAAAGAAAATATTCTGGAAAAAGAAGGCGGAAAATAAGCAATATTCTGAAACCAAGAAATAAAGAACAAGAACAAATAAGGCAAGATGAAATCAAAGGAAAGTTCAAGCAAAATTAAACGCAACGAGTTCATGGAGCTTGGAAACGCACACGCCTGGCAAAAAACTGCTGAAAACAGCCAGCCCATGGCATTGGAGTCTTTCCAAAAACACGTGATTGGCTATCATTTGCTGGTGTTACTGATCACATGAAGCGTTCGTTATTGTTAGAAAGATTGCGAGTTAGCACAACTAATAATATTAAAATCATAGTGAGATTACAAATTCACAACAATGTTACATATTTTTAACAAAGAGTTAAAGTTATACATTAGCCCACCTCATCCTCAATTGTAAGATAGACAAGAATACTACGCAGTTCTTCGTCCAATATTCCATCACCCTGATTGACAGAAACATCAGAAAATGAGAACGGTACAATGAATAGGTGTTTCTATACAAAATATATTAAAAAAATGCTGAAGTTCCAATCAAACTATTTCGTGAAACAGTAAAGGTACTTATAATTCCGTACTACTCAGGTATCCTTGAACTTAAACTTCTAGTCAATGGTCAAAAAATTCGCAAAAGGTGTACAGTGAAGGTAATGGAGAACGACAAGGCTCGGAAAAACTTCCAAAAGTCACAATGAAGCCAAATATCTTGCACAGTAAATAACAGTAGCAGATTATCTTATGTAAGCTTTGATTATGCCTAGCGATCTCCACTCCCCTGTCGTTACGAAATCAAGCTTTTTTTTACTTCCATTTGGGCTCAGATTTACTTTTGACCCCGTGTTGTAACTGTATACAGTTGTCCTTGCCTTGGGGCAACAGTTCTCTAAATTTGATGAAAAATATAAAATCCAGGTACCCCTTGTCCAACTCTAGATTTTCTAGGTTAACGGGGTGGATGAGGATGCGAGTTGAAAAGCTGAAAACGAACTGAGCTAGAACATTAATTTTCTGCTTGTTACAAGAATATGTTTACTAAGGTCAACCGCAGGCGATGAATTTAAGTCGCTGTTGCATTTAAAGTATGCATAAGATTAAAACAAAACTGCGCAAGATTTTAATGATTTGGAAACAGAAAACTGTTACTCAAAAACTATACGTATTATTTCAATTTTACAGACCAGTTTTCATCGTTTGAAGATAGCAGGCAGAAGACAGAGACTTCAAAAGCAGATTGATTACGATGAGACAAGTACACATAATCTGTACCTTGATGACCATTTGTTTGATTAGCAGAAGCATGAATGCCCGCAAGGATATGATTTCTTCTTTTGTCGACCCAACAGCTGTTGCAAAAAAACAGGCATTTGTATAGCAAAGATATGAAAATAGATATCCAAGCAGCTGCATAGGACTCTTGCTACGCAAGTTATAATTGGATGAAGTAAATATATTCTTATAATGGGCAAGCTGCTAACAGTCTAGGCAATTAGGAAAAGTATAATAATTAAATGAATAATAACAGTTTTGTTATATCGATTAAAGGCAGTTTAAGGTGTAAAAATATAGAGAAATCGCCACTCACAGGTGAAAGCGAACTAAAGGCCTACGTTCAAAAGTATTTATTAAATTCTAAAAATAACTGAATAGTTGACGAGATGATCTTTAACATCAATTATCGTCTTAAGGTCATAATGAATCAAATCTTTGTAATCACGTTTATGTTATTGGGAGGAAAATTTTAGCATCCAAAAAAATGATGGAAAAAATCGTTTTAGGTAAGTTACTTATTTCTAGCAAAGGTACTATTCTGATTATCCAATCAAAATTTTTCAAGCAATTTTGCATAGTCAACAAATGATATCAACAATAAGTGCATATTAATGACGTCATACAAACTATTGACTACTTAATGTCATACATTTTAATCTACTAATTTAATACACACATTTATCGCCGATGATCGCCGATGGTATCCGATGCCTAAGACAACCCGGCTCTCATAAGTTTTAACTCATTGTAATTCATCGCCGATGCCATCGGCGATCATCGATTGCATCGGCACAGATGAAGACCGTGAATAAAGAGGAATCATATTTTTAGTGGCCCGTGGTTGCCGTTTATTTTTGGAGAAATTCTAGAAGAATCATAATCATTACTTTATGATCAATCGAGTAAGTATTTTCATAGGTTTCCTAGAAACTTCCTTTCTAAAACATTTCCACATCTGCAACGCTTTCACAACCAATGTCTTATACATAGAGGTTTCTCATTAGGGTATTGGCAATGATTATTCAGCGGATAATACATACATTGTAAAATTGGTTACGCAACAGAAACTAACCACAAGCAGATGTCATTTATCTAAATGTAGTATGGAAAGAAATAAACATATCATTAAAAACAGACTTATTTAAAGAAAGTCATACTTGCTGGATTGGCTGAGGATGATCCCAGAGAATAATATTTTCGGAGCATAAGCATTAGACGAGGCACGCCAACTTCTTTTCTGATGTAACCAGCATAATCTAGGCCCCCAACATATCCTGTAGCAAACAAGCTCAAGAGGTTTGCTTGCAATGTCAGGGGTGTCTTAATCCACAATGCTGGATTTAGAAGAATGTGGTCAAGCAAACTGCCTAAAAGTCCGCTGGCACTTGGTGTTGACATCAGATACCTTAATAGAAGACAGAAACAAATGAAGTGAAGAAGCCTTAACATTCGTAAGTGGAAAGTTGATGGTCTGACGTAAAGATTAGGTCTATCAACATGGAGTTATCACCAGCTCTAGTATTTTCGGGGGAACCTTTCTCCGAGAAAAATATCATCAGGTTTGAGCCTTAAACCGATAAATGGTTTTCGTTTCGTGTATCGAATGGTTGCCTTTAAGACAAATTTTAACACCTGATTCGAAGTCACATAAGACAAAATATGACTTATATCGAAGTGGATATGTGGCATAATCAGTTCCTTTGCCTCAGATCGACTAATGAGACTGATGCATCAGTTTACTATTACCATTGTCGAGGATATATTTCAAGTATCAACTAAATTTATGTATGCGAAGCTTTCTGTACTTCCAAATTCTCTGTTGCGAAGTGAATTTTAAATGTTACTCGACACACTTCAGAGTCATATTCAGGTAGATGAATGTGCCTGCTAACTTATGATGAGAATTGTTCAAAGCTCGTAGTTTCCAAAGATAAGACAAAGTCATGATTCTAATGTTACTGCTAAGCATCGCGTTCTACCTTGCCAAGCCAAGTAAAATATCCACAACTTCTTCAGTAAGATGACATTCGGAAGACTAAGGAATGAATAACAGGATTTTCAATAATTCTTCTATCAAATAGAAAAACAGTTTTAAAATATGCAATCAAAATATGATTTACACAAAATCTCGTCTGAATTTGGAAAATGTTATTGCGGGTAAATACATATGTAGTGGACCCATGAGTTGGCTAAAGATCCAACAGCTAATAAAGTAACAAGCAATGGTGCTGCAATGGCACAAAAAGGGCCTAAGAAAAGTATTAGAAGAAACGGATTCTATAAAATTTGCAAAGTGGGTTTAGAAGTGGAAACATAAATTTAAAGCCGATGATCGACGCAGCCCATGTGACCTCTTTTAACTCATGCACTTGATAAAAATATCAACAATAAAAATTTCCATTGACACCCTTTGGCTTACCGGAACCAAAGAAAACAATTCCAACGAATTTATCGCAAGCCTTACTTTATATCATACCTTTTATTCACAATCGCAGAAAAAAATAAGATAAAACACAATGTGTTTTAGTGAGTAATGAAGAACTAGGTTACTGTACCTTCTCTAGTATATGTCCGATTATAAGGAAGCCTTGGCTTTGTAAAAACTGTTGTTGACACATGGCAGATCCACGCAAGAGATCATAGACCAAACCAAGCAGAAGGATGCTATGAAGAGACGTTAATGATGGTGAATAGGGAAATGAGGTTCACGTTATTCGTTTAGACTGTTTACCATGAACAGTGATGGGGATCCAAAAAAGGTAAAACCATAGAGGGAATTAGCAGTTTTTTTAGATAATCTGGGTACTAATAATTGCAAATATAAATCCAGCCCTCTCAGCCGAATAATTTGAATATTTTGTTGTTTATGAAACTTCCCTCAATAATTTAAAGTTTATATGGTTGAGATAAAAAACTCGGATGTGTTCTATTGGTCTATTCAGCATTAAAATAAACTAGCTTTTTCGACTTGCAAAAATGTGACTTTTTCAAGAAGTCAGTGAATCCTCAGTCAATTATTTAAATAAAGAAAGGAACTTTGCAATATACCAAAGTTTTCCTTCTGGTTTTTCTTGTCCGTGGAAAGGGCAGTCAAGCTGAGTAAACAGTGGATACAGCATCTATAATTAAAGAGATTGAATATGAATCTTAGACTGAAATCCATAAATAATTCGCATTTTAAGAAGTGTAGCATTAAGGAGTGTAAGAGTTCTTATATGAAATACTTGTACTGCTTATTGCATCTCTTTATTTGTTAATTTTACCTAGCACCTAGAGGACGTTTTGAAACACTGAGAAGCTGTGCTTATCAATCAGTGTCCTGGTCCTTCCTCTCTATGTGACAACACCTCGTGACTCCTACGCCTGTAATTACAGAGAGCGGGCGACTCTCCTCACATAAAATGAAAGTCGTCTTGTGAAAGCTTGCTTGCAATTACACCGAGGTGTTTTTAGAACTATCATTTAACAGTGTCATTTCACCTGTATTCCGCCAAGAGAATGCAAAGCAGCTTGCAAAGATTGGGTGACGACAGACTGCACTCCCTGTAACGACAACAGAAAACCATCTTAGTCATTGCAAAATAACATGCAATATAAAGAAATTAAAATGATACTCTCTCAGCAGTGCTTTTACAATCATCGTCAAATGTTGCCGCCAAAAATAAAAGAAATTAAATCTTTAAATATTCTTTTATCTGCTGGCGGTTGCTCGGACCGTCAAATTTATATGTACCACGCCTGGGTTCAAACCCACGACCTTAATCATAGTAAACAAACTCTTAACTATATGCTTAGCTAGTTTGTCGATATAATGCAAGAAAGCTTTAGCAAACATATATACTCAGCGGGCAATCATGAAAGAACAAGTCCATTACAATAAAACATGATAGTACCTAACCCAGCCTAAGGGAGAGACCTAATCAAGCCTAGGTTTTTACACATGCAGCACTTTGGTGGTGTAGACGATCTGAACCATTAACAAACCAAGACATCAAAACTAAAACTAAACTGATGTCGTTCTGCTAGAACTCAAGATACTTGTTGTAAATTTTATCTAGTTTGAATTCATAATGAGCAGTCTAAAGCTGATGATTGCATTTTCTTAATGAATTGATCCTCTAAAGTTTTCGAAATGGGTATTTGTGGTAAGCCTTAATAAAATAGTTGTCTGAATGAAAAAATTTGAATGAAAGTATTGAAGGAGGGTAGGCAAAAAGATAAAAAAAACAAGATAGGGTACAGATGCGAGGGAAAAAGATGTATTAGTAGAGCGCAGCAAAGAGATAAAGAAAAAAAGCAAGATTTGGACATTAAAGAGGAGTATGTGATAAATTTCTACGACAATTTTCAAATAAAAATTTTGGTAGTTTACGTGTAGCTAGAAAAAAGAAGGTACTTTAGAATGGCCGGAACATATAGAAATTTTGGCAGTTGAGAAGGCTCCGCCTACCTCAAGCATGATGGCACGGGAGCTATGCATGAAGTAGATCTTGCTATCGTTCGGTGATGATTCGAGGCACAACTGTCCTTCGACAGCTTTTGGGTTGAAAGTGAAGATAATACTGGAAGCGAGTTTGCCATCAAACAAAGTCTGAAAGAATAAAGAGATTTCTCAATAAAATACACTTCTTGAAATTAAACGTTTTTCAGTTTTGTAAAAGATCATAAGGCCAGCCTATTTGATAAAAATGATGAGACAAAAGACAACACCACACATTTGATTGACGATTTTGGAAGGTCAGACCAAGTAACCATACGCATTACACAAGTTACGATGATATGCAATCGCGAAGATTGTCTTGACATCAAACAAAACAGCTAATTGACATTAACAATTGATGACATTCTTCATTAATAATCATGGCTTATTGAAGCTAATCAAAAATGACTCCTCCCTCTGACAGGTTACAGACCAGAAAAAGTTATGTTTTCCGAAAAGCATTTTCTATAAGTAATAAAGAAACTGAACAAAACATTTTCATTTCTTACACACTAAAACTTTTGGCATGAAATTTAGTTATTGACTCTAACGCTTCATCCTGATGATCATATTGAGTGAATTTTAGAGTTCAAACTTAAAACCATCCTGTTCTATAGACAGAAAGCGTCTACAGCTCTGCCTATAAGGCACAGGGTGAATAATCCGGTTCGGATAATCCGATTACCCTCGTGTCATACACGCCGAGGAGTTTTTTGAGTGCATCAACGAATCACAGGTCGGCTAGGATTAGGGAACGCTCTCCTAAAAATATGACATCTAGCAAAACATGATACCTCTCTGGATTCTTCATGTCCGCCGTACCGGTCATTATATGACAGGCTGGTAAAACAGTAGCTTTTATTAATGACATTTACACAACTATTCACGTTCTACCCCAGTTAGAAAACTGACCAGGACAGGCTTTGGGATTTTATGCATTAATAAAAGCTGATTCAAAATATCAGAAAAAGAATGCAACACCAAGACGACTAAGATAATCTTGGTTGCTAGATGAAGACGTTCTTTCAAAATATTTTAATCGATACAGGAATTTCTGTGACTTTCAACAAACCTTTTTGTCCATTTCATACAACGGGATGTCGAGTTCAGATTCAAACTTGAATTTTCCCTAAAAAACACAGGCTTGTGTTAAAGGCAACTCGAGAAAAAACAATTGAATAAGACGGCATTTCCTAAACCTACACATACTGTTTGGAAAGTTGTAATTATGACGTCACACACCTTGTATCCCGGACCAAGCCTATAGATCGCAGCGGTTGCTGATTGTGACAACGGTTCTCCGAACAAATAGAAAGCAGACATTTGCCCTTTGAACGAGTATTTATGATCTAATGCTTTCCCTGTCTGTCCAAAACCGACGAAACACCTTTCCATTGCCTATTATTTGGAAAAAATAGAGAATATCACACAAGACTTCACCAGATTATGTTTAAAAAACATGCAAAAGAAATATCACACATCTCAGTGACACATCATTCTTAATTATTTCGTTAATACAAACTTTATGGGGAAGTGAATGGGTTCTTATAATTAGCCAAGAGAAGGAAAACAATATTCGATATGCTGTATTCTTACGTAAAATAATTGTGTTGAATTTATTTCCATAAAAATAAACTTATAGGAATGATTTCAAGCTAAGCCTTTCCGGTCCGTTCAACGCAAACATCGATAATCTTCCTTATCTAGGTAAAAATTTATACTATTTGTGTTAATATTTATATACATATTTAAATAACGAACCACAGTATTAATGACGCACGCAACAGGATGAAATGAAAGGGCGCTCCGACTATTAAGGCTATTTTACAACAACAGTGGAAGAAACCTCAAAAGAAAGAAAAGAAAAAGAAAATACTATTTGTTCTGACCAAGCCCATTTTCAATTGGGCGAAGCTTGGTAACTAACCTCTTTTGACGACGGAATGTGAATTTCACCTTGTGTTACCATTTGTCCATTGACGTAGCAGCGAATTTCACTGGCTTTGAATCGATTGTAAACATGGCTGACACAAACATGGTACCACTAAAAGATGAAACAGATAAAAATTTAAGACTGAAAACAAAAAGAAACAACGACGTGACTTCGTTTAAATTTTGTAAAGGCGGCTATCAAACCAGACTAGGCGTGAAGGGATAAGTAAAAAATGGATGACAACAATGACGTTGATATAACTATGAAACTTTCAAAGCTTTCAACTGAAAACGGCGCAAAATTAACAAAAACTCTCTAAAAGAGCTTTATCCCCCCCTGTTTTCGCCTGTTCTTTGCAACTCTCCAGTTCCAAATAACAGTATATAACTTGAATTTTTGGTTGAAGCTTTCAAAACTTTCTACATAGCGATATTTTTAAAAAAATTTAAATTCAACCAGCATATTAAAGGTGTAAGGTAAACCCACACTCTTAGATAAAATCATTCACACAAAATGCCTACAAAATCCTTGGTAGAAGATCATTTATCTATCTAGAAAATATGCAAGGAAAAAAGTTTCACGAATAAGATCAAAAACTGCATTTTCGTACAGACTGGCGAAATTGGTTTAACAGTTTAGTTGAAAGTCTTGCAGAAGGTAGTTAACACATAATTCAAGCAAAAAATTTGCTGATTAAGACTTGCATTATATCAATCGATCATCGGACAATTAGAGGAAGGCCGAAATTGAGGACTGCACACCAGGTGCAGGATTTGCGACATGAATAATGAAATAGGCCCTTCCACGCTCTGCGATTATCAAATTTGCCAAGAAAACAATTTCCACCAAATAAATTGGAGCCTTTTCAGACACTAGACTTAAGCACTTACGTAAAGTGATATCTTTGTTGGTAGTATCACTTTTCGAGGATAAAGAGCTTATAATGCAAGGATTTGAGACTTACGATTTGAGGCCTGAATTCAAATTTGATAAGAATGGTAAAAACTTTGTTTGCTTTCCCATGCACTTCAATAACAAGCATTGGTCCAGAAAAATGGGCAGAATATCCGATTCCTTTGTTGTTCATAAAACTGAAATTAGAAATAAAAAATGATCAATAAAATGCAGCTAACAATAATAAAACTTAAATACAACAGAAGTTTAAATGAAAATTATGAAAAAAAATTAGATGACAATAAAAATTATGAACTGTTATTCGACAGAAAGGTTTCCATCTCTAGACACTTTTCACACACTTAACACGAATTTTTTGCAGTCGTACAACTAAAAAGTAGAAAATAAAATTTGGTGTCTGTTGAAAAAGTATGTATTATTGACATAAGAGTGCATTGGGGTCCCACTGAATCTTTTTCCTTCACTTTTAAATCAAGCCCAAATTCTAGTAATGCATAGTTTTCGCGTATCTCAGATATTCAACAAGTCACAAAAACACAGCAAGGAAATAAAGGGAGGGATGTTTTGTGATCTTGAAAAATCCAATATTTTGACTTATCCGTTGTTTTTGCAAGCTAGAAACAGAAAGGCTTTGGTTTTGAACTTTCAAAAGTTTGGATCTGAAGAGTTGTATTGGAATAATCAAGGACGCATAGTTGCAACTGATGTGAATGTTTATTATTAGTTGCCACTTGACAAAAATGTTTCTCAGATTTTGATAATCCATCTGCTGCAAACCGTAGGCCACGATGTATGGTACAAGACTGAATAAAACAACAAATATCAACGATAAAAGCTCGATGTTACATATCTAAGTAAAATTTAAAGTTGAGAAATTGATGAGAAACAATCAGTGACACATCAGCACCTATTTTTAAACCAGTTTAAATTTATGGGTCTACACCCACGGACCACGAAACCTGTTCCCATTCTATGGGTCTGGTGGGTTAACTAGCTGAAAAAGATATCTATAAGTAAACCTGCAAACATTAGCTTCTGCAGTCCTCACATATACCCGCAATTTTTTTTACTATTTTCTTTTAGGGGTTGTATAATGAAAACACCAAGAAGCCCATCATTAGAACACTTTAATTAAAACTCTTTTACACGTTCTTCACTCTTTGGAAAGCCATTCAAAGAATAATTAAAAGGAGATTTTCCTTTTACCTGTATATGTGTGGTTTCATATTCTGTTCCACGCTTGATAGATGGGCAGCATCCAGTTGGAGCCATGTCGCAAAAGAGAATCCTGGCTGATGTGGCCACCTCGTCATTGGAGGTATGACAATGCCCTAGGTAATACAAAAGAAGCATGATGGTAAAAAATAGTAAATACATAAAGTTTATATTGTCATATAGCTCATAAACTTTGCACTCGAAAAATCAGAGTTGGAAAATATGCTGCTGAATGTATATAGATTGCCTGTATGAAAAATGTGCTTCAAGACCTAGAGTCAGATAAAAGGACATGGTAACTTCACTAGGGAAGACTTGGACTTATGTCCTAATCATTTAATGCAGCAGTTTGCACAAAATTGTTTGCACGAATTTACAAGCTGAATGTTGGTGCAAACCATGCAACAATTTTCCGCGACTTTTTTGTGGATTGTTACATGTTTTCGGATCCAGAGTTGGAATCAAGCATTTTATTTCTCCAGTCATTTCTCATTAAATTCTTTGAAGTTATGTGTTACAACATGGGTGTCCAAAATATGCTACATCACGAGTGCGACAATTGGTGCAGATAAGTTGAACTATTCGACCAGGTGGCTTAAAACCAATACTTTAGAAAGTTTTTGAAAGGACGCATTGTTAAAAGACAGAAAGACGGAATAACGGATTTGCTCTTAAACAGCTTAGGTGAATCCTGATCGATTTTTTGTACATTTATATTTCCAAATTAAAAAGATAAAAAAGGATTCAGGCGACGAAATAAAGAAAGAAACAATGACAATAAAGCCCTTAATCTCTTAAATGGTCGTAAATAGCATTACCAAAAGACATGTAAAGCGTCTGAAGTGAAGTAATTACACTCTTTTGTCATAAAAACATACTTTATAAGATTTGGCAGAAAATAGAAATACATAAAAACAGATGAAAAGTTAGAAGACAAATATAAAGTGTTTTTGGAAAATCCTCTTTTATATTTAGAAAACCGAGTAGATTTTATCGGCTAAATAACCGTGCTACTAAAAATTTCATGCAAAATTGGTATTTAGTGGTTTTAGTGGTAGAAACTATTATTTTTACGTAGTCCTATAAACTCAATACTGAAATAAGAACAACGTTTAAAAAACTCGAGCCTCGTATTATCCAGAAAACAGTTGATAAGGCTACCTACATAGGGAATAAAACTATTCTTAGATTCGCCATTACTATGGAGAAAAGTCTTCAAATAGCAAGAAAATATTTATATTTTTATTAACACCGCCTGTTTCATCGAATGATTTATTTAAGGAAGGCTTTCAGTCAAAAGTCTTCATTCTAATGTTGTGGTTTTTAAGTTACTAAATGGTTGGTGACTAACTTAAAGTAACTTGTCATAAAAGCTAACGATTTAAGGAGCATCTAATGTTGAACATAAACAACCAAAAACTACACAATGAGTAAATAAGAGGCACCTAATTATAAAAGTAAGGGTTTTACTTCATGTTTGAGCCTTACATAATAAAACAAAAACACCAGAGAGGTTTTTCTGCTCTTGTTTATTTTAAAACATCAATAACCTGTGTCTTGATTTAGACTTTCGAATTTCAAAAAGAAAAGTACATCGCTGTGTTGAGACACATAATCGTTTTAATTTCATTTTATTTGACTGTTTTCGTTTTGATAGGCAGCAGAATTTTTAAGTGTTTACAGAGTCCTGTTTAAGATAAGAGAGCGAAAAAATTCAATAATATAAAGTAAATTGAATGTCTATGTTCATGGATCTTCTGGTTGTGATTTTAGAAATCATTGGCAGGGAAACCTAAACACACACATGACAAACTTTGTGAATTGCTCGCGAGGACAAAGGAGCAACTAACACTATAGATCTTAATGACTGGCTCCCTCTTTTCCTTGGCTCCTTAGTAGCAACAATGTCCTTGAAAACGCGACCAAACAAATACAATGGATGATCATAGGTAAGAATTGATATCCAAAAGCTACCAATAAAAAAGCTTTCTAAACACCATTGAAAATCAAGCTTTTTGTCAAATTAAACTTCCATAAAAAGCTCATGAATAATAGAATATTTCCTACGATGAAAAAGAAATTTACAAAATATGTGTTTCTATTTATACCAAATCCAGCTGCAGGAAAAAATTCAAATTAAAAACAAAATTAGCAGGAAGGCACTGACATGGAAAGAGCCTTTGTCCTGAGCCAAAATTAATACGCTGATCGAAATAGCCTGTATTTCATTGAAAAACGTCGTTTCATCTGAATTACAGCTCTGTATTTCGAAATGATGATATTTTTCTACTAATGCTAAGCGTCTTAAAACTTCCATGTCTTTGAAACGCAAGTTCAACAGGATGCTAAAATATGCACCTATCAACTACAAATCAACTTTAAAAATACTTTCTGGACACTTTACGTGTTTATGTGAAAAAACCTAAATCCTCATAACAGGTTAAAGCGACTACAATACTTTGAAAAAAACAAAAGACCATGGAATGACAATATAATCAATCATCAAAGAAGCACCAAAATATGACACTGCATTCGAAAGGAAGGTGAAGAAAAATGCGAAATGTGTAAAAATGCCAAGAGGCTCTTAGCAACTAGCTAGGCTGGTTTGATATATTTCAAAGATTAGGTTTTAATTCATTGGCTGTGCAAGTCAAATAAACTTCCCTTGCACAAGCTAGTAAATCAGCGATCTTAAGATTTTAGCTTTGACGTTAACGCCAGGCTTTAGAAGCTAAAAATTCAAAAGTAGACATTTACCGATAACTTAAATTTGATACATGCAAGTAACTCTCGACTTAATTGGCTAAAAAACCCATCGAAGCCTGGATATCCTGAATAATTTGGTGATGGGGATGTTATGGGTGAATTTCTGGATATCAGTAAAAATATTGCCGGCCTACGAGCACTAAATGATAGCTAATATGACTTATTCATTCTGACTATCTTTATGGCGCTCTTCATATTTCTAGGTATTGCAACGATGTTTTAGCATCGATCAGTAATTTCATAATCCCAATACTTTGAAGAAATCCAGATTGGGAATTCTCTTTTTGTCTTACTATGGCCTGCTGCGTTAGTCCTAGAATTACAATTGCAAACATCAATATCCAGGAACTTAATCACTGTTGAAAAATGAATGAAAATTCCTCAATGTATGTTTCATTCACGATCGATTACTCTCGCAACTTAAATACTCCTATATATTTTCAATGTAATAAGGTGCACTAATTGATACTTACAGAGCCAGACTTTCCTGAGAAATCAAAGTAAACATCAGGCCCATGCTTTTCTGGCATTCGCTTGAGGATTCCCAGCAGTCTGAAGGCATGCTGCGGCTGCAATAGAACAGGAATTTCACTACAAAAAGCCACCGAGAAATGAAAAGGGCTCCCTATATGCATAAGCAAGAATATCATATGAAAATTTATAGAGGGTTAAAAAGAGTACAATTTAGCTTTTTTCATGCATAATTTAAAATTTTATAGAAACAAAGATAATAATTTTCAACTCTTACCCATTTGCCATTATCCTTAACTTGCAGCGCAGCCAGGAAATATTTCAATTCCTTGATTGTTATACTGTAGGTTGCCAGGACACCAACGAGCTCGACCATTTTATCTGTAGAGTTATGAATATGAAACATTAAACAGGCATATAACTAGTTAAGAGTATCAAAATAATGAGCATAGTAGAAAACACACGATAGACCTCGAATGATTATTTCATAAGACGAATAAAAAAAATTGAAGATTTACCCGTAATCAGTTCTGTGCACGGCTAAAATTTACAGCACAATGAAAAAGAAAGAATATTGTGGCAGAAAGGCAAACTAAGCATTTATTAATTATGTTATTGAGCAAACAAATGTCGTTGATTTATTCTGCGAAAAAAAGAGGCATATGTGTAGTTCAAGAACACTTGCTAGACTGTAGAAGATTTGATATAAATGAAAGGAATCGTTTAAAACAGCTTCGCTGGAAGGGTTCTCTACTAACACTGAAGGGAATTCCAGCAGACATTAGGCCAAACTAAGCAAACTAAATTCAATTCACAGTATACCCCTGCAAAGAAGAACCTAATTCTTATTTCTCCTAAAACAATTGCACAGGTTTTTTATTTCATATTTCACATAAGATAGAGCCTTTTAATTATGATGTAAATTATTTCCCACAATCACACAGCTCTACAAAATTACACCTAAAACACCACACAAGAAAACTATTCAAGCTGTTGGTCATAGCTGGAACCGAGTAAAGTTTCTTCAACAAGTTGCCACAATGCGATTTACAGCTCACAATTTTTCTTAAACAAACCTGCTTTATATACTTGTGTTTGCTAGCCTAACAGCAAAAAGCAAAGAAAATCTCGATTACGAATTACGGTAACGAACACAGTCTTTATGTACAATTCTAGTTCGAAGGAATTCAGATCGTACACACACTAAGTTCATGCTACACTGTTTTTTTCTCACTTTCACAAAATATTCGCTCAAACTTTATCTCATCAAAAATAAAAGCCACAGAATTATAGGTTTTCATTTCGTTCAGTTAAAACGATGTTATACAGGCTTTCAATAGGTTGGCGTTGGCGTTGGCTAATTTGGCTTTCCGATTTGTTCTACTTCCATTTTGCTCTGTTTTCAAAGAAGTTTTCGAATTTATGACATTTGCATCCCAAAAAAGTGGACACAAGCCAAGAACAGAAACACTTAGGTCGTTTTTCTATGAAAAATAAATAGTTTTCACTGGGCTAATCATAATATAGTCTCGCATCATCAATCATATTTTAATGAATAGGTCATTCAGGTTTCCCTAAATCTGCTAAGTTTTTACCAAAAATATTGTTTGGTTGTTATGTTCATAAAGACGGATTCAGTAAGACCATAGTCTATAGAAGATTATGAAAATACTTGAAATGTAGATAACAAGATGAAAACCTAGACCCTATTGTTGATATGTGTTGTATTCTAAAATGGCAGTTGTGTTGCACCAGGAGTACACAGCATTTAGAGACATATAATACATAATGATAAATATATGCCCAAAACCTTTCTTAATGATCAAATTCAAGATTCAAAAAATAAACCATTTAACTTAAGATTCTGAAATCTTAGGATGCATTTAGCCCTACTCTGAAACAATGCTCAAAAGGGTGTTTCTATAACAAGGAAAATAAAATGCTGGGTGATAAGAATAATGATGTTCTAACTGCAAATGAAAATATGTTAGCTTCTTATATAGCACAATCATTTTTAAAAGCTAAAGATTGACAAGCTAAGAAAAAGATGGGAACTAGCAGTGGCAGGAGACATTTTTGCTAGCTAGGCTACTTGATATAATATAGGTAATCATTGTCAACTGCAGTGTATAAAATGCAACTATTGAGAGTGTTGATATAGAAATTTTGCATGCTTTAAAATCTTAATAGAATCTTTTAGAAGACTTCTTGGTTTCTTTCACTGAACATTTTACCTATTCATTACACATGGGCTGAAAATTGTGTAGAAATTTAATTTTCTACATTTTTAAATCTAGATCATCATAAACATATTTTGGAATTTTTTCAGCCTGTTGACTAGCGTTTATTACTAAATGTAAAGAAATAAGCTTAACTCAAATAATTATAGATATTTCCAAAAAGGTAAATACTTGAAGAAACATGCTGCTTTAAAAATGGAGTGTGGTAACTAAATGAATCTGGTACAAAAACAAGGACAAAACATTATTGTTTTTCTCATGAAGGCATTATCAGAATAATTTGCTGGTCAGAAAGATATTACAACATAGAAAAATTGTTTTACCTGCAATCATGTCATCACTATACTTTGAAATTCTTTCAAGCAACATTGTAATTAATCCTGCCTTGGTACATGTTTGCAGATTTTCAACACTCTTCTTTAAGATGGCATGTAATACCACCAAAATTTGAAACTAAGAAGAGCAAAAAAAAGCCTCAAATGAAAGCAATTTTTAACAAAGACATAATATTCTTTAAAAATTGATCATATTAAAAAAAGGTACACAAAATTTCCAGATGGTGAATGTACCATACCATTATTCCCTTTGGTAAATTTAAGTTCATATTGAAAAGTATAACTAAAGTAAAAATTGGTGTGGTTGATGAAAATAAAGTAAATATTTGCGTTTAATTATGCAGATCATTAGCCTGGTATAAAAGCAATGGAAAAATATTTTTAAACAGAATCAGATTTCTAGCTACCTTTTAACTAAATTAGCAACAATTTAACAAATGTGTTTATTCATAGACAAAAATACATTGTAAATATAAGAATTTCATATTTTTGAATAATAAGAAAGAAAAGACCTAACCAATCCCATTAGTGAGCATTAGAAAGATTCAGTTTTCTTTAAAATCTTTGGGAAATACATGACATAAAAACAAGTTTTGTAAACTAAACTTAACTAATGTATTTTTGACATATCTTAGTATACATATCACGCAGATGCTCAAGATGACAGCCATGTTTCATATTGTTTAACACAGGCTTGTTTTTAAAATAACAAGATCATTTATTTGCAGCTTTCAAACTAGCTTCACAAGTATTTTTAGTATATTTCAACTTGAGAAGTACTAAAACAGAGATTATCATACATTACCTTGGACTTTGTAGACACACGTTCAAAAAGTTCAAACACAGTCAACACATCAAATGGATCTCTGATATCATAGTTCAGCTCAAGATCAAAATTTCCACCAACAATCTTAAAAAAGTCAGTATATCAAAATGTTATATCCTTGAACATCAATGTCAGTGAGGTTAAAAGTTAAAAAGTAACCACTAAAATTGACAAAAAAGCTCTCCAGATAATCAAACTTCAGTCAGCCCATTTCACCAAACAGATGGAGGGGATCTCATTAATGGAGATCTTTGGTTTGGAGCACTAGGCATGGTGATTAGCTAGGGTAAATAAGAGGGGGCTCTTACTTTGGCAGGTCTCTGGTTTTGGAAGGTCTTTGATTTTGGAAGATCTTTGATTCAATCTTCCATTTAGAGCATTAGCATATAAAACACTAGTACAAGGTTTTGGCACACATTGGTACCCAAACAATTACTATATAGGGAAAGCCTTGATAAATACCTGCTTTCAAAACTGAGATATTCTCTGGAGCACTCAATCTTAAACATTTTCCGATTGAATGCGATTACATATTTAAAGAACAGGATCTTCTCTTTCTTAAATAAAATTGAAAAAGATGTACGATTTTTGCTATGTGTGTTAGCCTGAAGCAGTTATTTGTGCAAACATGAATAATAGTAAACACAGTCCGAAGCAAAGAGGAAACAAAATATTTGACTCACCGAATCACACAGGGCGTCAATATAATGCTGTTCTATATCATCATTTATCATTCCAAGGCCATCAGCCTTACTCTGATCGGTGTCCTGATCATCCAATTGCTTGTTACTGTCTTTTGCAGGGTTTAGTTTCTCTTTGACTTGTGATATTAGTGTTTCTACTTTAGATCGAGCAGCAGTCTTCATGGTCTCAGTGGTGCTCGTGAAAGAATTAAATTCTTTAATCATAGTATTTGCCTCAATGGGCTTTTCTTCGTCTTTCGCAACATATTGGGCAGCAGCTTCGGGTTTTTGTGCTTCTGAAAATGTCTCTTGCTCCTTTATATTGTCTTCTTCGTCCGCCATTTCTGCACTTGTGGCAGCAGAACGAGGCGCACTTTGAACAATACAAAATTACATCCTCCAGCCGACTTGCCAACTCGCAAATTGATCTGTTGTAGGGGAGTGTAGGTGTTTTGGAGAGACAATGGGCCTAAGCATTGTTTAAAGAATGGCTACGTCTTTAAGTTTTCTTTTGTTATCATACTTTGAAAGATTTTCCAAAAAGGTATTGCAAAAACAACAGCCTGAGTGCAGTCGGTTCAAGCGATGGTTTTTACAAAAACGAAAGTTTATGGCTGTAAATCAGGTGTTTTTTAATTATGCAAGTTTTTGCTGAATTATTGAAACAATCACAACTATACTTTCCTTTTACACTATCCTTATCAACAAACAATGGTGGAAACTATGGAACATGGGGCTTCCCATCCCCCCCCCCCCCCTCCGCCCCAGTCGCATGAAATGCGGGAAATTCGGGCTTTCGATAAAAGTTCAACGTGCCGAAAGCCGGTCCAATATGCTGTCTTTTAGGTAAATCATAGGCCGGAGCCCCAAAAATAACAACCTGAATGTCGTCATTGAAAAGAAACCCCCTAGAGGGTTGGAAAATATTTAAAAAATGTGTAAATTTGCTTGAAACTTTGTTTTCAATGTCTATTTCCTTGAGGGGGCCTTTGAAATGACAGTTATCAAGATAATTTAAAACATGAAGTTATAACAATGAATACTGAGCCTTAATGCTACAGTATATGACTCTACAGACCAAAAATTCTGAAAGAATCTTTCTCATGCATAAAGGACTTGAAGTTTTTTGAAATCATTATTTGTTTCCTTCAAACAAGCCTGTCTTTCCTAACTTGCTACAATTCAGTTTTAATCAGAGGCGCTCAAAGAGCAGCAGGGCAGGGCAGGGCAGGGGGGAAAAGGGCAAATATATACACCAAGGAAAAGGGCAAAACAATAAAAAATCAAAGAAAATTTTGCCAGGACAAGGACAGGGGCCATCACTTCTTTCAGTAGGTATTTTTTTATCAAATTAGTTTCTATAGTTTTTTCAGGCCAATTAAACTTTATTCAGCCTCATTCAAACATAAAAAAATGCAAACATTGCTTCATTCCACGTTTTCGAAAGCTTTGTTGTAAAATGTCCCAGATGGATGAAGGTAACTTGATGCTAAATTATTTTACTGGATCAGGCAAGAAATGATCATCTTGAAAAATATAAAATAATTTGACAACTTTTTTAGCTTGGTCAGTCAATCACCATAAGCCATAGTGTTGCAGGGGTGCCATTCAGTGAAGTTTGGAGGGGGTTGTGCTGTATGCATCTGTTTGCATCTGTGTTAAAGATTCTTTTGTGTGTATATGAAATCATTTAAGCTATTCACCGTCTCAAAAAGACTGATAGGAAGTTGCACATTCGCGGAAAATCTATAGTATAATAAAGGGTTGTCAACACAAAATTTGTCCAACCAAAAATATGCTCACTTGGACAGAGGGGAGCTCTGCCCCACAAAATCTAAATGAAATTTAGCAAGACTGGCTGAGCCTCCTACGACACCCTCTTGTTGTTACTGTGGAGTAGAATCAATGGGACATTCATCTATCTAGTGAAAGGTAAGATCAGAGACAAATTTTGTTTGGAGGATGTTACAAATAAAATATTCTAAAGACCACGCCTCGCTAGTATCATGCAAGAAAAAGCTACCATAAAGTTCCATTATTGCCTGTGGCACTATGTAGCTTTCTGTGATGCAGATTGGAAAAATATTATCCGCTTCAGAAATGTAAAAACGTTTTATTCCAGTCTTTTTGTGCAAACATTTCTGCTTTTCCGTGAATCATTGTCAGAGAAATGTGTGATTCCTAAATCTCCATGGTATCGAGCAATTTGTAATTAAAGCTGAAAAGCAATCGTGACTCTGTGAAAAGCTTTCAAAAAAATAAGTAAGATCGATATCATTTTAACTTTCTCCAGTGACCCACTTCCCTCTATTTTTTCTCTGCAGCTCAGTAGACAATAGAAGTCCTACGACCCGAAAATTTTTTTGCTTGTCAAAATAGGCTACATCCGCATGACCCTAGAACGAAAGCTTTTATCGAAATGTTTTTCTAGTGTTATTTTACAGCCGGTATGACACAAACAGGGCAAATCTACAAAAGCACCTTTTTATCGCACTGATTAAAACCAAAGAGCAGTGAAATAACTAAGCTACAATCATTCAGTCGGGGCCGCTTATAAGGTAGGTTGATTTAAAAGATGCATGTTAGAAATATTTTATCTCTGTCGGTTCTTTGGCGGAATTTAGCATTTTCTGCATGCTCTCAATAACACATGTTTCTTTTGACCTCTTCCAAACTCTGTGAGATGAGATGGATACTCTTCTTTCCATAATTCTGTTGGTACCACAGGGAAAGATATCCATGTGATGTTAAGAACACAATGGCCCATGAATATTTTTATAGAACCAGCTTTCATCATCATCGTTATCATGTTCATTCTATACATCCCTAAGCACAGCAGCCATAGAGGACTGTTTTGCCTAAAAATCTCTACTACTACCAACTACTTGACTCCCGTTCGCTTCAGCATCTTGCTTAAAAAAATTGAAGTCTATCTGGATTATGCTTAAAAGATGGCTTTAAGCCTGGTTCCCACTTGGTCGTTTCGGTCGTTTGGGTCGTTGGAAAATACCCAAACGACTGAAAAGACGCAGTGGAAACGTACCTGCCAACGTCCCAAAATACCCGAAAGACTCAAACGACAGTTGTCGCAGTGATAGAAAAAATCTCCGCGACCCAAAATACCCACGCATGAATGATTTTTGCAAATGGAAACCGACAAACGACTCAAACGACTCAAACGACCCAAGCTTTATGGAAGAAGTTCAAAAATACGAATGCCATTATAACAATTACTGGAAATAGTTTAAAAATAAATACAAAAATATCAAATCATGGCAAGCTATTGCACTGAAATTTAGTGATCTAGCATCGTCGTCTGTACAAAGTCACCAGAGGTAGAAATAGTTGACTTTGCAACACCAGTTGTTGTTTATCAAATGCTATCTTCCACGCATGCCGCCAAAATTAAATGAGCGATGCATGGTGCAAGCCATGAACAGCATCAACAACAAACGACTCGAAAGACTCAAACGACCAAGTGGAAACCAATGTGTTCTTTGGGTCGTTCGTGTCTTTCAGGAACAACTCTGACGACTCAAACGACCAGAACGACCAAGTGGGAACCAGGCTTAAATTTCGTGTGGCAACTGGCTAGCTGAGTTTATTAGATGGTTAGATTAGCTCTTTAAACTAAGCTGACGCATTATTGTTAACCTTAAGTGTAGCAAAAATCAAGATATGCTTTTATGCTGACGCTCTTGCTTCCAAAGTAGAAGTCCATCATTTCCTTGAAGACTAAAGTAATAGAAAATTGGATAAAAACTGCAGACGAATGGCTATTTTCATACTCACTGACTGCAAGTCTTTTGTTATATTGGATAATGCAAGTTTTGGTTTTACACTAATAGAACATTTTACATAGCCTCGACTTGTTGGAACTACAAATTTGGCGTTGTTTTGGCGTGAAATTGAATTAAGATCGTTTATATATAAACTTAAGCATCAATTATTGTATTGTAAACTTTGCTGAAATATTTAGACACACTGCAATGTAAAATAATCTAATAAATGTATTGCAAGTTTTCTTGCTGCATCGCATCAGTACAAACTTCTTCATATGATCGCTACACGGTAAAATAAAACTAGCTACCATTCCTAGAAATTAGATTTCCTTTTTATTAATAAAAAAACCAAGAATTTTTTCAAAGACGGATTATATTTTGACATTTGAAGAGCCAGCCCTTTTAACATAAAGTTTAACCAAAAAAAAATAAAAAGTTTTCAGCAAAACATTTTTGCAACCACGCAGCAGGACCGCAATGCCTTTTCAAATGTGAATTTGAACCTCAAAGAGCGTTTCTTTTTGCAAAAGTTTCTACAGGAAGTCTCTTGATTCTGCGAGTCGAAATAAAGGGATATCCTTGAATTGCCTATTGAATTCATAAGTGACAAACATTTACGTACATAATCTCCAACAGAGAAAAACAAAATTTATCTTAATTTCATTATTATCTTTATAGTTCTGCTAAAAAAAATCATAATGCTAGGATTTTTCACATCAGAGTCAACGGAGCTACTCCTTTAAATCACAAAGATAGGAAAACGCAATGCATATTTATCGATATTGCAATGAAGATTCTGTTTACAACATTTTCACACAGCCTGCTGGGAAACTCTATTTCAATAGTGCTCTCCGCATTAGAGCAGATGCTTCTTGCAAAAGATGAACTGGGAACAATGGCTCTCGTCCTCAGATTTGCCCTATGATAGAAGCTGATTCTAAGAACTACATGTCATGTTATGTTATCATGTTATACTTGTGCTAATTATCAAACTTATCGGAAAACTGAATCGCTAATACTTCGTACAAAATCGTCTACATATTTTGTTTTAATAAAGAATTTTTTCGAGCGCAAGATTTGCACCTCATTTTGTCAACGGTATGAAGCAGAAAAAATTGATTTATTACCATCTCGGTACATTACACACTAAACCTCTAATGAGTAGAAAACATCTTTAGACTTGACGATGTATATGGTGCTTGAACCAATTGATGGAGCTCCCCGCTATTGTTAATTTATCGAATTGATCATATTCGTGTTGCTTTAAACACATGTTTCTACGACAAAGACATCCAAAACATTATTCACATTTGAATTACAGGAATATTTCCTACGTCACGACGTGTTTTACTTTCTGCAAGTTCTTTGATATCTAAATCTATACGAGATCCAAACTTCATTTACTTACAATTTTACATTTTCCATATTATCAATACTTACAACAATATAATAATCTTATTTTCTTTAAACTACCTCAGTCTGATACCCTAAACTTGAAATTATTGTGCTTTTGCCTGCCTTGAACATCGCTAAACGCCTGGCGATTAGAACCATAGCTTGTTTAGAGATTATATCAGTGCTGGATTCCGGGAAACGCTTTTAGATCTCCTCTCTCTCTGATCCCGCAGTTTGTGCGCGTAAGTAACGCGGTCTCTTTTCTTTCTGGAAAAAGCGCTTCTAGCTGCACTGAGAACTTTCCTGTTTGCAACCATTGCGATTAAAATGAAAACGCCATGTAAACTTGTCAGAACAACAGTCATGCAGTAAACTATAGAATAACGCACAGAAACTGTCTCTAGGATTCTGCACAGCAATATCACGAAAGACACAAGAAGACTGCTATATATAAACGATAGTTTATTGCGGGTATTTGATTCTCCATCAGTTTCTTGTTGCAGATTAGATTTTGAAGGAGCAGCACACCTCCTGTAGCTACAAAGAGTCAAGGCTATATTACTCAACAATAAAATGCTGGTTGGAAGCAGAAATGAGTAAAACATGGTCCATCTATCGCCAACAAAGCATAAGGGCCCATTTCCATAGCCTATTGACCTCCCGCTCGAAAAATGCAAGATAGTACAACTCAGTACTATGATTGCTGTAAGGCCGAAAGAAACTGAACTGTAACCAACTAAACGCTCCTCCTTGTTCAACATGCATTGTCGACTGAGCAACCAGTTAATTTCGAACGATATGCAACTCAACCACACGAAGGTGCACAGAGCTACCCAGTGGGAAAGAATTGATATCCCGGTGCAAATATGAAGGACCTTGTTGACATACAACGAAGTCAGTTGGAGTAACTGTAGCAGAAATTGCAATGCACATAAATGCAGTACACATTTTCTGGGAAAAATCATTTCAAGTCCTGTGGTTTTCCAATAAATTACAAACAGAATTAGTTGACTTAGAATGCTGACAATATTTCCAAAGACAGCCAACCCAAGCCATGCTGGATGCGACAAAGGAACTTCTGGAGATGTAGAATTCTTATCAAATCCTTCATTGGATGTTAATGCGCATTCAAGAGTCTTTTCCACGAATTTACCTCCCTTTAGTTGACAGTTTTCTCTCTTAATCAATACGACTTTACTTATCAAATCATCAATTGATAGAAGATAGAGCTTTTCCTTGAAGTCAAGAGCAGTTTTTCCGTTGCCGTCTTTGCTAATATTTGTCAGTTTCCTCTCCATATCAAATATGTCGATCTCCAGGTTGTAAAGCCTATGAAAAACTACGATAAGTTTCTTCTGGATATACTCACACAAATGTTTGTGGGATGGGATCGAAACGATATAACGTTCAATTTTTGAAGCTTCTTGTTCTAGACTACGCTTCAAAATGTTAGGCATGTCATCCTTCGCGGTCCTGTTCTGCAAAACCTTGACATGACGAAAGCACGGATATGGTGACTTCCGGAGAGTTGCAGCGATTCTTTGTGGAGTAAAGTGTACAACCATAAGAGTAAAAAACGTTACTTTTGATAACATAAGTATAGCGGCCATTCCGGCGTACTTGAGACTCTACTCCAAACGTGTGGTGCCACGCTATCTAGAACTTTTCTAGTCTCCAGTTGCCTCAACAGTTCCACAGTAAATCGTCCTTATCTCAAGAAAGATAGAGAAATGGCTAGATAATTGTCAAACCAGAAGAAATGCAGCTCAAAGTTGAGTTACAAGCAATGTAGGACTACCAGTAACTAAATAATCTCAAATATCCGAATGACACTACGAGGTCTCCATAACACGCTGTTGTCAATTCAACTTTTAATTCATGCGTTGCCATAGTAGTCAATTCCTGCATGTGCAGTAGCCATCTTGCTTGAGTTTCTCTTTCACGTTTGGGTGTCTTTACAATCGAGCCACCAACAAAAAATCAAATCATCACTAAACCACAATTGGCTTCAACTGCAAGAAAGAATAACTTTTGACATTTATAAACACCGAGTTTAGTTTTGACCCAACAAGTTTCATTTTAATTATTAAAACTTAAGTATTTGAGTTGCCGCTTTGCATGACAACGCTATGTGTTGAAACCGTTGGCCAGAACCATAATATTTTTAGCCTTTCTTTCAATCGATTGATTCGAAACATCGTTATTTCACACAAAGTCGATAGGCAAATGAAAGTTTGTTTTTAATCTGCCGATTTGTGCACGACAAACAACCAAACGGTGAGGTTCTTGCAGCTGCACAGAAAGACACATGCCAAAAAGAACTCTTCCCAGTTTTAAAAAATAATCGTAAAAATTTCATATACCAATAGCCTAATTCCATTGGCTTTGTCCCTGCACTGCATGGCCTAACCAAAACGAATTAATTTCTAACTTCTGCTGAATGCACACAGAGTCAAATAAGTAAGCAAAGCTCACCTACTGGCTATCATTTTTCCTTTGGAAACTCAAGTGATGCTCGCTTGTCTGATGCCGTTTTCTAAGAGCACTTTCCATCACTTTGAAGCATCAAATCTGAAAAACAAATATTAGGACTTGTACAAGCATCAGGTGAAGACAATGTACATAATACAAATTGGATTTATGTGCTTGAGAAAACAATCAACTGGTTGTATCGCAGACCATGGGAGGTTCGTGGGGAGTTCGTGTAACTATGCCCAAACAATCTCGAAACTTTGGAACTGTCTCGCAAAAATGAAAGTTTGCGAATAACGGATAACAATTATGAACTCCAATATTTTAATTGTTATATTCACATCATTTGTGCCGAGCTACGCTATTTTTAAACATCAACCAATAATGAAATCATTCCTATCATTACTGATATTTTTATTGATCTTTCATCAAGAACTGCAAGAAAAATGTTTGATAAGTCCTTCAATTACCGGGAATAAAACATCATAGCACATTGAAACACACTAGCATAATACAAGCTTGATGGGTGTACCTCAAAATTTATGAGAAAAGATCTCATTTGTTTGTTTTGCTCAAAACCTCAGATAGATGAAATGTCAAACTGTCGATGAAATTTTAGCTGGCTTTAATTATTAACTAATGCTTCAATCCAACAACCATAAGCAACGATATTCCCTTAAAATTAGGGGTGTGTGTGATGTAAAAGATCGATAGAAAATTTATGTAACATACAAGAATGTAAGAGATCGCATTGACAGAAAAAGAACACACTGGAAGACTAAAGTGGCAACATGGGCTCAGAAGATATTGGACTATATAGAGCTTAGCATAAAACAAGTCTTTTGCCCACCACAAAAAGAAGTTTATCAGCATTTTAGCTAATGAATATCTGTAAATATATAATAAGGCAATCATTCAGAACAAAAAACCAACGATAAACGAAAGGCTACAGTCTTAAGGCAATAAATTCAAAAGTCATTTATCGAATATAACTAGATGATAAGCCTTGGATTACCTTTATAATCGGGTAAATGGTTTTAAATTAAGGAACTAGACATGAAGTAGAAACCTTAAAGCTGAAATGGTAGTAACCTTAAAGCTCGATGTAGTTTGTAAGTTGCTTGCAAAAGTAACGAAAGACAAAAGTCAATTTAATCTAACTCAGTTAATTTGCTTGAATCATTCAGACACTTTATGCATACCCATCCTAGTTTTGGAAGATGCAGAAGTGGATGGCAGGCAGTGCAAGAAGTAAATTCAATGTTTAGTGGTATCCTTGCCTTCAAGCAGTAAAATCTGCCTAGTTGCCCAGCTTGTCAAATACATTATTAAGCCTCTGTCGCAAATTTTTCAAATATCTAGCATACAATGAAAAGCTTGTTTTCCCAGTTGTTTTCAGACAAAAGCATATTTGCTTATTGGCTTACCTTATGTAGTGAAGATTTAAAGCAAGTTATGCAATCTTAACAAATCTTTTCTACCTTCAGGAACTTTGCATAAATAACAATCCAGTACTTGCTGTTCTTATAAAAGTTTTGTATAAAACTGATCGCTTGAGTAATAAAATTTTTATTATGAGAGAAATAATAAAAAAGGTCAATGTGAAAAAGCAGTGCCCTATTCTATGATTTTCTCATCAGGGATAGGGGAAAACATGTTCCCCTGCTCAGGATTGAACTTCTGGTTTGTGTACATTCAAAGATAGGGAGCAGTTGGAATGGAAGGCCTAAATTCGAGGCTCTTTTGGTGACACCCCTTTCCCTTCGCTCTGTTGAGGTTGACACCGCCTAGCCTGTGCTCCAGACCCCTAAGTTTAAAGTAGAGTTTTTGCAAGTTCAGGGTCTGGAGTACAGGGTACTTCCCACTGCAGTGGTACTTCCGTCCAGCCAGGGAGTAATAGCATAACAAATACTATTTGTCGCTTTCACGCGAAAGAAACCCTAAATTTTCCATACAACAAAACTCGTCTCTGGGAAAAGACAGTCGAGTCTGCGCGCAGAAACCTGTTATACTATTCTTTAAAAATTACGTAAATTTAATTGCAAATAAATAACAAAGATTTATATTACGTAAGTCTCTACCATAAGGATGGGATAAGGGCAAATATTTATATCACTTGGCTTTATCGAGATTAACCGTAGAGCTATAGAAAAAATCGAAGGAAACTTCCTGGAGAGCTGAACGGGAACAAACGCAAGAAACCTTGTGAAGAAATTCAGTGAGGATGTTATCTCTATAAAGCCCAGCGAGACTAATTTATTTTCTTTATCTGCAAGGGTAAAAGAGTGGCAATATTATGACGTCATGAAACATATTTTTAGAATTTTTAATTTGTTACAGATTTGCAAAGATATGACCAATGGAAGGTTTTACTAGTGGATTACTGTCCTTTTGGCCTGGTTCTTAATTTTTAGGACTAAGGCCAATTACAGTGGTTTGATGGCGAACGAGCGAATGCTAATGGTTTCTATTCTTTGGTAGCGTGTAACAGATCATGATGCTCCTTAAAGTTTTGTTGTTATCAGGGTGCAACCCCTCGAACTGACGTGTATACTCTTTAGTCTTTATCATACATCATCATCATAATTTATTTATACAAGTTAGCCCCGTCAGCAAAGTTGGTTTGCAAGGGGCCATTGTCTGAATATCAAAGAAAAATGAACATAAACAGTTATAATAACTCTAAAAATACAGTAATAACATACACTACCAAACACCTCCCGACTTTACCCTGCCCTACCAACACAGTGTTTTTTATTCTTTTGCAATACTACCTTTTCTACTTCCCTAAATATATCAAATTTTATTAACAATATATCTTTGCTTGATTAAAAGTTTAAATAATAAATCACAAAATAAATTTGTACCTGAAGATATTTTGTCCATGCTACTATTCGAATTGACGCGAATAAAATGCTAGAGTATGTTCTCTTAATAGTTTTAAATCTAAAAATGTAGGCAAATATGGCACAAAATGAAATTTATATAAATTTCTGAAAAAAAATCATTGGAATAAACATAAATCTTTGATAGAATTATATCAAAATCTAATTTAAGAGCAAAACCTTAGATCTTATCTGTAATCTTGGCACCAAGATTGAATGGAAACTATACTTATAGTCTAATTAAACCTGTCTCGTGTTGACCCTTGTCCTATTTTTCCCTACGTTACCTTACATAAAAAAAGCTCGTTAGAAGATCATTTTCTAGCAAAGATAAAATATATTGGAAACTTGTGGTGGCATAATGGACCAAAGATTGAAGGAAGTTTCTGACTTCCCTGGATATAAAGGTTGCTTAGTTGCGTATAAATGAAAAAACATAGCCATATTGGCTAAAGCATTCTCAAGTGAACGTTGAAATGAAGGTTCCAGATGATACTATTTCATTTTCGATGTCTTTTCTGGAAGGGCCGTCGCTAGCTATAGTGCCCAAGGGGGTGTGCTCCGATCCCACCCGAACAAATGGTGAACCATCTTTTATTTGCTGACAAATCTGAAAATTTCCCGACGAAGTACCCCTAGATGGTAAAAAACTCCTCATTTTTACAATGGAATGTTGTTACAGGGGGTGTCACCCCTCCCCCCCCCCACATCCCCGGCTATGTTTCTTGGTAGGGGTGTTATGAAAACAATAAGGAGTGCTCTCACGCGAAATGTCACAAAAACAATACCAAAAGTAAGAGTTGGCTACTTTACATGTTCGCGGAACATCAATTCTTGCTTTTATCCTGTTATCGTTATGAATTATTAAACTAGGCGATAAATGTAAACTTAATGAATAGCGGTGGCGCCAGAAAGTAAAACTTCTATTTTGTTGTATCATTAAGCTGTATGCCACTAAAAAGATTAGTCTTAGTAAATTGACGAAAATGAAAATGAAAAAAAAGGAAAGGTAGCATGAACAACACATCCTCACAGCTGAAATAGACGTGAGGATCTTGAACGAGTGAACAAGCTTTCAGGATTTGAGATCAAAATACTATCAACTAATTGTAAAAGTGCAAGTTGAGACATCCCGCTCTACCAGCAACAGGGCCTTAGCAATACCTGCAGCTCAATAAAGATAGTTACTCAATAACCGTAGAAACTCAATCATTATATCAGATTAAACCACATTTTAGTTAGCAATTAGATTTCTTACATAAGTGGCGTCTTTCTGCATATCAAGTTGCATATATCATATTTGACGTTTAAATTCATGTCTGTGACTGTGGTTTTCTAAGCGGTTGTAAGGTAGAAAGTGCTCCAGCTGAATATTGGTTACAGAAAATGTTTAGGGATTCAAAGGAGCAAATAATTACAAAATTTCGATAATAATTTCAAAAAATCGGGAGCAGCGTAACGTACACTAATATATCAAAGCTCAAAAAATATGTTAAAACTGGCTGAATCATTAACAAAAGAAATTTTCAAAGAATTTGTGTTGCTCGAAACCCCATACAATTTATGAACACTCCAGGGGCTGGAGCCCCCTAAAAATTGTCAAACTGTAGTATGCTTGAGCCCCCCAATAATTGTCAAACTGTAGTATGCTTCCTTTATAACAATGTACTGAATGAGAAGGAATACAATGGGCAGCTTCCCCTCCCCCTGCCCCCAATATGAATTTCGTTCCGACGGCACTGACTTTTAACTGCTTTTTTGTAGATTCTAGGTATCTGTTTTTTAAATGATTAATTAATTCCAAGGGAAAACACTTGTCTATAGATATCTATAGATATATGTCTATAGATTTCGAATATTTCACGCACAATTTTATGAGAGTATCTTGATGTTTGCTGTGCCAAAAAATTCTGAAAGGTTTCTGATTCTGAGTCTGAATTTATTCTTAAATAATATTTGTAAAAGAAGTTTCCAAATCTTTGCTACTGCCTCACTTCATCAAAAAACATGGTATGAATGAAACATGCTGGTACAAGCTTGATGAGTGCTCCTCAAATATTCTCTTGCTTATCTTGTTTGCTCAAAAAAACTTAAATAAAAAAGTCAAGCTTTCGATGAAATTTTAGCCTAGTTACTATTTTTATTAATAATTAAACAGTGGCGTAACGGAGCAGTGTGGGGCCCTTATTGAAAGTACGTAGAAAATCAATTAAA